GGGATGAGGAAATGGGGGTTGTTTACCACGACGCGGACAACTAATCGCCACTCATAAACAATGCTGCGTCCGTACCTGAGCAAACCGGTCAGCATGTCGTTCCTAACTCAAAGCGTCTTGATTGAGGAGCGAGTAGCACTGAGGAAAATACTCGTACACCCAACCCTGTTGTCGTTGGACGCTTCCTGCCAGAGAGAATTGGGCAGCTGATGGCCATAGTACATGGCGTACGTACAAACATTGACTGATCGACTATGGCCTACGCATGTGGATAGGATGGTGAACAATGTAGTATTCAAATGGCCGAACTTGGATACAATCTACAGTAAATACTACTTGTAGAGCATAGCCAATATCCAAATTGCTGCACAGGTTAGGTGACCCATCGAGTCAGTGTAAACCACAATCATGTTGAAATTGAGAGCATATCGTATGAAAGGCCCGAAGTAGGTACAGTCCGGTTTTGGAGAGCTCTAATCTCTATCGCCTCTGTGCCTAAACCCCCCTATGCACAATGAAGCAGCAGATTACAAGGCTCACCCAATAGGATATCATTGCTAAGAAGTGCTAGCGCTGTACTCCATATTCTCGTGCAATTCTTCTCTTCTCGTCTATGGCTTACACGAGCCTTCGGTGCTTATCAGGGCCGAATTTGCCCCTAAATTGCTCATCCGTGTACACCTGCTATAGATTCTTAGTATAAAGACATCCAAATTATAAAAGGTATGGGAACACATGCGTTTAGGTCTGTCGGCTGGATTAAATTGGTACTTGTCGCGAAACTGTTTGAGAGCATGTGGGGGGATTTTGGGCACAGAGACTCTGTTATCTATGTCAGCAAGTTACGAGCAGATAGGGTGTATTGAATGATAGTTACAGCTCCTGTTCTCTCCATTTGAACATCCGGATATCAATAGGTTGTGGCATCCACAGGACCGTTATCTATTACTCGGTGTTCCACCCACTCGCTTCGCTCGTAGGTGGCGACAGCAAGTTGTGCGTGCGACAGCAAGATGTGCGTACACCGCTATTTTGATATATAGAAAAAATAATAGTATTCTTCATAACGTAGTATCTACAATGCCTCAAAATAACGATCCTACTATGATTGCTCGCCTTAATGAGGCCCAACAGTTCTTCTTAAAACAACCAAGTACATATACAATTGCTTGGGTTGCAAATAAATTCAATGTCAACCGTGAGACACTCCGACGTCGTATTACGAGTACTACGTCTCCTCAATTACCCCACGGAGGTAGCAATCGAGTCTTATCTCAATCGCAAGAGACCGCGGTCTGTCAATTCATATACGACCAACTTGAGCACGGGGTCCCTGCCAACCGATCTATGATACTACGGGCAGTTGCAGACTTACGACCTAATCGTACGATACCATCACAACGGTGGCTACAACGCTTTCTAAAAGCACACCCCGAATTTCATACAATTCACACGAAGACGTTAAATACACATCGGAAGCAAGCACAAAAGAAAGAGGTGTTTGAGGAATTCTTTCTCACATATAACGCCCTTATTACAAAACATAACATTAAGCCATATAATTTATGGAATGTTGATGAGACAGGCTATATGATTGGGTGTTATAAGTCTACGGCTGTTATTGTACCAATCGGTGTAAAGCAGTGGACTGTTGATAATCCTGAGAATCGGCTCTCTGTTACTGTAATTGAGGCAGTAAATGCAAGTGGTGCTGCACTTGCAGAAGCTATCATTATCCCTGGCAAACTTCATATGGATTCATGGTACAATGATGACCTTGAGCCAAATGCTCTCATTATTGTAAATGAGAGCGGGTATTCAAACGACGACATTGCAATCCAATACCTTATGCATTTTATCCAACTATCTGCAGAGCATATGGCACCAGATGATACTCGCCTCTTATTACTTGACGGCCATGACTCTCATAAAACAGAGCGCTTTCTTACATTAGCAGAAGAGCATAACATTGTTATTTGCTGCCTTCCTGCTCATACAACACATCTATTACAACCTCTTGATGTAGCGGTTTTTAAGCAGTGCAAACACTTTCATCAAAAGGCACTTGATCAAGCAGTACGTAGCTACGACTATGAGTATAAGCTACGTACGTTCCTTTCAGACCTCCCGCAAATCCGACGGCAATCTCTAACTGTCCGTACAATTCAATCTGGTTGGAGAAATACAGGACTATATCCATATAATCCTCCACTTGTAATTGACAAGATACAAGAGACTCGGAATCAAACACCTGATTATGAGCCATTTGCTTCATATAATATTATCTCAACACCGAAAACAACTATGCAAAGTGTGCAAGTGGTTGAACATTGGCAGAAGAGAGCAGAGGAAGCTTTCTCATCGCCTTCAAGAGAAGGGTTTCAATCATTTGCACGTGGAACTACAGTTGTTCTACACCGGGCAGAGCTCTATAAGACCGAGCTAGATATTATGACTCTACGTGCAGTAGAGCAGAAGGCAGCAAAGGCAAGGGCACGGAAATCACTACAGAAAGGAGGGCAGTTATATGCATCAGATGCACGGAAAATGCGGGAAGAGAAGAAAGCAAAGTTGCAAGCAAAAGCAGACGCAAGAGCAGCAAGGGAATCGGACCAAGTAGTAAAGCAGCTACAAGCGCAAGCACGTAAAATCGAAATTGAAGAGCGTAAGGTTGAGAGGAAGCGGGTAGCAGAGCGGAAGAAGGAAGGGTTGAAATCAAAAGTGATCATTTTACGGTATAGTAAGGATCAAAGTGATAGTAGCAATAGTGGCAGTAGCGATAGTGATAGTAGTTCTATTGATTTTATGTTTTAATTATATAGTTATATAACGTACATGTATAGCGAAAGCGCCAAACAAGCGAAAGCGCCAAAATTATCTACCCTCACGACAAACATTGCGATAAATCTACCACAACATTAGAAATCAATTGAAACTACTCGGAGTCCTCTTCCTCAGAGGTGTCTATTACAATCTGACACGTGCGCGCATTGTGCCCAGTCTCACCACACTTGCCACAGCGACGGGCACGGGTTTCTTCCCTTGGCTTCCGACCACGGCTTGCCCTTATTTCCTGCTCTACCTGCTGCACAACATCCCTCTCATCCTGTAGCTCTTGCGCCCCTTGTTGACTAAGTGATCCTCCTTGCTGTAGTCGTGTTTTCCTAGCTCTCCGGCGCTTGCTTAGTACTTCATTTGCCTGTCGTAGGTTTTGGTTCTCTCCCTTTAGCAGTGCTAATTGATGCATTATTTGCGATGCACCCTTTGTAAACTGGTCAACAGCTGCATAGATTGAGGTTGGAGAGCTATTTTGATGGCGTGAAATCCGAGTTTTAATAAATGTAGACTGTGACATAGCTTCAATTGGGTTGTTTGGTGTCTGAGAAACCCAAGGTTGAGCAGTACCTGGGCGGGAGCTTGGAGGCGTTGGTGTCCTTAACTTAAGATCAAGTGTAGATATCACTCTCTCAGGGTCAAATGGAAGAAGCCCTGCCCCTCGGAACCCGCCTCAAATGTTACTTTCCGTCATTGTAGTGTTAAATGCAGCGTGGAAGGCAGGAAAGAAGTCATCCTTTGTAATATGAGAAATATGAGCCTGCATCATATCTTCAATTTGCCGACCATAGGCCTGCTTTAACGGGCCGAAACAGCCAACATCAAGTGGCTGGAGTAGATGAGAAGAGTGAGCAGGCATACAAAGCGTAATAATGTTGTGTTCCTTGCAGTACTCCTCAAACTCATCTGAGTGGTGGCTCTCATGACCATCAAGGACTAACAAGCGATAACCACCAACACTCCGGGCCTTTGTATGCTTCTCAAAGTGCTGAATCCAATCCATGCCTCTCTCGTTTGTAGTCCAGCCATTTTCAGTAACAGAAATCACCCAATCGCTTGAAAATCCACTATTCTCATACCAAGATGTAAGGTGGTTTTTGCCTGCAACAATGATAAATGGTGGTACTGCCCAACCTTGAGAACTAACGCCTTGGATTACTGTAACCCATTCCCGATTACCAGGCTGTACCTTCTTTGCTTTTGCCCGCCCGTCTGAGCTTGTTACAACCATAGCAGTTGAGATAACGCCCATCATAAACCCAGTCTCATCAAAGTTGTAGATATCTGCTTCATCGATACCATATTTCGCAATTGTGTTACGCACAAGCTCAAACCAGCCATTAATAACTTCTGGATCTTCGCACTTAGCCCTCTGGTAGTCGTATTTGCGCTGAAAGCGTGTCTGGAGCTCTACACGCCGCTTAACAAAGTTTGAAGCCCAACGCGACCCAACGCGTGACGCGTCGCGTGTTGCAAGTAGTCGACTTGCCATATCTTCAACAACAGACAGCCGAGGAGGAAACCCTTTGGCAGCTAGGTCGAGTATATACTGAACAAGGACGGACTCCTCTAGGTTAGTTAATTTCCGTGAGTTGGCTTGGATATCGCGTCGTGAAGGTACACCTTCTAGACGACGACCTAGCTTGCGGTGGTCCACAGAATAGATCCTAGCAGCAACTCGAAGGCGTAACTTTGGGTCGCTTTGCATAGCCTGGATAGCTAGCACTAATTGGCTTTCATCGTTTTTATGGGGCATGTTTTGTTGTTGAGGAATTTAACATTTAGTTGGGGGGTTTGGTCACCGCATCATTTTGGCGCTTTCGCTTGTTTGGCGCTTTCGCTATACATGTACGTTAGTTGATATATAAGGCGTCTTTTTCTTCGTTTTATGTGTCGCACATCTTGCTGTCGCACGCACAACTTGCTGTCGCCACCTACGAGCGAAGCGAGTGGGTGGAACACCGAGTACAAGGTAACACGTTTGATTAAACGAGAAATATGTCCCTTCACACAGTAGACGATCACCTTTGGATTCATCATAGTCTCGATTCAAAACTTCTTGACAGGCTGCATTTGCCATTAACTTATTCTTGTCCTTAGTCAGACCAGGCATCTCGTGGGATTTGCAGACAACGAAAATACGGATAGCCATGGTTCGTTCTATCCTTGAATTGTAGAAGGTATTTATTTCATGCGACTTATCGCCCTTCATATATTGGAGTTTTATGCACGGTCCATTCCTGCACGTGATGTCCACCCTTCCAAAAAACACTATCCCACCCCCCAACTCGTCACTTGTCACTGTGACGTCGGAGTTCCGTATGTACAGTCTCCACATTTGCCGCCCTCATTATGGTCGTAATGTGCCCTTCGTACTCTGTACTTCCGCGTCACCCGCGTCACAAACACCACCTACAGCATCGCCCTCACCACAAACCCCACGCCCCTCTACCGCGTCGAGGTCGCTTCCCACCCCACGGCCGACCCCGCCATCCAGGTCTTCGACCTCTTCAACCCCCTCCCCCTCGCCACCGCTCGCCTCCACCCCGCCGTCGCAACCGCGCAACCATGCACCCGCGACCTCCCGGGCGATAACCCCAAATGGCGGGCCCTGTGGCTGCAGCACTTCTGCAGCGTCCCACTGGTCGTCATCCCGGGCATGGCGCCCATAGAACGGTTGGTGCGTTGGCAGCATACGACGAAGTAGTCTACGAATCTGGAGTTGTGGATGCGCGATCCGCTGTTTGGGATATCGGCGGCTCTGCCGAGAGAGTTGTTGTTGGCGCGGTATGGGATTGAGGGGTTGAGGTTTATTGCAGATAGGGTGTTGGAGATTGGGAGGGGTGGGGGGATGGAGTTTGAGTTGGTGGTTTTGGTGCAGGCTTTCGGGATTTTGGAGGCGGATAGGAGGAAGAAGGCGAAGAAGGGGAAATAGATGCGGGCATTGAGTCTGTGGAAGGGAAGTACTCGAGTATATATACCCTTGTTGGAGAGTTTCCTTTGATTCTCTGGATAGTTATCCCTCATATATGTCGAGCCATACACGGTGGAGTCGGCGTCGTTTGTACATACGGAGATCCTTATGGTCACAACAGGCATAAATAAGAGTTCGATCAATGATTGATTCATGTTTATCTCATTTCTTTGCTACTACGTAACTTCTCGTCAACGCGCCAAAACACCCATATTTTGTGTACGTTATTTGTTTTTCCTAACCACGCGCCATCCAAATTACTAACGTCTTTTCTTCGTCCATCTTCGTCGCCATAGCAGAGACCAGTTAAGGCCTCCGCCTTAAAGAATCATTCAATACGCGTTTAAGCGTAAAGCTTCTTCTCGTAGCTCTCCATGTGGATGCCACCCTCGACCTGGGCACTGGCCGAGCGGAGCTCAAAGCGCGTGGTGCCAGCGGCAACCGAGGCGTGGAGCTCAGCCAAGCTCTTGGAGCCCATGTCCTGCAAGCTGTGTTTCAAGCCGGCAGACAGGTATGGGACGAACTTGGTGATCGGGCCACGGTGTGCAACCGCGCCGGAAACACCCTGGGCAACAAGGACGCTGTCACCCTCGGAGAAGTAGCGGGCAGTGCCAGCATTGCTAGCCTGGCTGTTGGCAGTACCGGCACCGGCCTTCTTGTCTTGCATAGCATCGATGGAACCCATTCCACGGTAGGCCTTGACGAGCTTGCCCTCGCGGGAAACGAAGGAAGTTCCTGGGGACTCGGAGGTACCAGCAAGGAGACCACCCATCATGATGGTAGTGGCACCAAGAGCGAGACCCTTGACGATGTGGCCAACGTTTTGGATGCCACCGTCAGCCATGCATGGGACGCCGAAGCGAGCAGCGAACGTGGCGACGTTGTAGACGGCTGCGGCCTGGGGACGGCCAACAGCCATGACTTCCTGAGTAATACAGGCGGAACCACTGCCCATGCCAATGCGGAGACCATCAACTCCGGCAGCGATGAGGGTGGCAGCCTGCTCGCGGGTAACGACGTTTCCGCCGATAACCTCGATACCAGGGTACTTCTCCTTGACGAACTTAATCATCTCGACCTGGTACATGCTGTTGCCCTGGGAGCTATCTAAGATAACGATGTCGAGGCCGGCCTCGGCGAGCTTCTCCAAGCGGTCCTTGTCGGCGGGACGAGTACCAATGGCAGCCGCGCAGATCAGCTGCTTGGAGTCTGGGAGCTTCGAGGCGTTGGGGAAGTGGAGGTTCTTGGTGAGATCGGAACGAGACACCATGGAAACCAGGTTGCCGGCCTTGTCAACGATTGGGAGCTTTCCCTTCTTGGACTGCGCCAGAATGGCGTTGGCCTCAGCGAGGGAGGTACCCTTGGCAGCAGTGATAAGATCGTTGACCATGACAGATGAAACTGGCTTCTTGGTGTCTTCCTCGAATTGGATGTCTCTGTTCGTGACAATACCAACGAGCTTGGAGCCGAGCTTTCCGTCCTCTTCAAAGCGATTCAGTTAGCAGAATTCTTGGCTAAAATTTGAAAACTTTGATAATAAATTTTTTGTTTCCAGTCATACATAGAATTTCTCCCCACGATCTTGCGATCGACTACGGATGAACGAAAGTTATATGGTATAGTATTGATAATCATAATGGAGACGCAGATAAATGAGATTGTTAAAACATACCAGTAACTGGGAAACCACCGAATCCCCATCTCTCCTTCAGGGCCTTGACCTCCTCGACGGTCTGCTTCTTGCTGAGCACCACTGGGTCGAGGATGAAGCCGTTCTCGTAACGCTTGACCTTCTGGACCATCTCGGCCTGTTCGTCAGGAGAGCAGTTGTGGTGGATGACACCAAGGCCTCCCTGGAGCGCCATGGCGATGGCCATCTCATGCTCAGTAACGGTGTCCATGGGAGAGGAGACGAAAGGAGTCTTCAGGGTGATTTTCTTGGTGACGGGTGACTCAAGAGACACGTCTGAGGCGGGGAATCCAATGTAACCGGGGAGAATAAGAAAATCGTTATACGTGAGGCCTCCATTCTTGTGCGAGTCCAGCAGACTCTCGATATTGAGGCCATCGAGCTCCTTATACTCGTTCTTCAGGACCTCCAGGGCCTTGGAAGAATCCAAAACCGCATCGCGTTTTGGGAACGACATGGTGATGCGGGGAAAGTTAAATAAACGAGAAGTGATGAGACTGGGTATAATAAATAGATAGTCGACGTCTGTTTGGTGGGAATTGAAACGTATGGTCGACGGGTAGAAGTTGCCTTCTCCCAATAGAGAAGAAAAGAAGAGAATCAGGCGTCAGCGAAGTTGAAAATCTAGTAATCGGCGGTGTGGAGTTGCGCTAGCAGAAAGTTTCGCGACGGCAATTTGCGTTCACCGCCTTCTGTACGGAGGCAGGGTTGTAATCAGAATTGTAATCAGAATTGTAGTAATTTCTCAGAACAGCACTGTGCTGCATTGTAATCGCGGTCAAAACATATAATTGTAGTCGCTGTTGTCGTTACTATGGATATGAGAGTATATGGCGGCTATGAGGGATTTCAGATTGTGAAAAAGGTACTTATTTCTACATACAATTTGTATGCGTTAATAAGTACTACTTGAAATGATTATAAAAAGTACTTATAAACACACTCAAATTATGTGCATAATTAAGTACTTTTTTTCGACTGCCTGAAATCTAATCCTTTTTTCCTAAAAAAGCAAGCTCTTATCAGCTTATCCACTAAAATTGGTACTTACTAGTGCACACAAATATATATGTGTACCTAAGTACCACGCCTAATATTTTCGCCAAAACCTGTAAATCAGTTTCACCGCCTTCCGAACGCGGAACGTGGTTGCCAGACGCACGGTTGGGTTTGTTTACATTTGGCGATCGCTGTTGACCTGCATCATCAAATCAAATAGGGCTAACTTACCAGTGTAATCACAAATCACAAATCACAAGCCGAAAGCGATGCAAACGCCTTGATGCGGCCTTAATTTACGACCTGCCTTTGAGAGAGAACGACATCCCGGACACAATAGTGATGTCGTACCGTCATCCTCTACACCAGATTCAGGCAAATGACAACTCGGCGCAACTCGCAAAGCGCCAACCGTCGACTGCCTCGACGTCGTCGTCGGCCTACTCCCATCCCTCAGAAGCATCGTATCTGAGTCGCACAAGCACCATATCATCAACTGCATCAAGCGGATACCAGCAACCTGCGCATAAACGGGGTCTCAGCGAAGCCAAAGGCATGTCGCCCGTACGTCCTGGCAGCTCTGGAAGAGGCTTCAGCACCCCAAACTCAGGAGACCCTTTCCAGAGTGTGCGCCTGTCTCTGCGCCCGCTTCCCCAGGTACCTGCACAGACCTGTCCCTCGCCGCCTAGTAAACAACCATTCCAGCACTCAAGAGGACAAAGCTTGGATGTCAAGCCAATGTACAATGACACTGCTGCCTCTCCGCCTCCGAAGCGAACAGGTGCACTAAGGCCGAACTCGATGTTACTAAGCCGCGCCGACTCAACTAGAACGGTGCGATCTAATACCCTGCAGCCCAGCTCGCAACTCTCGCCATTAAACACTCCCGTGGCCGCGCCGGACCTTCAGAGCCTTGGAAAATCATCTACCGGCCACCTTCGCACTTTGTCGAAATTTGCAGAAGTATCATCTCCGAATGAGTTTGCTATTAGCTCACCCGCACAAGAAGTTGCAGGATTACATGGTAGAAGGAGGCTTCAGAGGACAGACAAAACAGCGAATGGTGGAAGTGCTGTCGCTCTCAGCAATGGCACGGGGTATAGCTGGGAGGGACGGAATTGGATGGACAAACAACGACAATTTTTGCAAGCCTACGAGTACCTCTGCCATATTGGAGAAGCAAAAGAATGGATCGAAGATATCATCCACAGGCCTATACCTCCGATTGTCCAGCTCGAGGAAGCCCTTCGCGACGGAGTCACCCTTGCTGAAATTGTTGAAGCTCTCCAGCCGGACAACCGATTCCGCATATTTAGAAACCCCAAACTCCAGTACCGGCATTCCGACAATATAGCCATATTTTTCCGATTTCTTGGCGAGATTGAGCTTCCAGATCTCTTCAGGTTTGAGCTGATCGACCTTTACGAGAAGAAAAACATTCCAAAGGTCATCTACTGTATCCACGCTCTAAGTTGGCTGTTATACAGGCAAGGTGTAGTTGACTTTCGCATTGGAAACCTCGTCGGACAGCTGGAATTCGAACACCATGAGCTTGAAGCAATGCAAAAGGGGCTTGACAAAGCTGGAGTCAGTATGCCGAGCTTTGGAAACATGGGCGCAGATTTTGGCCTCCCGGAGCCGGAGCCAGAGTTAGTCGAGTCAGAGGAAGACAGGATTGAAAGGGAGCTTCACGAAAACGAGTCATCAGTTATAGACCTTCAAGCACAAATACGTGGTGCCCTCCAGCGAATGCGACTTGCCAACACTATGGAGAAGCTGTGGAATTCGGAAGACTGGCTCGTCGACTTGCAGTCACGTATTCGAGGAGATTTTTCCCGCCAGATCATAGATTACCGCCTCAGCATGCGACGATTCGCTGTTAACTTGCAAAGTTCAGGCCGGGGGTTTATTCTCAGGAAGCAACTGATGAACCGAACCGAATTCTTCAAGAGCAGCGAAGCTGAAATATTAAAGCTTCAGAGCCTGTTCCGGGCAAGGAAAGTTCGGGCCGAGGTATGCATAACTAAGTCTGAGTTGAAAAAGGAGACTTTTGCTGTGAGGGACGTTCAAGCTGCTGTGAGGGGTTTTTTGATGCGAACGAGAATGGAACAACAACATCAAGAAACCAGAAGTGTGGCCGCTCCAGTGCGGGGCTTGCAAGCCTCAATCAGGGGAATGCTACTACGAGCAACTATCGCAAACGATCACCACATTCTCGACGCCGAAACAGCATCTATCGCCTTGATACAAGCAAACGCCAGGGCTATTCTAACCAGAATCCAGGTGTCCAGGCAAAAACAGGCACTTCAGGCTTCCACTGGCATTTGGAAAGCACTACAGGCTATGTCCCGTGGATACTTACTACGAAAGCAGCTTGAATTCACGAGGAAAGAACTGAAAGCGCAGTCACCAAGTGTGTCTATGTTCCAAGCAGCTATTCGAGCTTCGGCAGTACGAAGTGGGACAGCGAAGATCCTTGCCGCGCTCGAAACTGAAGAGACAACTATCACGGAAGTTCAATCGTTGGTTCGTGGAATGCTCTCGAGGAAAAGAATCGCAGCCCAGAAGGAAGCTCTTAGCCGCCAAACGGTAAATATCACCAAGCTACAAGGCCATTCAAGAGGCTTCCTCTCTAGAGCAGCCAATTCAGAGCTTCGCGCCGATCTATACTCCAACACTCCCGCAATAATCCAACTTCAGGGTCTTATTAGGGCCATGGTACATCGAAATGATATTGGAACCTTGTTGGGAGGGCTTGAGGATGAGGAAGACTCGATCGTTGCCTTTCAAACTGCCGCACGAGGACTATTAGTCAGGACCAAGTTTGCAGAGAAGCAGAAGTTCTTCAAGGAGAATATGCAGAAAGTCATCAAAATCCAAAGCTTTGTTAGAGGACGCCTCCAAGGAGAGGCCTATAAGAGCTTGACTACCGGCAAAAACCCACCCGTCAATACTGTCAAGAACTTTGTCCATCTATTGAATGATAGCGACTTCGACTTCAACGAGGAAATTGAGTTTGAGCGGCTCAGGAAAACTGTGGTGCAGCAAGTCAGACAAAACGAGACATCCGAACAATACATCGAGCAGCTGGACATTAAAATTGCGCTACTTGTCAAGAATAAGATTACTTTGGACGACGTGATGCAACATCAGCGGAATTTTGGAGGTCATGCTGGTAGCCTACTCCCAAGCACAGCAATGTCGTCGGGGAACCACTTTGATCTCAAGGCACTCAACAAGAATTCGAGAAAGAAGTTAGATACTTACCAGCAGCTTTTCTTCACCTTACAAACCCAACCGCAGTACCTAGCACGTCTCTTCCGCATGGTTCGCGAGCAAGGGATGGCGGAGCAAGAGTCAAAACGTGTAGAGACATTAATGATGGGCCTGTTCGGATATGCGCAAAAGAGGCGAGAAGAATATTACCTCCTGAAGCTTATTGCGCGATCCGTCAAGGAAGAGGTGGACGGATCCCACTCCATACAAGACTATCTCCGAGGCAATTTCTTCTGGACTAAACTTCTGGCAAACTATACCCGATCGCCACGGGACCGAAAATTCTTACGAGAGCTCTTGGGTCCTCTTATTCGCGAGAATATTATCGACGATCCCGCACTGGATTTGGAGAGCGACCCGATGCAGATCTATAGGTCCGCGATAAACAACGAGGAACTTCGAACCGGGCGACCCAGCCACAGACCGCTTGACGTCAGCCGAGGAGTTGCCATTAAGGATAAAGAGACGCGCGACTTGTTCATTGACCATCTCCGAGATCTCCGAGAGATTTCCGATCAATCCCTTCTCGCACTGGAAGAGACCTTGCAGAAGATGCCTTACGGAATTCGCTTTATTACGCAACAGTTGTTTGAATGCCTATGCGAAAGATTCCCTGGCGAAAAGCAAGCCTACATACTCCAGGTTGTTGGCCAATGGGTGTTCCGTTCCTATATTCAGCCGCCATTAACATCGCCACAAGAAGTTGGCGTGGTAGAGAGGCAATTGACGCCATTGCAGAAACGGAATCTTGGGGAAGTAAGCAAAGTGCTATGCCAAGTCACCACTGGCAAGCTCTTTGGCGGGGATAATATCTATCTTCAGCCCCTCAATGCCTATATTGGAACTGCCATTGAGAGGATGGGCATCATATTTGCCGACTTGATTAATGTCCCTGACGTGGAGCAAACCTTCGATATTGATGAGTTCAACGACCTGTACTCGAAAACCAAGCCGACACTATACATTAAGATGGCAGACATATTTGCCATACATAGCTTAGTGATCAAGGAGCTACCACAGGTATGCCCCAACAGGGACGATATGCTCCGAGAGATTATCCAGGAGCTTGGAAGTGCCAAGAACAACGAAATGGAATGGTCAGGCGTGACTTCGTCGGAGATCCAGATGACACTCAACCCCAAGCTTCACGATACCGATGATCCAGAAGCTACAGTAAAGGCTCTATTTATGGAGACCAAACGCTGTGTTTTGTATATCATCCGCGTCCAATCCGGACCCAACCTTATGGACATCCTTGTTCGCCCAGTTACACGCGAGGATGAGCAGAAGTGGAAAGCTCTTGTCAGAGAAGAGTTTGCTGCTGGTAGCAATACACGCGGCGCATATTCGGATGCTAACATGATGGATATCACCTCGATGCCATATTCTGAATTGAAACGCACAGCCCTAGAAAACATTATGCGCCTGGAGACACAGTTTGGCCGTATCTCGCGGCATAATCAATACCAAGATCTTCTCAATGCTATCGCCGTGGATATTCGCACAAAAAGCCGCAGGCGAATTCAAAGGCAGCGAGAACTGGAAGGCGTCAGGCTTACGCTGGGCAACCTTCACGATAAGGCAGCGTGGCTAGAACAACAACGGAAGAGCTACGACAACTATATCGAGCAAGCCATGATGACGTTACAGAATAAGAAAGGGTATATTACTATGATGCACCTTTGCCTCGGAATTTTTACTGACATTCCATAGCAAAAAACGATTCCTTCTACCATTTACCAGGCAGTACAACCACGAGCGTGAACTCCAACGAACCGGACGTCAGCCCAAGTTCGGCTCCTTCAAGTACTCGGCACGAAATCTTGCCGACAAGGGCGTACTTGTGTCATGGTCTGGCTACACCGAAAAGCAGTATGAAAAGATCAACGTCACCATCTCCTGTGATGAGGTTGGCATCTTCTTTATCGAAGGCAGCCTGGGCAGCATTCAAATACCGGGCGCCAGCGCCCAGGTTCCGCTGGAAGACTGCCTGAGCGCGCAGTTCAACAACCATCAATTTATGAACTTGTTCGAGGGTGGACTGAAGCTGAACGTCAATCTTTTCCTTCATCTTATTTACAAGAAGTTCTATAGATCGACGGACTAGACTGGCTGTGCACTCTCTGCTTGAGCTGGAACCGGAACTTTCACGAGTAACTGACGAAGTGGAGATGTCTTTTTTTGTTTTTGTTTTTTTTGCATAGCCTGGTTTTGTGTGGAGTTTGGGTGTGGGTGGGAGCTGGAAGCTGGGAGCTGGGCTGCTAGAGGGTGGGTGGGTGGGAAAGAATGGATGAGGTGTTTTATTTGTCGTCTTCGTTTTTATACGAAGCTATGATTTAGTCTTTACATACCCCTTTCTATTCTTCTAGGGCCATTAATGGATGGAGTGATGAATGGGATAAAGGGGGTATTTGGTTATACATTAACTTATATGGAAATGAGAAGCTTTTATGTTAGCTGTTTGTTTGTGCCTTGTGCCGCCCAAAGATCAGAAGAGAGACTGTAGATAACAATAGTAATTACAGCAACTGTAACCAAAATTAAGGCTTTCAATTACTAGATTTTGTCTTTGCCTCAACTTGATCTGAAAATATCACCGAACGTTCAAATCTCCCAATCAAAACAAACCCAATTCAGACATCCAACCTCTCACAACCTGACAGAAAGTTTGCACGCGCCGAGATTTTTCACCATGTCCAATCATTTCCAGCTCCAAAGGGCCATCAACTGTATCCAATAGGTCCTCCCACAGCAACTGATATTGCCCACTGCCATCTCACATTCCTCCCCCACGCCACGTCGCTCTCGAGCCTCAAATGCAGTCGTGCGGCACAAACCACTCCACAACCGGACCGTACTCTCCCCAACCACTCTCCCAGTCCTGGATATCAGATGTTCGTAAAACCAACCAACGGGCCTTGTATATTCATCCACCACTTTTGGGGAGAGATATTCCTCTTCGAGGAAACAAACGTGGGGTGAATTGCTCGTCCCTGGCGCGGTAGGTGTGGCGGTAATATGGTAGGTATGATGGGAGATATGGGTCGTCATCATCGTAGTAGTAGTTTTCTCGGTGGCTGTATGGAGGGTTGTGGAGTTGGGGTTTGTGATAGGGGTGGTTGTGTTTGTAGCCATCGTTGGTGATGGAGTGTCGATATTCGTAGTAGGCGAACAAAAGCGAGCTCCAGTTTCGCATGCCAAACGGACCCTCACGCGATACCACCTCGGGATGACTGCTGTGGCAAACAAAGCATCTTCCCGACGCGCACGCAAACGGAGTTGTTCCGGACGCAATTACCAGCCATCATTCTGATAACAAAGAACGCTCCGCTCACGGATACCATTCGGAGACGTTGCGGACATGATACTAGCCGCGTGCTTTGCGGACAAAGCACTCTCTCAGGAGGGGGGTAGTGTAAGGATGCCTGTCCCTCAGTGACGGAAAGGATCTGAGTCCGGCAGGTTATGGTCACCTGATAAGAGTAAAGGCAGGTTAGCCGAGTCGGACCCGTTTCGGGTACTTAAGGAGATTGACCCAACGGGGGTAGTGACGGGGTGTGTTGTAATAGTCACATGATCTCACGTGATCTCCGGTCGGATTATCGGTAAAGCCAAGTATAGGTTACATAGTCAGGAATACATACATTTATTACTCAACAGAAGGTCTCTGAGTCGGACAAGTCACGGTCACGAGGTGAGAGTGAAGGCAGGTGTCATACTGACATTCGTTGCACTCAGTTTGCTATCAAACTCAAGAGCAAACTTAGAAATCTCCTCCTCAAACCTACAAGTCACCATACATATCTTGGCTTATCACACCAACAACAGAAGCAATACTACTCAACGATTGCTGCAAACTCTTCTACTACATCTGTTTATGCTACATACATCACAGCATATCATTTGGACACTCATTGAACAAGTTATTAAGAAAATCTCCTCCTTAAGGGGGTGGGCCAATACTACCACATGGCATATCTCTACCAACTAGAGGCCTAGTAACATGAACGATAGCTCTAGAAGCTTCTACAACCCTCTATGATTCATTACACGTCATCGCTCCTTAGTTACCCACAAGATTGGTTAAGTTATGACATAATTTATCTATAGGTACTCTGACCTTGGACCTCCTTTTCACTTCCTATAGGCTAGGAACCCAAGAGATGGTTCTATGGGATTCTGTTACTTTCACTACATGATTAGCAAGCTAGTTGTGGGTCGCACTTGATTTCTAATACATTTACCAAGCCTGGTTAGTCATGGAAAGTCATGGAAAATGAGAGAACTACACTCCTTTGGCATAAATAGGATTGCCCTTTCCTTAAGAAAGGGCAAGCAGGCAATACAGTAAATCGACTATCACATACTTCCACGTCTTTTACAAGCTTCCAAGCATTCATCTTGTTACTCCTTGTTTCTGAAAAGTCAGTGAGGTGCTAACCTCTGACTTACCCCTGAGTTCCCAGACTCAACATTTGTTGCAACTTGTCTGAACCACTTCACTACATCACACACCTGATTGCTGCGTTGTGGAATAGTCTAAGCTACGGCCCTTTGGCTCTGTTTCCTAAGACAGTGTGTTGTCTTAGTAAAATCATCCCTTCCTTGGGTGGCTAGATTCTCACATCTGGTGCACCCACCATTACAGCAGGTTAGCCGAGTCGGACCCGTTTCGGGTCGGGACTTAAGGAGATTAATGTAACGCTGACTTCTAAACGATAGAAGACACAGAGGTTCTCTTGCGTAAAGGTTTACTTATCAGAGGAGGCAGGGGATCAGACACAAAGGCTTCAAGTAACACGTTACTAGTATATAACAAATACTGTATTGAGTTGAGCACGAAGCTCCTATCTAAGGAAATACTATCTACTTATATAGTGGCGTCGTGCCTAGTGGACTCTTGGGAACTCACTCGAGTCCTCGGAGTCCTGGACTCTTAGGACTCTTCTCATCATCCTGCGAGTCCATCACGTGCCTAGTGGACTCCTGGGAACTCACTCGAGTCCTCGGAGTCCTGGACTCTTAGGACTCTTCTCATCATCCTGCGAGTCCGTCACGTGATACCTTCGGAACTACTATTCCCCGCTGCCCCTCCAGGTACCAGGGCCGGTCTCATGCGACCTCCCTCCTTCCTGTCCTGTAGTTGGCCAGCCTTCTTGTTCCGTCGTAACAATTAACCCAACAGGGGTTCCTCTCTTCATCTTTTTTGTTTCCTTCGTAGTAGACCTATAGGATAGCATCCGTTTAGCCTCTGACTCGCACTCTCATATGCTATTACTGTGAGCTGGGTGCCCTGTGTCCTTACAGGTGGACGTTGTCTGGGGCTTTTTGGATGGCACCTTTCGAGGCCATTGCTGTCCACTTGGCCAAGATGCTCAGAGGGAGGTATACTTTGGACATAAACGGGAACATGGCTTGAACTATCAAGCTATTGTTACACCTGATGGGCTGGTTTCATCGCTCGTTGGCTCCTTTCCTGGTCCAACGAATGACTGGGTTATGTGGCAGAAGTCTGGCTGTGAAGCAGCTATTCGCAAAGTATATCTTGCTCTCTCTCTTTCTCCCCTTCTCTCTCTTTCCCCTTCTCTCTCTTTCCCCTTCTCTCTCTTTCCCCTTCTCTCTCTTTCCCCTTCTCTCTCTTTCCCCTTCTCTCTCTCTATTTAAGCTATACTAACATATCTACGGCGAACCAGCATACTTTGCCGCATATGGCATCTCCTGTCCCTTTGAGCATCCGGAAGGCCAGAGGATGCTTGACGATGACAAGCAGCAGTTTAACACTGCTTTGTCAAGTGTCCGGATCGAGGTTGAGAGCGCATTTGGCAAAACGCAGGTCCTTTGGACACATACTGCATTTGCTAAAGGAATACGGGCTGGTTGGTCTCCAGTGGCAGCTGTCTTTGTGTCAGCAATCTTGCTGACCAATTGTCACACCTGTCTTTGTGGACAAAGATGGCGGAATCGGTTTTTGGTGCTCCCTCCAGAGCTTCACGAGTATTTGGATTTGTCTAAAGACTCTATCTAAGGTATGTACATTCTCTCTCTCTCTCTCTTGTGCTCATAAGAATCATAAGATCTTATGATCTCTGTACCTAATCCTCCCCGTTGAGAGACCAATTGTAATGGTGGGTGCACCAGATGTGAGAATCTAGCCACCCAAGGAAGGGATGATTTTACTAAGACAACACACTGTCTTAGGAAAAAGAGCCAAAGGGTCATAGCTTAGACTATTCCACAACGCAGCAATTAGGTGTATGATATAGTGGAGTGGTTTAGACAAGTTATAACAAATGTTAGAGCCTGAGAACTCAGGGATAAGTCAGAGGTTAGCACCTCACTACTTTTCAGAAACAAGGAGTAATAAGATCAATGCTTGGAAGCTTGGAAAAGACGTGGAAGTATGTGATAGTCGATTTACTGTATTTTCTGCTTGCCCTTTCTTAAGGAAAGGGCAATCCTATTTATGCTAAAGGAGTGTAGTTCTCTCATTTTCCAAAACTTTCCATGACTAACCAGGCTTGGTAACTGTAGTCGATGTAAGAGAATCCCATAGAACCATCTCTTAGGTTCGTAGCCTATAGGAAGTAAAAGGAGGTCCAAGGTCAGAGTACCCCTATAGACAAATTATGTCATAGACAAATTATGTCATAGACAAATTATGTCATAACTTAACCAATCTTGTGGGTAACTAAAGAGCGATGACATGTAATGAATCATAGAGGTTCGTAGGAGCTTTTAGAGCTATCGTTCATGCTCCTAGGCCTCTAGTTGGTAGAGATATGTCATGTGGTAGTATGAGTGATGTCATGTAATGAATCATAGAGGGTTGTAGAGATATGCTATGTGGTAATATCGGCCCAGTAACTAAGGAGCGATGACATGTAATGAATCATAGATGGTTGTAGCAATCGTTGAGTAGTATTGCTCTTGTTGTTGGTGTGATAAGCCAAGATATGTATGGTGACTTGTAGGTTTGAGGAGGAGATTTCTAAGTTTGCTCTTGAGTTTGATAGCAAACTGAGTGCAACGAATGTCAGTATGACAACATCGGTGCACCCACCATTATAGTCACGTTCTATACTGCTTACAATGGATAACTTCTCGGCCCATATTGCTGCAGTGGAATCGACGCCTCCTCCTCCAAACATATGAATTATCTGGCTTCCTCCAAATGCGACCAGTCGATATCAACCTCTTGATCAAGGTATTATAGCCTCTTTAAAAAGCTATTATCATTGGCAATGGCTCAAGTTCATGCTCGAATCTTTTAGCAACAACCTGGATCCAATCAAAACAATGACAATACACTTTGCAATTTGCTGGCTTATTTGATCATGGCATCACGACGTTACAAATACGACTATCTACAATTGCTTTCGAAAAAGCACGATTCTTTTACGCCCAATACAGCTTCCTATACACCCACTCCCTGTTCTAAACGACTTATATACTCGAGTACAACAAGCTGGTCATATATTAGACGCTATGGACCTTTCGAACTTTTTGAATCCAGCGGAGGAGGGAATACAAGAGGTGGAGGGAGGCTTAGATGAGGACACAATTCTACAGGAGGCGATGGCTCCATATATACAGGTTTCCGATGCTCAAGATGATGATGATGAGGAGCCCCAGCATCGCTACATACATCACGGCATATCATTTGGACACCCATTGAACAAGTTATTAAGAAAATCTCCTCCTTAAGGGGGTGGGTTACCACATGGCATATCTCTACCAACTAGAGGCCTAGGAACATGAATGATAGCTCTAGAAGCTTCTACAACCCTCTATGATTCATTATCACCACACAGAATGCTGTACAAGCCCTCCAAGTTCTGATTGAGTTCTCAGAATCTGAGAATAGTGGCATCACGGATCCAGCATCATTTTTGCGCTCTTTAGAGCGTGTGGAGAGGAAATTAGTGGCCAAACAGGCCAATGAGTTGATTCAAGGCACGTTGGATGGATGGATGGTTTAGCTGAGGGGCTACTTCGGGTCTACTTCAGATCACTTTCTAACTCGATATTTCTATAACTCAATATATTTATGCATGACCAATTACATCGACTTAACGAGATAATACTGTATATATATATATAACGTACATGTATAGCGAAAGCGCCAAACAAGCGAAAGCGCCAAAATGATGCGGTGACCAAACCCCCCAACTAAATGTTAAATTCCTCAACAACAAAACATGCCCCATAAAAACGATGAAAGCCAATTAGTGCTAGCTATCCAGGCTATGCAAAGCGACCCAAAGTTACGCCTTCGAGTTGCTGCTAGGATCTATTCTGTGGACCACCGCAAGCTAGGTCGTCGTCTAGAAGGTGTACCTTCACGACGCGATATCCAAGCCAACTCACGGAAATTAACTAACCTAGAGGAGTCCGTCCTTGTTCAGTATATACTCGACCTAGCTGCCAAAGGGTTTCCTCCTCGGCTGTCTGTTGTTGAAGATATGGCAAGTCGACTACTTGCAACACGCGACGCGTCACGCGTTGGGTCGCGTTGGGCTTCAAACTTTGTTAAGCGGCGTGTAGAGCTCCAGACACGCTTTCAGCGCAAATACGACTACCAGAGGGCTAAGTGCGAAGATCCAGAAGTTATTAATGGCTGGTTTGAGCTTGTGCGTAACACAATTGCGAAATATGGTATCGATGAAGCAGATATCTACAACTTTGATGAGACTGGGTTTATGATGGGCGTTATCTCAACTGCTATGGTTGTAACAAGCTCAGACGGGCGGGCAAAAGCAAAGAAGGTACAGCCTGGTAATCGGGAATGGGTTACAGTAATCCAAGGCGTTAGTTCTCAAGGTTGGGCAGTACCACCATTTATCATTGTTGCAGGCAAAAACCACCTTACATCTTGGTATGAGAATAGTGGATTTTCAAGCGATTGGGTGATTTCTGTTACTGAAAATGGCTGGACTACAAACGAGAGAGGCATGGATTGGATTCAGCACTTTGAGAAGCATACAAAGGCCCGGAGTGTTGGTGGTTATCGCTTGTTAGTCCTTGATGGTCATGAGAGCCACCACTCAGATGAGTTTGAGGAGTACTGCAAGGAACACAACATTATTACGCTTTGTATGCCTGCTCACTCTTCTCATCTACTCCAGCCACTTGATGTTGGCTGTTTCGGCCCGTTAAAGCAGGCCTATGGTCGGCAAATTGAAGATATGATGCAGGCTCATATTTCTCATATTACAAAGGATGACTTCTTTCCTGCCTTCCACGCTGCATTTAACACTACAATGACGGAAAGTAACATTTGAGGCGGGTTCCGAGGGGCAGGGCTTCTTCCATTTGACCCTGAGAGAGTGATATCTACACTTGATCTTAAGTTAAGGACACCAACGCCTCCAAGCTCCCGCCCAGGTACTGCTCAACCTTGGGTTTCTCAGACACCAAACAACCCAATTGAAGCTATGTCACAGTCTACATTTATTAAAACTCGGATTTCACGCCATCAAAATAGCTCTCCAACCTCAATCTATGCAGCTGTTGACCAGTTTACAAAGGGTGCATCGCAAATAATGCATCAATTAGCACTGCTAAAGGGAGAGAACCAAAACCTACGACAGGCAAATGAAGTACTAAGCAAGCGCCGGAGAGCTAGGAAAACACGACTACAGCAAGGAGGATCACTTAGTCAACAAGGGGCGCAAGAGCTACAGGATGAGAGGGATGTTGTGCAGCAGGTAGAGCAGGAAATAAGGGCAAGCCGTGGTCGGAAGCCAAGGGAAGAAACCCGTGCCCGTCGCTGTGGCAAGTGTGGTGAGACTGGGCACAATGCGCGCACGTGTCAGATTGTAATAGACACCTCTGAGGAAGAGGACTCCGAGTAGTTTCAATTGATTTCTAATGTTGTGGTAGATTTATCGCAATGTTTGTCGTGAGGGTAGATAATTTTGGCGCTTTCGCTTGTTTGGCGCTTTCGCTATACATGTACGTTATATATTATCTAATTATACTTATTTATAATTTTTAGTTTTAGAAATATTTAAATTTATACTTATAAGGTCTAACCTTAAGACTATTTCCCTTACTAGAGTGTAGGTGTTGACATTCCAAGTCCTTGTCTGGTGGCAGTTTGGCAGTATAGACTGGCGCCTTTCTTGAGCTGTTTTGCCCATTTTCTTGAAATCTTCTTGGGCTTCAAGGAAGTCATCCTGAAGTTCATCTTTATTCTCAGACTCATCTGCTGGGGTTGTTTTCTCATTCATAGACTTGTAGTCTTCTGGGTTTCGGTCAGCCATCTTGGCTTTTTCTTTGGCAGTGTGTGCCATAGCAGCTTTGCTATTTTTTTCGTAGTAGATCAGACTCATATCGCCAAAGGCCCTATTGTGCAGTTTGTCGACTGTAGGAGCCACTCGAGAGGAGCGCACTTCCCTCACAGCTATATTCCTTGTCGAGGGAGCATTGTGAAAGGTCTGATCTATGAAGTTGGTGATGTTCTGTAGCTCATGAGCAGACAATGGCAGGATAAGCTGCTGTTGTGAAATATCTTGAAAATGAGAAGTCAAAAATCAGCACTACTCGCAATAGAGAATCACACCAGAAATTCACTAAGATCCCATACCCTCCTACTCTCACAGACGGAATAGAGCCAGCTTATGACGATTGGAGCATTAAGATAAAGATGAAGCTCGAGGCGAACCTTGACCATTTTCCTACTCCAGCCCTTCAGATGGGTTATGTGCAAAGCAGACTAGGTGGCAAAGCCTCCTCTCACATCAATCCACGCCTTCAATCTACTCAGAACAAGTTTCAAACTGTAGAGGAAATGTTTGAAGTCCTAAACAGAGTCTTCAGTGATCCAGACCGCTGCTTTACTGCACAACGCGCTTATAGAAAGCTCTTCCAAAACAAGGATAACTTTGCTACCTTTTGGGCAGAGTTCCAGAGACTCACTGTTGAACTGGATTACTCAGAGGAGACCCTCATTGATGACCTCCGCCATAAGGTTAATATGAAGATGCAGACTGCTTTAATAGCAGAGATAAATCCAAGCTCTCTCCATGCCTTTGCACAAAAGTGCTTACTGATTGATCAGAATATCCAGCAACTTCAAATCCAAGATGCTCGCACTGTCCCTCAAGTTATTCAGCAAGCCTTTAAGCCACAAGACTTTCACAGTAAGGCTAAGCAGCCTACTACAAACCCACCTGCTTGCTGGCTTTAGACCACCAAGACTATATCGTGCACCACATCAGAACCCTGCAACTGAGAAGTTAATGCAGGAAGGCCGCTGCTTCCATTGCCAGCAAACTGGACACCGAGCTTATGAATGTCCTACCAAGAATGCTCAAGTCCACGAAGTTAGCACTTATGATGCTCCACTTTCGGGAAAAGAATAACCTTCAGACAAGAAATACTATTCAGGGTTACCTAACAAGTTTGGGCCCGGACAATCTATCCGTATAAGTCAGGTATTCTAATTAAAGAATCCTTATACCAGAGATTCCCCCACATCCCGTCACCGAGGAGTCTTCATATCTCCCTCCCCCGTATTCCCCCGTAAGCCAAACCCACCCGCCCCCTAATATCAACCCAACCATGGCAATACCCACCTCATGTAGGCCTCTTAAACCTAACCCACCCATGAGTCCTCTCCTCCACCCCCGCATCCGCCCCCAGATGCCCCTCCCTCCAGCACCTCACACAATACAGCGCCTCCTCCGCGTCCCCAAAATTGTCCTGGCAGCCGCGACACAGCACAGTAGCGTGATCATAGCATATCACGCATGCAGTAGCGGGTTCCGGTGCAGGTTTCCGAGGGGGGCCGCGGGGCGAGGAGACAGGGGCGGTGGATGGGGCGGAGGGCATGCCTAGGGCGTCTGTTGTGGTGGGGTTTTGGAGGGCGGCCATGCGGGCTGCGTTGGTGAAGGCGAGGGCTTCGGGATCCGGGGGGGGGAGGAGGGTGGAGGGGGTGGAGGGGGTTGAGGGGGTGGAGGGGAGGGTGAGCGGGTGGGTGGTGGGTGTTGGGTCTGGGGGGGGTGGTGGTTGTGCTTGTGGTTGGTTGGCTGCTTCGTCCCTTTCTTCGAGATGTGCTTCGTCGAGGAGGCGTGCAAGGATCTCTTCTGCTTCCCGTGCTTCTGCTTCGTCATCGAATTTCTCTGCGTCTGACTCACCAGCTGGTGAGTCCCTTGCATCTGAGTCTCGGGACCCCGCATTCTTGGGGATTTTGTGTTTGCCTTCCGACTTGAGCAGTTTATCTGAATCCGATAGGCTATCGGCAGCTTCTTCACGCAGACGTCTAATCACATCTTCGGGAGTTGGCACCTTCGAACCTTCCCGTGATGGCCGCCCATCAGACTTGCTTACGGGAACATCATGTGATACCCCCCGTGCAAAATCTAGAGCTTCGCGCGCCAGCTTCCTGTCAGCTCTGCCATCGATCTCCACAATCGGCGAGTCGAGACTGGAGATGGCAGATTCCGTCTGTGCGCTAGCGTTGGATAGAACACCGAAGGTTAAGGGAAGGTGCGACCCAGAAGAGCTGCTTTTGGCGTCACCGCCACCACCATTGCGGAGCGCGCGGAGACGGTCGGAAAGGAGTGTATCGGGGGTCTGCAGGGTGCCGGGGATAGAGAGGTTGGGTCTACGGAAGAATTAGAACGAGCTGGTGGAGATTAGGGGGTGTGTGGGGGGTTGGGGGGGTTAAAGAAATGTGATAAACTGTACCGTGAGTGATCGAGTGAGACGGTTGTTGGACGGAGAGCGTTGAGTCTGGCCAAGAGGTCGGCAGGGTCATCGGCCATCTGCAGTACGGGATTTAGATTGACACTTCTTTATTCCGTGTCTACAGTATATGCGCATCGCCGAGAGGGAGATACCGCCGTACACACTGAGAAGGCGGGCGGCCGTGTTTCAATAAAGTCACGTGCCAGGGTATGGAACCGTGCGCTATTCGATTGGGAATAGCGCACCGCCATCGGTGAGGTTCCGAGCAGCATTGTCATCGTGCCTCAAGCAAATGCTCTACCACAAGTAAACTACCTGCCGCTCAGCCTGCCGCGTTTGCCGTTGGAGATGACGTAGATCGGCTTTGTGCCACGTCTTGGCTATAGCGTTATAGGTTTCTTGCTTTCTCGTCAGATGCGCACTCTTGATATTGCGAATACTCGGGATCTTGGGCTACACCGCGTCATGTCATAGTAACTTACCCCAGGAATCAACGGCGACGACCACTTTCGACCACTTGCATCCACCATCCACCAACCGCCACCAACCCCCCCCCACCCTGCCGCCATCAGCCTCTTGGCAATCGGGCGAGTCCGGGTCATTCCTGTACACGCCGCTTGCGTCTCGCCGGTGATCACGGTCTCCCCTGAGCGTCGATGTTGGGGATCGTCTCCACGTTCGGCACTTGCGGGGGGGGTTTGTGGGGTACTTGGACCATATACCCCGCAGAACTATGCGTTTTTGTTGGGGAAAGCTCCTCTTCCATGTTTCCCCGTATTCCCCATATTCCCCATGCATGTCTCATGCATGTCTCATGCTCGGAACTTGACCGACAGCACCATCGAGCCATCATGAGATCATCGTTATAAAGGTAGGTTCCCAGCCTTTGAGCTGTCTTCTCAGTGCTACCGGGTTTTCCTTCTCTCTATTGTATTCTTTCCTGCACATCATCATTCACAATGGCGGGCGGAAAACAGCCATTCAACATTTTCAAGTTGAACCGGGGAGACGACCCGAAGGAAGTCCTGAACTGGAGATTATGGCTCGCCGTCTTCTCCTTTGGTTTGATGGGAGCCGCCCGAGGTGTCGATGAAGGTCTCATCAGCGGCACTCTCAGCTCGAAGAATTTCAGGCACAACCTTGGGATTAGCTCCCCCGACCAGATTACCCCAGAGGAATATGCCAACATCAAGGCGAACATTTCGGCCATGGTGCAGATTGGCAGTGTCGCCGGTGCTGGACTGTAAGTCTTTTCTTTCCCAACATCAATAACACGAGATCTAATCGATATAATAGCGCTTTCATTCTATGTGATCGCATAGGTCGTCTCTGGGCAACGCGTCAACTCTGCCTCATCTGGATCATCGGTATCGTCATCTTCTTGACCAACAACGACAGCCTGGGCCAGGTCTACGCCGGTCGTTTCATTGCTGGTTTGGGTATCGGCCAGACTACCGTCGTCGCCCCCGTATACCTCTCCGAGATCTCCCCAAAGTCTGTCCGCGGTTTCTGCACAACCACTTTCTCTGGATCCGTCTACCTCGGTATCATGTTGGCATACTTTGCCAGCTGGGGATCCTCTATCCACATCTCTGACAAGACCGACACGCGTTGGGTTGTGCCGACCACCCTCCACATCATGTTCGCCGGCATCATCTTCATCCTCTCCTTCTTCAACTACGAGTCTCCCCGCTACCTCATTAGGAGAGGCAAGGACGACCACGCCATTGTCAACCTGGCGCGTGTCCGCAATCTCCCCGTCGACCACCCAGCCGTTGTTGCTGAGATTGCTGAGATCCAGGCCCAGCTTAACGAAGAAAAAGAGGCGACCCTCGGCCTTGGATGGAAAGGTCTCATGAAGGAGATGTTTCTTATGCCAAACAACCTCTTTAGAATCCATATTGGTCTTATGTCACAACTCTTATCACAGTGGAGTGGAGCCCAGAGCATAACAATTTATGCACCTGATTTCTTTGCATTATTAGGAACGACAGGCCAGAACGAGAAGCTATTTGCAACTGCCATCTTTGGCGTTGTTAAGTTGGTGGCAGCGTTGATGTGCGCGTTTTTCCTCGTTGACGTTATTGGCCGCAAGCGCTCGCTTGCCATTGGAATCTTTCTCCAGGCCTTGTCAATGATATACGTGGCTATCTTCCTCACTGTCACAGGAGGAAAGGGCTCGGAAGATTACTCCAGCTCTGAGAAGCATGCCAGCGTCTGCGCAATCGTTATGATCTATGTCTCTGGCTTTGGTTGGGCGATGGGATGGAACACCATGCAGTACCTTCTCAACTCGGAGATGTACCCTCTACGCATCCGTGCCATCAGCTCCAGTCTCGTCATGTGCTTCCACTTCGTCAACCAGTACGGCAACAGCCGTGCCGTCCCCAACATGCTGTTGAAGCCCAGCGAGGGCGGCATGGGACCGGCAGGAACCTTCTGGTTCTTTACAGTCATCACGGCGATTGGTGGATTGTGGGCGTGGTTCTTCATTCCAGAGACGGCAGGACGCAGTCTGGAGAGCATGGATCGTCTCTTCACCCTCAAGTGGTACCAGATTGGTACCAAGGGGCAACAGGAGGCCGAGATGCAGCAGGCGGTCGAGACCGAGAAGATGCAGGAGGAGGAGGCGAGTCGGGGGACTGCGGCGCATACAGAGAGGGCGCAGGGTGTTTGAGGGAGTGGTATCACAGTCACTATATCACAGTCACTATATCACAGTCACGTATAGTGCCTGAAATTGATCATATTTATGAGCACAAGAAACAACCTATTGCCGGCGGGTAATCTGCGGCTCCTCACCCCAAGACCCGCCATAGTTTCTCATAAAGCCATCGCAATATACTTTCCCGATTCTGACATCTCCCAGAATGTTAAGAGTAACTCCATAACCCCCTTCGGTGAGCGATATTGTCGATCGATCCAGAACGTTTCGGGAGAATTTAGCTGAGGGGTGGCCACTACGACAGGTAATTATCCTTGGAGTGGTTCTTGTGCGCCCACATATATCACCAAGCAACTTATCCTCGCCGTCTATTGAGGGGTTAACAGGCACATGAATGCCGTCAACTTACGGAGACCCCGTTGTCTTCTACACCAACGCCGGACAGCAGGCTACTGGTGTGCTGGAGGTGCTGTAGATGTGTGGTGGGGATAGTCGAGTTGCTGCTGCTTGATTCGATTCTCCTTTGCTCTCTAGTTGGATGGATTGTTGGATGTGTCAGTCGTTACGGTATTGTATATATGTGAGCAGACGTGCTCAAATGCAGGATCGTGTTGTCATCGGGTCAATAAAAATGCATTTTCTTACCACGAATTTTATAACTGTGAAAATAATCGTATTTTCTTATTTTTTCTTCTGCTCTTGATGGGTTTGATATACTCGTAGGGCATAAAAGTGTTAGGAACTCTAAAGGTAAGTTAATAAATTTGAATATTTATACTAATTTCCATAATTTACTTGCCTCCTAATATCTGTGACGCGGGTTGGTGCCCTTTCAGCCTTTGGGACAGCAAAGGAACAACGTCACTGAGGTTTGACTATATAAATCCTTCTTTAATTTTACAATATAGCCCCAAGCATTGAACATTGAAGATGGGGCGAAGAGCATAAAAACAGAAGAAACGGAACACAAAGCTTGGTGTCTATTGCACCGTTACCCCGCCCCTCTCGCGGAGTCCGATCCCAGTACTACACAAAGAAAACATAAAATATCCAGCCCGTATCTGTGCTTCAACGAGATGCTCTAGCGTCGCAGCTCATCAGAAGGCAAGTAGTTCGTTCATCTACGGCACAGTCGGTCCTGCGACATACGACCACGGGGGGCTGCAGTGGCAGGAAGGACGTTGCGACTAGCTCCTTGAATGTGGGATAACCCGAAGGTTGAATCGAGGAGGGTTGCTTGTGCCGCGATCGGGGAGGGGGGAGGGCAGAAAGTATGTTGAGATGCGAGAAAGGGTGAGATATGGTGGGGGTATGGTGGGAGAGGACGGATCCTGATGACAAGAGTATACGTTGGAGGGGTCCGGTTGCGTGGAAAAGCGGTCGTATTTGGTGGTGGAGGTGCAGAGCGAGCTGTGGCTTCATGGGGATAATCCTCGAGAAACTAGGCATCTCGGGACTCGAGACCTGAAGTAGTGGGATTATGGTGTGCTTGACCATTGATGCGTGGGAAGTCTCGATGTGGCGTAGTTGTATATTTTGCCGTTATTCTGTAATCACTGTCGCAATCGTCTCCAAAGCACATCCGAAGGCTCTTCGTGATACTCTCAAAGTCTGTTGGTTAGTCTGTTGTCGCCGTCCCATCAAATCCACAACTGTCACGCATCAAACATAACACGCTCAGAGATGAATCCGCAAAATGATGTGATAAGTTCTCAGTTCTTGATACTGCCCCGTCTGACTATTTCAGCAACGCCATTTGGCATCAGCCAACCATGCCTCCCAGCCGCACCAGAATTTCCTTCCTTCACACCATGGCCAGCCCAATATCTATGCCGCGGTCAGCATGTGCTTCGTCGTCGCGCATTCAATCGTATCGTACCGGATGTAATCCATTTATCTTTGTTGCTGTCCGCTCCAGACGCTCTTCAGGAGACCATCACGCTGTGCCAACCTGTTGAGGGAGTCGTCGCTCTCACCCATCGAGCGGACGAAGCCGCAGAGGGCGTAGACCTGGTTCTCGCCGGTGTATCTGCCGTTGTCGTCGACCTTTCCGACGGAGATCTGGACGGATGCGTGGTCCTTGGCCTTGATAATGCGGTTCGTTGCGCTGCACTTGCGGGGGACCAAACTGTGGGAAAAACGACGTTAGCATACCCTGTAACCTCGCGGAGCAACTCGACGGCGGGGAATTGGCGCATCGAGAGAGAATTGAGGAGAGGAGGGGGAGACGAACAGGTCAACGAGTTCTCCCTTATCGTTCTCCATGTTTGCGACGTTAAGGTGTTGATGTGAGGGCGGGGGGAATTGAGTTGGCTGTCGTTGGTGATGGGCGGCTTGGGCGGCTTTTGCGCTTCTCGAATTTTGGTCATGCCCTAACGAAATTTTGGCGACTGTTCGTGGGTCAGGTGACATATGGAGAATTACACGGTCATGTGACTTCGCGGATTATTCGCGACCCTTAGGATTCAGGGATCCACTTTGCTTGTTGTGAGGATTGAGGACGAAGATACGGCAACCACAATGCGATAAGACTCCATGACACTGCGACTATACAATGCTTTGAATATGACCTGAACCCTCACTCACTCACATTGTTGATTCTCTGACAGCGGCATTTTGTGCGCCTAAATGTACCTTGGGTCGCTTTTAAGGTGTCGTTCCTCATCCCAAGGCCATGCGCTGGGCGCAAAACCATACGGCGCAGCCTCAACATGACGACAATAGACTTGGTGATTCTCTCTTCTTCACCGCCAAAACCTCGCAGGCATGATGCTGCGTTTGCGCACGCAATGTCTTTGTCGCCGAGCCGACTGCCATCGCCCAATACCCTTATCCGACAAAACAGAGCTTTGCGATCGGGCGCACCCGCTCCAAGTGCCGTGGCGTTATTGAGTACGAGTGTTGGCGGCCTCTTGGGGGCAAACAATACTGCGCGATCGAAGCAGAACGACTCAATTTGGGATTTCCCTGAAGATGAGATGTCTGGGACGGAATTGGCCATACCGGAACCGTCAAAAGTGAAGGCTGCATCCAAACCGAGAGCGAAGAAAGCCACTGCTGTAAAGGACGACAATGGCGCGAGCGAAGCACCTCTCAAGAAGCCTCGAAAACCAAGGGCCAAAAAGACAGATGAGGATGCCGGACCTGTTGGGGAACCAGCTGTGAAACAAAACGCGGTTCGCAAACCAAGAGCGAAGAAAACCGACGCGGAAGGCCAAACGAAAATTCCCAAGGGAAGGATAACCAAGTCTTCAACCGGCTCGATATCTAAGAATGATGGCAAGGCGGGCGACACCGTTAGCGCACATTTTGCGAAGTTTACGAATACGGAAGATTATATAGATATAGACAATATAACTCTGGATAAAGGTTTAAATTTACAAGAGGCAGCAAAACGACGGGCGGACTGGACGCCGCCGAAGGCCACAGACAAAGGGTTTTCATTTGGAGGTGCATTGGGAGAAGTGGTGGATTTGGATACGCCCCCAAAGGTGTTGACAGATCTCCTTGGCAGCTTTGGGTATTCTAAGCCCGAAGAACAATCCACTTCTATCAGAGAGGTTGGTATGGTCACAGCACGAAAGCGAAAGCTTATTGAGTTAGTCGAGACGAATGCAATGCTGGCATCGCCGCAAGTCGCACCAACCACAAAGGCCACAAAGAAGAGGCCGACGACTATCACCGAACGAGCTACTGCGGCGTATGCGAGAGGCAACGATGATGATATGGAGCCGACGCCACTCCTTCAATATTTGTCTCACAAGGATACCGGATCTGGCTCTGGCACCAAGTCAAGGGCAAGAAGCCCAGCTAAGAAGCCAAGGGGCAAGAAAGCGGCGGCTCCGCCACCGCCAGATCTACTCAATCCACAAGCTGCACACGAGCAAGCCAACCGCCAAGAGTTTGTCTTTGGCACATCAAGTCAACTTGCGCAGGACGAAGACCCTGAATTTTTGAGAGACCTTCAGCAGGCGATCCAACTCTCAAACCGATCAGAGGATCCCTTTGCCGAGGACTTATCCCCTACCCGGAACGCTGCAACCTCCGGTAGGCGGAAATCACCGAAGAAAAGGACAAGTCTGTGGGAAGCAGCATTGAGAATTGAAGAAGAGGGTGCTACAGAAGTGGAAATACTAGATTTAATCAACAGTTCTCAAGTTGAAAGAGAATTGCAGATTGATCGTGCTGCTTCAATCGCGGCACAGACCGGTGATACACTTGAAGCGGCCCCTCAACCAGATCTTGCTGCACCTGTTTCTCTCGCAGACAGACCATCTGCTCCAAAGGAACCGCCTTCACAACATGCCAACCCCGTTTCCAGCAAACCCGGCAATTCTACGGAGTTATCAATGGGTGAACAGTGCCCCAATTTTGAATCGTATCCAACAGCTGAGCTGGCCAAAGAGATCGCTTCTTACAAGTTCAAGCCCATCAAAAAGAGAGAGCAGATGATTTCCTTGCTTAAAAAATGCTGGGAAGGAAAGAAAAGGACAGCATTGGGGTCTCTAGGAGTCAATACTATCATAAACAAAACAGCCGATGAGGCCACATCATCGGAGCGAACGCAGAGGCCCTCACAGATGCCACCAGCGTCACCAACAAAGATTGGAGACAGACCGCGGAAAGACAGTGGTACGACATCGCCATCGTCAAAAAGAATGCCAAAGCCGACAGCCCGTCGGCCGCTATTGCCTCACAATAGTGAGAGGTTGGCCTCGGACAGCGAAACCCCCACCCAATACCGCCAATCTCCCCAACAGAAAGTAAAAAGGCGAAAGCCACTCCCCGAGGAGATTTCTGACTCGGATACCCTGCTCACGCCATCGCCACCGCGACGGCGTGCATCCCGAGGTCATACGCCCCCCTCTCTTTCTTTGGTCGAAGACGATATCGCTGACATTACATTACCCCCGCTTTCACCGAATTCCGCAGAGCAAGAGCTATTCGAGCACATCACGAAAGCGGTCACAACGGCACCACGCGGGACACCTCAGGCGCCAAGTTGGTACGAGAAGATGCTGATGTATGATCCGATCGTTCTAGAAGATCTGACACGGTGGCTCAACACCGAGGGCCTCGACGGGGTTGGGTATGATGGGGAGGCAAAGGGGGAGCAGGTGAAGACATGGTGTCGAGCGAGGAGCGTATGTTGCCTCTGGAAAATAAGTTCACGGAAAGGAGGCGGAGTGAAGAAGCTTGGGAGGGGGAGCTGAAGGATGGACAACCCTGGCTGGATACAAACACAGTGCTGGATACCTCAGCCCACCCTAAATTGGTAAGCCAGAAATATGAGTAATCACGGCTGGTTCACCATTCATAATCGCAGCTCCCAATCGCATAGATTACTATTCATTTGATCAGGAATCATAACTTCGAACAGCCGCGTCATAATTCTCATAAGTCCCTAGTATATCCCGACAGTGAATGCTTCTCGAGTATGTTTACTCATAGACAACTCTCCAAATACAATTCTAACAATTCTAATAATTGCATACAATTCCATGCTCAAGGATTAGTTTTGACAACAATAGTGCTCACGTGATTCCCGACGAATTACACAACAGTACCAAAGAAACATTTTGGTGGCACAACAGGACCTCATCTATTGATTGATTGTTAATCCAGGGGAATTTCCTTCACTTTCCAGATGGGAAACAGGTGGCCTGATTATCTATAAAGGATTGAACCCTTCTCTTTATATTCCCCTCGTTCTCCTTTGTCTTTTTACCAACGTCTCATATCCGTCTTCGTCTACATCTCATTTACTTAACGCTTCCTTCCTCATTCTTGCCCCAGACACAACAACTAGCAGTGGTTTGCAGTTGAAACATCGTGCCAGAATTATATGATCAGTGCGAGACTTACGTCCAAGATGTTTAAGCTCAATATCGGCTCCAAGAAGCCACTGACGTGTAAGTCTGGCTATTATCATCAGCTTCACATTAAACGGAATATAAAATAACACCTCTCAGCTGGCTATGACATTCCTTCTCTCAGTTTTGGTGCAAGAACCCTCTTTGAGCTCTATGGTGAATTGACACTGACTTCTATATTAGGTCTGGCAGATGTATATTCAACATGCACTTACATGGAAGCACACTTTGTTGACTGAGCCACAGGCCAAAATCCTATGCTACGAATGCCGTAGCACACGCACTGAAAACCGGCTACAGACATGTAAATTTCTATCATACCCTCATTACCCAATCTAACAACTCATAGATTGACAGCGCCTTCATGTACCGCAACGAAGCTAGCTGTGGCGATGCTATCAAGAGCTCTGGCGTCCCCCGCGAGGACATCTTCTTCACCACCAAGATCTACGGCGGCAAGCAGATGTCGCATGAATACGCCGCCAAGCAGATCGACCAGACCATCGCGAACTCCGGCCTCACCTACGTCGATCTGACTCATCCACTCTCCCGACGGCGGCCCAGCCGGTCGCAAGGGCGCTTGGAAGGCCCTTGTCGAGGCACAGGAGGCTGGAAAAGTCTGCAGCATTGGTGTCCAGCAATTACGGCGTGCACCATCTTGATGAGCTGGAACAGCACATCAAGGAGCTGGAGGAGGAGCGTGGTGGGAAGGGCAAGGGTGGCGTGGTCTCAGTCGGCCAGTGGGAGATTCATCCGTGGCTACCACGTAGTGATATCGTCGAGTGGTGCGTCAAGAGAGGCGTGGTGATCGAGGCCTATTCTCCTCTTGTGCGCGGCGAGCGCAAGGACGACGAGGTTTTCACAAAGCTGGCGATGATGCATGGAAAGTTGTGGGCGCAGTGCCTAATAAGGTGGAGTCTGCAGAAGGGATACGTCCCATTGCCGAAGAGCGTGACGTCGGCGCGTATCGAGCAAAATGCGCAGGTTTATGACTTCGAGCTTGGTCCCGAAGATATGGAGCTTCTCAACTTTGATGAGTACCAGCCCACCTTTTGGGACCCAACAGTGCAGCCCCGGAGAAGTAGGCAGGATTCGGGGATGTATTGGGCTAGTTTCACTTATAGCGATGGATTAATCTTAGACGCGAATTCCTCTCAAGATATCTGATTTGACATTCACACCACACTAGGTTTATCTAGCAATACTTCTATCGCTTCATTTCACAGGGTATTTCCAAATGCATACCTTTCCGTCCGACAAGACGCCATCCAAATCACCCAAACGCCATCCCCGTCGCTTAAACCACTCACGACTCACATTACAACGTCTGGAACCATCCACAGCCACTCGTTGGGCATAAAATCCATATCCTCCAACCCAAGCCACCCCTCCCCTAGGTCCTGCACCGGAGATATCTCCCCAGGTACCACTACGCCCCTCCGGCCCATACCCTCCGTATAATTCCTCCTTAGTTCCTTCCAAAGCGCAGCCAAAAACCCAAACCAGTCGCCCTGGTCCCCCTCCTTTCGTATTAGCGCACTAACTCCCTCCAGCCGCTGCACAAACACGTCGACGTAAGACTCGAGCGCCAGAACGGCGCGCACATTCTCCACGCCCCACGACGGCGACGAAATGCCTAGGCTAAGCTCCACCGCGAGACTTAGGGAGTAGTGTATGCGCGCCCAGTTGTAGCCAAACAGGGCGCGGAAATCCGCGTCGTTAAGTGCGACAACAGCATCGAGGACGCGGCGCACAGCGCCGAGACAGTCGATTAGGATCGTTGTGCGGGGGAGGGAGAGGGTGTCGTTGGGGTGTAGGCCGTGCAGGCCTATTTCGTGGGTATATGCTTGGACGACGAGGAGGGAGGTTGCCAGGAGGGTGTTTGTGGTGAGGCGGGTCGGGATCAAGGACTCGATGCCTGTGAGCGCCGCAGAGAAGGAGCGCACGTGGAAACTCAGTTGGGAATCCGGCACGGGGGGGACAGAGCGGGAGAAGTCGTAGTCGAAGGTGTCGCTAATTGACTCAACGTGGTGGGCGAGTCGGACTTGATGGATGAGGAGGACGTCGGAGGGCAGGGCAGAGCTAGAGGAGAGAGATTGCGCGCACTCTTCGAGATAGGGCGTGTATTTCAGGGTGCTTGTTTTGCGCAAGGCATGCGCGTAGGACGAGCAGATGACATAGGCACCGATATAGGCGCGACGGGCGCCTGGGCTCCAAGCCTTAGCGGATTCGGAGGGGGCCGGAGCGCCCTTCGGAAAGGGAAATAAAACGCTGAGATTTTGGCGATCTGCGGGCATGGGGCGGCGGTTGATACTGAGGGTTGTGACAAGGGAGATGGCGAGGGAAGATAACCGGTACGATGATTTAAGATGGAGATGGCACCTTTGGAAAGGTCAGAAAGATTCATTATTAAGCCAAAGGTCGTACAGAGAAAGCTTACCAAGAGAGATGAACAAGCAACCCTTGGAGCATGTCCAGAGTTTGTTCGCCATCAACGACCATCCTACCAGCTAATTCTTCCAAATAGGCCCTTTCTAGCTTCGTCTGGAGCTCCCTGTCCTTCCATGACGCAGCGGTACAGATAGCCAACAACAGCATTGGGTTATCCTGACGAAGCATGCCTGTAGACAAGTTTGGGTGTATTGCAATGTAAGGAAAGTTCTGGTTCATGGCTCTGAACTCTTGCAGGAGAGCATGCGCAGTTTTCAAATCCAAGATTCCCTGATCTATCACGTCAAGGTACGTCTCTCCGTTAGAGTCCCTTGGAATGGTCCCTGTGGGATGGTGCTGGGGAGGACCAAGAGCATATGCAGCTACATTAATGTTATTTGATGCATGGCCTGCCATTCTCTGGTTTTCCAATGCCGTGTAATGGGACAGGGTTTGCTCCAACCTGTCGATGTGAGCATCCTTTCTTTGCAAATCTGCTCTTGCATCGAATGAAGTCTCATAAGATCTTGGACTCTCAAAAGCAGCACTTCTGGGGTCACTGCTACTCATATTACTGAAACCTATATCAAGATTGTCCTTGCGTGGCGCCCCTGACTTGCGCGTTAGCGGGCATGATGGTGGGGAGGCCCGGGGAGGGGGGATCGCAGTTGCAATAGTACACGCGAGCCACCTCTCTGAACTTACATCTTTGAATAGGATATTGGCATTCATGTTTCCCAGATTCGCATCTTTAGAGTTGTAAGCCCGGGACCGATATCATAATGAGGTAGCCGGTTCTCTCGATGCATATAAGAATTACGTACCTTTTACAGGTTCTCTCTTTGATGTCCGATGGTTCGCATTTTGTCTTTTTCACTTTACAGCGCAGACATGATGACCCAGGCATACTCCGGATGACTCTCTTTGCTCGTTTCCTTAGTTGCTCATGTGAACCATGAGAATCTTCGGTCACCGAAACTTCTGAACTCTCAGCTCCCAACAGCTGGGAGGCGCTGCCGACATGTTCCCCTTGGCTTTCATCCGGTGGATGCCCTATAGTTCCTTGTAGTGCAGCGGCATCGAGGCTATCCTCTAGTGGTTGATCTTCGTTCTCTGTCGCATTCGTGAGCGGTTGCTCAGACATGATAGGTTTACGACCACACAACTTCCCCCATTTGCCGTTGGCAGGCGCCGACGCCGAGTACAAAATGGGTTTAGTATGGCAGCCAAATTAATTAATGAAATGTGAAAACATCAACATTATTCCTCGCGACAATTGGAAATTTGTGGTAATGCCGACAGTTTTAATAAGAGAGAAATAAAATATGAGGTCCACCCTGCATGATGACATAGTCGCGTCTGGCCAGCAAAAGCTCGGGCAACACTTTTTCCGCCGACTTAAACCACACCTAGACTAACTTGCACCTAGACCATCATCCATAGATCAACAAACACAAACACAAACACTTCAGTACAAATAGTTATCAAAAATTTGAATTTAAAAGGTCGGGTGTCTTTTCTATGATGATGAGAGTGTTCCGGATATCTCATTTTATGGGACCAATGGGTGCGAAATATGCAGATGCTATCGATATCAGCATCAACTATATTCTACAGCTAACCCAGCCTTCTCTATCTAAAATAGGGATGTGCCGTCAACTTTGCTAGGTTTTGCCTTCACTACGCCTGACAGGTCCTGCTGAATCCTCCACTGCTCCATTTTTAAGAGCTCATACACGGTTGAGCACTTAGGCGCAGACACTCCGTACTTCTCTGCCTTCTTCAGTGCGTTTCCCAGGATAACCTCAATCTCCATCAGACGCCCCTGCTCGACGTCCACAAGCATGCTCGGCCGGTACGGGCAGTCGTCAGGTAGGCCATAAGCCAGTTTCTGGATTGCTGCTTCCGGTAGCTCCACGCCATCTTCCTTCGCGATCGCCACTAGCTCCCGCATCATCGGGACGAGGAGACTCTCCCTTCCCTTGGACGACTGCACTTCCCCAACATCCATCTTCATTAAGGCGCAGAGCGTGTTGAATGTGCCGTTCCACAGTAACTTGTACCATCGGGCCTTGGGCATGTCCAGGTCGAGGGATACAATCCCCGGGCCGCCACTATCATACATGGCAACAAACTCGGTTCCTTGCCGGATCTGGGTCTCTCTATCGAGGCCATCGTGGAAGTGAGGGCCCATGATATTCCTCTCGCTGCCAATATGGGCGATTCCATTCTCCCCCACAGTGCGTGACCCGATTACGGAGACCCCGGAAATAACAGTATTTTTGGGAAAGGCCTCAATGATGGGAAGCTCGATATCAAGGCCATTCTGAATGAGGACGATAGCCGTAACTCCGGGCGTCACAACGGGCCGTATCATCTCGGCGACGCTGTAGCTATCCGGGAGCTGTTTAGTGCTCACAAACACGTAGTCATAGTGCTGGGCCTCGGTTCCGGATGGGGGCAATGCAGCTTCAGAGACCGTCGCCACAACTGAGCGCGCATGTCAGTAACAGATACACATATAAAGGGGTTGGGTGCTAACTTCTGCTCGGCTTCCAACCCTTCAGAGTCCCGTGATCTACAGATTCGATATCCCATCCTTTCTCACTTACTATCTTGTACTTGGACCGTAGAACCGCGGTCACATGAGCACGCCCAGAGTTTTCGAGGACGACAGATCCGATTGTACCGACCCCACCACTTCCTATCAAACAAACATTACATTTTGGGGTGTTGGAACCCATCGCGGTTATATGCGCTGCAGCAGGAGTATATGGCGAACAATTTATTAATTTGTGATTCGAGTGATTCGAGGAGATCCCACTATATTTATATGGCAGGTTAGCCTCGCGCGGGGTCGTCGGGGTTGGTTCTCGATGGGTAAGTTATATGTGGGGTTGTTGCGGGGCAGCGACTTACATAAAGAGCACAGTAACATGGTCGTATCGACCAAAAGTCCGAAGATGGACTATGAGAAAGCCGAGGATTGATATCAACTATATTTTCTTTCAGTGACACTATAAGGCATTGAATTTAAGTGTCGAGACCAATTCCCATTTTCTCACGTGATATAATTTTTCATATTCACGTTGCACAGGCAAGTTTTCTTAAAGAAGTTGTTGACTTTGGCAAAGCGCAGTTAAGCTGCCATGGCATTTATTCATTGGTTGGTTTCTCAGCTAAGAACTTTAGCACAAGGTCGTTGAACTTCTCAGCATCTTCCCAGTAACACCAGTGCCCTCCGAAGTCTACCACAACTCCTTGGACATATGCATCCGATGCATTATCACTCTTGTTCCTGTTTTCAAGTATGGCATCTACAATCCACATTGGCCCTTTGGCTGGAAAGCATCCACTTCTTTCGCTCGCAACGACCAATATGTCAGTGCTGCTGTCACTGCCCGCCCCACTGAAATTCTTCTTGATAGAGCCCCTCCAGTCTATGGCAGTATGGTCAGACATCAACTTTCCGAACCAGGTTGGGTCACCCTGCTGGGAAATCTTTAGGAAGAAGCTTGTGTCATCCTCTTGGGCCTTCAGGTACGCTGCCTCGGAGTCAAATTGCTGTCTGCCCCAGGTCGGGTCCCAGATATATGCCAAGCAACCATCAACGGTGCCCTTGTAAACGTCGTCGGGATTCGTCGAAAGAGTATCCAGCATGTTCTTCAACGATTCCGAGGAGTTGAGGGACCTGTTGCCATGCTCGGGCCCCCATGTGCCATCTTGTGTGTAGTTTTGAAGCGGAGCCTGGTCGACCCATATTAACTTGTCAAACATACTCTTTCCAAACTGCTCCGCGAACAACCTGGAGGCGGTGTTAGTGTTCATCGCCACGTACGAGGTGAAGGCGTAATTCTAACCAAGTAATTGCACAGCCAAGACTGCCAGCTATGCAGCTCGGTCGAGCAACATTCCGACTAGTATTGCATTTATCACCCGGAAGTTCTGGGTTCAATCCCAACCAATCCACGAGCTCCTTCAAATCTTGGCCCAGTGTTGCTACTGTGGCATCTTGGCCATCTGGTCGCCGACCGGAGCGCCCATGGCCACGGAGATCTGGAGCAATAACCCAAAACTTTTCCTGTAAAGCGCCAATATTGCGATCCCAGACAGCAGAGGATCCGGTAAACCCGTGGAGCTGCAGAGATATTAGTCATTGCAGGCCGTCACATTCGAATAGTGGCTCTATCTTACTAGAATTAATGGCTTCTTTGCTTGGTCACCAAGGCTTTGATAGGCAAGCTCTACTCCATCGGCGGTTGTAAAGAAGTTGTATCCAGGAATGGTAGTCGCGGAGGAAGACATGGTCCTGCAAATATATGTTAAGAATGTCTGTACTTCTTTCATCACGATTGCTGCGTTCTCATGACCGATTTCGCCCATGTTGACTCGGATTGAATTGTGCAAAATCACCTGACACCGGCACTTGAAAAGTCTGTATCACGTGCTAATCATTGGCTCTGTGGCTCTTTCCATACGAGTATTGCGTCCCTGCTATAGAGCTGTTGGTCTGGTATTCTCTATTGATATCGCTTTCTATAATTCTATGCATATTGCTGCTGCCGCGAAGTCTTCCCTTCCAGTTTAGATTCTTTGGCCAGAGGTACGTGCTGGACATTGCCGGCGGCACACCACCCCGCATTTTACCCCACGACGCTAATATGGTGCCGAGCGACGGCAACATCAGCACACTACAGATAGTCCTTGTGCACATTAAATTGTAGGATTCAAGAATGACGAACTGCCATTTCGAAACCATAACTTAATAACCCCCAGTTACAATAATCTTTTTTTACTCAGAGCAACATTGTTGTATTATACATCCGCTATTATAAGTGCTTCCATTTACGAGATAATCATATCTCGATACATATACCATTGTATCCATCCCTTAAACCGTATCAATTTGCATCCTGAAGAAGCTCAATCATCATCATCATGCATATCCCCTCGCACCCCTCGACCAGCTGCACCCTGACCAGATACCCTCCCTCCACTTGCTCGCCCGGTGATATCCTGCCACGTCGCTCCAAACCTCCTCCCTGTAGACGCCAACAGCCCCTCCTCTTCATCGGCCTCTGCATCCTGATCAATCTCGCTCATGTTGAGCTTCGGCGTCCGGAACAATGCCGTGACAAATATGATGAAGAAAATAGCCAGGAATGCAAACTGTGCCCAGAAGTCTACCGCACCGAAGAATGGGAAGTTGGCAGTGATGCGGTTGATGAATGTTGATACGACACTGGGTGTGCAGATGTTCCCAGACTTGTCGGCATGGGACAGCTTGGTACATTGCTTGATGAGTTCGGGGTGGTCGGTACAATCCGGCGCGTCCCCAGCGTGTCGGGGTGGATTTGTACAGAAAGTCTGCGGCCCATACAGCGAGTACTGGGGTGCAACAATAGTCGTGATCGCATAGTTGATTGCCAATACGATCAAGCTCAGCATCATGGTTGCCAGCAAAAGGCCTTGCGGAGATGTACGGCCCTTGCGGATATCAAAAAGCCGAACCCATAGGAACCTAATCCCAACTCTTGCAATGCCTGCCACAGAGCTGGCGAAGAAAAACATGACCAAAAGAGCCATCAATATGTAGTCGATGGGGAAAACCTTCGATGACTGAACAAAGATCCAATCAATCGGCTGGAAGATGTGAACCCTGCCAAGAATATAGCCACACTGCTCTTTGCAGATGGAATTTTTGGCCTTGTCGACTCCTGTGATGAGCATGGATACCCAAATCAAGATCGAGATAAGAAGCATAAATATTCCACCAAGTAGCTTCAATGGTCGGAAAATCGCGCAGAGTTTTGTCCAGGCCTTCGCGACCTTAGACTGACCTTGCCCTTGAGCTTCGGCAGCTAGACGTTCGCGACGGACTAACGTCCGTTCCTCGCGAACAAGACCTTCAAGTTCCCGCTGGTCTTTGGCTGGTAATCCATCTGGGCGTCCGGCACTTCGTCCCTCCAACTGTCGCTGTCTCTCGCGGTTCTGCACCAGCGCAGAAGCCGTTGAAGCGTAGAGCTGGGGTGCTGAGATAGATGGCGCAGATTTGATAAAGGATATAGGCATCAACGCAAATCCTGCAGCTGTATATAGCACATATAATATCGTTCCAAGCGTAATCAAAAGACCCAGTGCAAATGTAAGTGCTCGCTCCCCCTTGTTCGCAGACAGCAGTCTCCTGAAGTAATCAAGGTCCATTCGGCCATCTCTATCATGTGCTGCGACAGGCACGAAGAACCCGACCAGGAAAACAATGAGCGCCAGTAGGATGAATGCAATCGTGTACTTGAATGCATTCCAGAATCGCTGCGCGAAAGACTGTGTCCCTTCCTCTTCTTCGACCTCATCGTACTCCTCGTACCAGAAATACGTGAAAGGGATGACGATTAAGCATAAGAGTGCGTCAAGCGAGTACAATGCATAGTATACAATCTTCAGAGTCAGCAGGATGTTGCCCACGCGCTCCGGTGTCGCCCAACCCTTCTTGATGCCGAGCTTCGATGACGATGTCGACGAGACAAGCGCAATGTCGACGGGAAGCAGGAACACCGTCGCGAGCAACGACGTCAACGTAAAAATCGTAACTGTTGTGACAACCGCCGACCTATCTCGAGGCGTTTGGTATGTGTATGTAAAAGCTGCTGCGCCTGCTGCGACGAGGGCGACAGCAATGGCATAGGAGAGCCAAATGAACGCCGTTTGAATGAGAGCCATGATGACGTCGGTATCTATGACTGGAGAATAGCTGTCGTTAGCTTTGCGCAACATGCAAAACGTTCAGGAGCCACGAAGAGGGCTTACACAGTATCAAACCAGCATTCAAAGTGCTAATAGTAGTTGGCACAGTACAGTTGGCACATTGAAGCTCCAGTCGGTCGCTGGTGGGGTTGAATAAGACGGTGGATGTTTCATGGAAGGAGTGTTTTGACCAAGCTTCAAAGGGACTTGAAGGTACGTACACACCTGTCCGGACATGGGTGGCTGGATCAAAGGGTGCACAGACCAACGCGGCAGACAGCTTGGCCGCGCGCGTCGGAACTTCTTGTCTCAAATCTCCATCCACAAAGTCCGAAAAGCATCCCAATTGTCCCCAGACACCACGAAATGCATGATTGACATCAGTCGTCTCCTCATAATGCAGTGTTTTACGGAGCTGGCGCCTCCCACTGCCGCCACACACTCACTGACCTTACCCTTCACTTCTGGAACCGCTACGAATCTCATTGTCGCAAAGACCTCGTTGCTCCAGATCTTCTTCGTCAAGACCATTACGCTGGAGCTTGAGGCTGCAGGCGGTGACAACGAAGATACGGAAGATGCGATCATCAGCAGCAGACAATTGGGGGGCGACAAAGATGGATTCGAGTCCTCGTTTCTCGACCCAGACGCTGTCCAACGTTCAACACTCGCAAGCACAACAAAGCTCGTTTTGGTCGGCGAGTATGCGCTCGCTGGGACGGTAACGTCGTTGGCGCGCATCAAGATATCAGAATCGAAGTCCGGAGGAGAATCTTTGTTGCTGTCTTTCAAGGATGCAAAGCTTAGTTTGGTGGAGTGGGACCCAGAGAGGCATGGACTGTCGACAGTCTCAATTCATTACTACGAGCAAGAAGAAATCGGCGGATCTCCTTGGGATCCATATCTTAGCAACTGCTTCAACTACTTGACAGCAGACCCTCGTGGCCGTTGTGCTGCGCTGAAATTCGGAGCGCGCAACCTCGCGATTTTACCGTTTCGCCAGGGCGATGAAGATACCACAATGGACGACTGGGACGAAGAACTCGATGGCCCAAGGCCGACTACCGCAATAATTACAAGCGAGAACAAAGGCCACGAAGATACGCCTTATGCACCGTCATTTGTTCTCCGACTATCATCACTTGATCCAACCCTCATTCATACCGTTCACCTAGCATTTCTTTACGAATACCGAGAGCCTACGTTTGGAATTCTGTCTTCAACATTGTCGCCATCCTCTTCCCTCCTCGACGAGCGGAAAGATCAACTCTCATACATGGTCTTCACTTTAGATCTCAACCAAAAGGCGTCAACGACCATCTTAGTAGTGACCGGCCTCCCGTACGACTTGTTTAAAGTGATTCCTCTACCATCGCCCATTGGCGGAGCACTTCTTGTTGGAGGCAATGAACTCATCCATATTGATCAGTCTGGAAAAGCCAATGGTGTTGCAGTTAATGCACTTGCGAAATCTTGTACATCTTTCGGCCTCGTCGACCAGTCATCCTTGCAAATGAGGCTTGAAGGCTGTGCTGTTGAACAACTATCGGCCGACAATGGTGAAATGCTCATTATCCTGAACACCGGCGAACTTGCGGTCCTTAGTTTCCGAATGGATGGCCGCTCTGTCTCCGGGCTGAACTTGCGCCGCGTTCCTTCAGAATCCGGCATTTGCATGGGTGCACAGGCATCATGCACCAGCCTTATCAACCACAATTCAATGTTTATCGGCAGCGAAGATACTGATTCTATTGTTCTTGGATGGTCTAGGAAGTCAAAGCAGGCTGGCAGGCGGCGGTCGCAACCAACTATTGACGCCGGAGATGATGCCGATGTGGATGGGACTGATGAGGACCAAGAAGACGAAGACGAAGACGAAGACGATTTGTACGGCGAATCCACCGCTGCAATTCCTTTGAAAGGCGAAGTAGCTGCAGATGCAAACAGCAAAGCTGGCGACTATGCTTTTCGCATTCACGACTCTCTGGTCAATATTGCACCTTTGAGGGATGTCACTCTTAGTAAACCAGAGACCCCTCGAGAAGATGAAGACGAAGAAGCTACTATCAGCACAAGAAGTAATTTTGAACTTGTGGGAGTTACCGGTCGAAATACGAGTGGCTCGTTGGCATTTTTGAGGAGGGAAATCGAACCAAATGTCATCGGCCGCTTCGAATTTCCGGAGGCACGAGGAATATGGACTCTTTGTGCCAAACGACCTTTGATCAAGGGCTTGGAACCCGAAAAATCCGAAGCCATATTAGATCCGGAATCTGAGCTGGGAGCCCAGTTTGATCGTCTTATGATTGTATCAAAATCAACGGAGGATACGCCTGAGGAGTCATCGGTATATGTATTAACATCGGCAGGGTTTGAAGCTTTGGCAGATACCGAATTCGAGCCTGCAGCTGGAGCAACCATCAAATGCGGGACTGTAGGTAATGGTATGAGAGTTGTCCAGATATTGAAATCGGAAGTCAGGAGCTATGATGGTGGTAGGTCTCTCCCCTCTCTTTTATTATATGCGATGCTTCATTGAAATATATTTTGCCGAATATTGGAGTGTATTTGGGAAGACGCACTGGCTTTGGAGCAGCAGCAGAGACCTTCCATAGCATGAATGGAAAATATTTTACCCAGCTACGCGTACCTTGCTCCCTTTTGTATTGATATCTTGTGCTGCGCCCTTTGATGAATGAATGCTGACGTTGGATGTTGCCGATAGATCTTGGATTGGCTCAGATTCTGCCAATGTTCGACGATGAAACTGGCGCCGAGCCAAAGATTGTCGCTGCAAGCATAGTTGACCCATACGTATTGCTCATCAGAGATGATGCAAGCATATTTGTTGCTTCATGTGACAGCGACAACGATCTGGAAGAGATTGAAAGGGGAGACGATAGCCTGTTGACAAATAAATGGCTCTCGGGCTGTCTCTACAATGATTCTACGGGCATGTTTGCTGAGACGGCATTGTCGAATGGAACCGTCTCAAAAAAGTCTGTTATCATGTCACTGTTAAATTCCGAGGGCGCTCTCTTTGTAAGTGAAATTTGGCCCCTCTGATTTATACGTACTCTTAACTATTCACAGATGTATGCGTTGCCAGACCTGAGCAAGCCAATATACCAGGCCAATGGGGTATCATTTATACCTACAACAATCTCCCCCGACTATGCAACTCGCAGGTCCACTGTGGCTGAGACCTTGACTGAGGTCTTGCTTGCTGATCTCGGCGATGCTACGTCAAAATCACCATACCTCATCGTGAGTGCATTAAATAAGAGGAGTTACTTCAAAATAACTGACTATTGTAGTTCCGAGCGTCAAATGACGATCTTACAATATACGAGCCATTCCAAGTCCCATCCGAGGCTCCACGTCCTTTATCAAAATCTCTGCATTTTCAAAAGATCCATAACCCTCACGTAGCAAAGACCGCGAATCCGGAGACGGAAGTGGCTGCCGATGCAGAGTCAGCAAAAAGGGGCTCCCCTATGCGGGCAATCGCCAATGTCGGTGGCCTTTCAAGCGTCTTCTTACCAGGTGACTCGCCTTCGTTTGTGGTCAAGAGCTCAAAGAGTACACCACGGGTTGTTGGGCTTCGAGGTCATGGTGTTCGGAGCTTAAGTGGCTTCCACACAGAAGGATGCGATCGCGGATTCATATATGTTGATTCCAAAGGGATCGCTCGCGTTTCCCAACTAGAGCCGGAAACAAACGTGACCGACATTGGGTTGACGCTACGAAAGGTAAAGATCGGAGAGGAGGTTCAAGCCGTAACGTATCATCCTCCAAAGGATGTGTATGTTATTGGCACGGTGGTCAAGGAGCCATTTGAGCTACCCAAGGATGATGATTACCACCGAGAGTGGGCAAAGGAAGATATAACCTTCAAGCCGCTGACTGGGCGCGGGTTCCTGAAGCTGCTTAACCCCAGCAACTGGTCAGTAATTGACAAGGTCGAATTGGACTCCCACGAGATCATCATGTGCATCAAGACACTCAACCTTGAAGTATCCGAGAATACGCACGAGCGGAAACAGCTCATCACAGTCGGAACCGCGATATCCAAAGGCGAGGATCTAGCCATCCGGGGCCGCGTCTACGTCTACGAGGTCATCACTGTCGTTCCATTCCCCGACCGCCCGGAGACCAACAAGAAGCTAAAGCTCATTGCCAAGGAAGAAATCCCTCGCGGCGCCATCACTGGGATATCTGAAATCGGGACACAGGGATTTATGATTGTCGCGCAGGGCCAAAAGTCCATGGTGCGAGGCTTGAAGGAAGATGGAACTCTGCTACCTGTAGCATTCATCGACATGAACACATATGTGACAACTGTCAAGTCGTTGCCAGGTACGGGCATGTGCCTCTTTGCCGACGCCATCAAAGGTGTTTGGTTCGCTGGCTACTCCGAGGAACCATACAAGATGACCATCTTTGGTAAACAGTCGCAAGGCATGGAGGTAATAACCGCCGACTTGTTACCTATCGGCGACGAATTATACATCATCGTTGCAGACTCAGACTGCAACTTACACGTCCTGCAGTTTGACCCAGAGCGTAAGCCAAACTTTCATCTAACCAATAGAAAGTACTAACTAACATCTCGCAGATCCAAAGTCGCTCCATGGCCAGCTCCTCCTGCAACGCACAACGTTCTCCCTCGGCGGGCACATGCCTACCACTATGACGCTTCTGCCTCTCACCACCACCACCCAGACCCCCACCCCCGCCGTAACCTCAACAGCGTCTGAACCCACAAACCCGGCCTCAGGGTTACTCATGACGCTTTCCAGCGGCGTGGTCGCCATCCTCACACCGCTCTCGGAACAGCAATACCGACGACTGAACGCCCTCAGTAACCACCTGTCGAACCTTCTCTACCACCCTGGGGGCCTTAATCCGAAGGCGCACAGGATAAGCAACACGGCGCCCGAAGCCGTGATTGGAGGCCGACCAATTGTGGACGGCAGTGTGCTGTGGAGATGGCTGGAGCTGGGAAGCCAGAAGCGGGCGGAGGTGGCGGGGCGGGTAGGCGTTGACGGGGAGACAATTCGGGAGGATCTCCAAGAGATTGCTGCCGGACTAGGGTATTTGTGAGAAGGTTGGGCGGTCTCAGGGTCTCAGGGTTACTCGTGTCGCCAGAGAGTCTGAGGAAGGAAGGGATCGGGCGTTACAGCCACCCAAAGGTTCAAAACAGCCCACAGAGCCTGTAGAAAATAAAAATAAAAATAAGATTCTTAATGACTCAGAAACTATCAGGGGCTTTCAATAAGCTAGTTGCTCGGAAATCCAGGCAATGGAACAAACCACATCAGCTTCAGCATCAGCGTAGGTATGAATTCCCAACTGTGTAGAGTCTCTCTTCGGACTTTGGGTGACACGAGAATTGGGGATTAAAGGTATGGGGAGACGGGACAGAAGTTTGCAGTTGCAGGCGTAATAGGACTGGTATATTGCTGGATATATATGCTTCAAACGTTTCCAAGGGATATCGAGTGACGGTAAATACGCCAATCCGACTCCTAAAGCCATAAATGATAATACTCTAACAAATCCGTGCATTATTTTAGGGGTATCGTAAATCATGCTAGAAGTACAGACGCAACGTTCACTCTCCAACCATTCGATAGAAGGCAGAGATCATGAAGTCGGCTCGTCATCTGTGCAGGAGGTCCTGCTTCTCTGGAGCATCCGCAGCAGCGGCCGGACTAAAACCCAGCCATGCCCTCTTATACAACGTGGACTACATTTCTTTCCTAATGGTCCTTGTCTCCTCCTCAAAAGCGATTCCGAGGCTGCAGTATGTCTTCGGTAGATATGTTTCTACTACTGAGTTCAATATCGACTGTCTTCTGGATCCCTGTCTGCGGAAAGTCATCGGAGGCGGCCTCAGAGTTGATCCTCTTCTTGGTAGGACTATTATCCGACATGATATAACCCGACCGGCTGTATTGATTATGCGTCTGTCGAGATCTGTTATTCGAGTTATACTGGGAGTTGGTGAACACCCTGTTGAACATTGCCTGGAAGCAGGGTCGCATGACGACCAAGGAGGCGGCGATAATGGTGATGTTGAATTCGATTACGATGACAAGGTGTGTTGGGATGGCGTTGTCTAGGAACGTTAGCTGATACTAAGGGGAAAGGGGGGTTGGGGACACAAACAGGTAAAGTCCTTCTTGACGTTATAGAAGCCGCTTATCATCCAGAGGCGAATGATGGAGACAGCCGTGTCGCTAGAAGAAAGAGTTAACTCGGTGCTAGAAGATAATAGTCATTTCGGGGGCCATACACTAGGCCTAACATTACAAGTCCTATTAGCTGCTTGATCTCGATGCGCTTGTTCTGTGTCCGAAGTAGAATTGGCAGCGGGATGGCTATAAGTGCCAACGATGTGAGGATATTGATAGACGATGTGACATAGTTAAACATGATCTGAGTATCGACGCAGTGGCCGGGTTCGTTGGAGTACCAGCTCTTGTGGATTGGTAGACAGGCGAAGATACCAACGAAAGTGGCCGCCGTGAAGAAGCCAACCACAATGGCCATAGTGATATGATTGGCGATGCGGCAGAAGCGTACAACTGGAATGTCGGCAGTGCTAAACAGATCTCGATACACCAGGCCCAGAGAAAGCTTGCTGAACATCAACGGAAATTTGGTGAAGATTTGGATGAGCCAGAACACCTAACCGGACAGTTAGAAGCTGTGGTTAGAAAAGGGCACGGGGCCACACACGATCATCGTCTTATAGGATCCCTTGAGGTCCGGTGGAAGATCGTTTTGGTGACGGGCATATCCAAACTTTGCACAAACTGGTGAACCGTAAGTACTATAAACCGAACAACATGGGCGGCGGGCTCACTGATGATGTCTAGGACCATGTGGATCAATGAAGTGATCTGAGTTTGCAGTAAGCAGCATTTCTTTAAGAGCGGCACCGCAAAGAGCAAGTTGGTTACGAACCATGGCGCAACATATCATGTAGTCGGAGAGGGTAAGAGCATTCTTGGCCTGTCTATACCCGACCCGTAGAGCGACGACGGCAAGGGCGAGGAAAGGTGCGAGGATGTCGACACTCAAAAAGAGCGGCACCCGTGTCTCTACCATGGTGACTGTGGTATGGTTGAAGATGGGCTGGTCTTGGAGAACAATGGAGTCAATCCAGAGTTAGGAACGGACTCCTTGGTATGAGAGAGCAAAAGACGCCCATGCATTATATGAGAGCCCAGCTACGCTCTCTATATATGTAGGCCAATTTCAAAGTCAAACTGCCAGATGGGACTTCCCACCAGCATGAAAAAGACTGATTGTTTGTGGGTGGCGCACTGCTAGGATGCAGGCGATCCATCCTCTCCACAGCATCACTGGCAGGGGCCTGTCAATGGTCTGAGATCTCCGTACAAGTGGAGATTCATATGTCGCCAAGGGTCGTTCAGAAATAACGGAGGCATTTACTAAAGCCAGCAGGGGATATGCTACTACTCTAATCTAAGTACGAGTACCTATCGCGGAAATGTCGCGTTGCACTGACGCTGTACAGGGTCTACACGTTCCATTGACTCTGTGTGCGTGGTCCACACGTGCTACGAGTGGACTAGATCTGCATTCTTCTGACTTCGCACTTCTTCATTACATCTCTTTCTCTTTCTTCTTCTCCCGTCACGTCGTACGGAACGCATCGCCTATACATGACGGTGGCTACACAAGAGAAGACGCCGGAGGTGATGGCGACTGATTCTGCCAGCGCCGACACTAGGGACATGAAGACGGGCATCGCGAGAGTTGATTCCAATCAATTTAGTGGTGTCCCGGCCAGGAAACTACTCCTCAAATGCGACCTCCGCCTCGTGCCGATCTTGGGCACGCTCTATCTCGTTTCCTTCTTCGACCGCTCCAACATTGCTAATGCGAGGCTCTTCGGCCTCGAGAAGTCGCTCAATATGCCGTCGAACGGCTTCAACACCTGCCTATGGATTTTCTACTTGCCCTTTGTCATAATTGAGATTCCGAGCAACTTGATCATGACCATGAACAAGATCAAGCCGAACTACTGGCTAGCGGGAATGATGTTCATTCTTGGTGAGTCCGGCACCGCGCAGAGTTCACCTCACTTACTTACATGCCATTAATAGGTGTCGTTTCCATGTGCCAGGGACTCACCAAGAGCTACGGTGGTTTGCTTGCGTGCCGCTTCCTCATGGGTATCCTGGAGGCCGGTCTCCCACCAGGCATGTTATTAGGCGCCCTGTTTGCATCTATGCCTAACACAGAATAGGAGCCGCGTTACTTATTGGGCAGTACTACAAGCGCAGCGAGTTCAATATCCGCTTCGCGTGGTTCATCTGTTTCGCTCTCGGAGGTAGTGCTTGCGGTGGTCTCCTTGCATTCGCTCTCGAGCATATGGGTGGGCTCGCAGGCTACGAATCCTGGAGATGGGTCTTCATTATCGAAGGCCTCATTACCATCGCATTCAGTGTCGCTGCCTTTATGATTATCCCAGGCTTCCCTGAGGATGCCAAGTTCCTCACGGAACCCGAGCGAGCTTTCCTCCTCAAGCGCCTACGTGACGATCGTGGCAGCGAAAAGACCGATATGAAGGGTGTGCCATGGTTGCGAGTACTTCTCGACTGGAAAGTGTGGGCCTTGTAAGACACCCATCACCTGCTATTTATCACAAGCTAATCAGATACCCCTAGCACGGTTGTCTTCTTCTGCTGCGACATGAGCGCCGCGTCAATCTCTGCCTTCACCCCCACCATCCTCAAGGAGCTCGGCTGGACCAAATCGACCGCACAGGTCATGTCGATCCCGATCTGGGTCGTCGGTATCGTGTTCACTCTCTCGGCGTCCTTCCTCTCCGGAAAACTCTCTATTCGCTACCCCTTCGTCTTCTTTGGCATTGCACTCTCGCTCGTCGGCTGGGCGATCCAGCTCGCGCAGGTTCAGCCACCTGGAGTGCGGTACTTTGCCCTCTTCGCCATCGCCTCCGGGGCCTTCATGCAGATGCCTATTCTAATTGGATGGCTGAATGGAAATCTGCGAGGACGGCTGGCCCAGGCTGTCGGTGCAGCAGTGCAGCTGGGGATAGGGAATTGCGCAAATTTCATCAGCAGCAATGTGTTCATCACAAACGAGGCGCCGAAGTATCCAACAGGGTTCAAGGCGGGACTTGCAATCACGGCGGTCGGTGGTGGGGTGTTAGTTATTGTGGTGCTCTTGATGGCTTGGCACAACTCACTATCAAAATCTAAGGAGGGAGAGGAGGTCGAGGACGAGGACGAGCATGACCAGGAAAATTTCCGGTACCTTCTGTAGAAAGGCCGGGCGGTACAGTGGAAAGGTTGTATAGATAGCGTGTACACTGAGTAGACAGTATGAACTAGACTCAGACCAGTTCTACACTTCGACCAGTAACAACAGCATATGTCGAGGGAAGAAGCAGGAGGGAGGAAGCAGGGAGACTATAGGGAGACTATGGAGGATCACTAATCTAAGCTTAGTGTCGGGCTTCTAAGAGCGAAGGATTCATAGTAGCGGTGCCAAGCCATTGGGTTTAATTTCACAGACAAAGGTCGGTCTTGTAACTAGCAAGAAAGAAATACGAAGGATCCACTCTACTAGGACTAAGCACTCTAACTAGCGTTATACTACTTGGACATTGCTTTACAAGGGCGGGTTTCGGCGACGATACTTGAGTTAGACAAGACTTTCGCGGCCACTGCAACGTTGCTTGCGAGAATCCACTTCTCGTAAAAGATTTAGATGAGAAGGCGGAAATAGTCCAATGAGATGAGATGATGATAGATTAAACGAAAGAGTGGCGCGCGCTACGATCAGACTCTAGCAGAAGGGAATTGGCTGTTATAGTTGTGGGGACGCGGGTACGCATACTCCCATGTCGTTGTAAAGGCGGCCCATCACGTGAGGCCGCCCTGAAATCAGGGGCTGGCAGTGGGCCACTAGGGCTCGGTAAACTAGGGTATGTAGGAACATAGGATATAAGGAGCTGGAAGCCTCAGAAGGAAGCCTCCAGCCTATAGTCGCTGTACATACGTAGACCTACTGTCTTGCAATACGATCTCACTTCCTGCCTTCTGACCTGGTTCCCTGGACTCCCGTGAGACCCTAGGGACTGCGCTTTACAGTCGTCCTCCTTTCGGCCTCAGACATAACTAGAATGCTGAGACAGGAAGCTGCGTGGTGAGAGATACCGGTCTGCTGGGACGTGTGCAGAGAGTGACACGTGGGAGGGAATGGGATGCTAGTATTAACTTGAGATTAAGACGAGATGGGAATATCAATATCATACCCATATATCCATCCCGCCATAACCTCCCCCCTTCCAAATTGGGCGTAGGCCACCGCAACCGTGGCTTTAGCGATTCTGGTCGGTAGCATCGACTATATGTAGCTCAACCTTCGTAAAAAGCTGTAAATGGGATCTTATGCTGTATTACCGTACATAATACTATAGCTTACTTATATGGTATAACCGTCTCTTTATTCATAATAATCGTGTTTCGTGCCCAAGGGAGAAGGGAGGGCGCCGGTGACTAGATACTGACGGTTACGCCAAGAACTCCAACGCCTAGGTTACTAGCGTGCCTGCACCTAGGATAGTGTAATAGAGCCTTAGCTGAACAGGGAAGTAATCACGTTATAGATGGCTACGTAGGAGACTCTGTATTATACTAAACGCTGCCCTTCTGATAAAGGGCCGCGTTCCTACTATATACGATTCTAAGCGGAGTTCGGAAGGAAGACCCTCCGCCTTGGCATATAATCACGTGTGTTGCTCGTGACAGATAGCATCCCCCCTGTTGTCAGGGATCCGTATTTAAATCAACGGCCCCCCAAACTGTGAGTAAAACAAAGAAGAGACTACAAATTCCATTTATATTGTTCGGGGTATATACTGTAAAATGTGACCTTCCCTTCTGGGTGGCAGGAATGGCAAAAAAAATACGAACAGAAAAAGATGTTGTCGGCTCCACCGCGCGTTGATCCCCTTTGACCTTCAGAGTGAGTGGCCAAGGCTTTCTAAATGCAACTCTGGCCACCCAGTATCCCCATAACCCCCCATTCCGAGCCTCCCCCTCTTCCCAAATCAAAACAAATGCAGCAAAACCCCCTCTCAGCGCCAACCCAACGACAAAAACTCCTCGCTCCCTTGTTATCCCTATCCAAAGCACTCTAAACCACTCTAAACCACTCTCCCCGTCAAGTCCACATCACCTCAAACTATTCCCTTCCTTCTCCGTCAAAATCCTAACTCTTCGTCTATACAGCTTTCTCGCCCTCTCCTCTCCACCTCCCTCCAGCCACCTCGCCAGATTCTTACACTGACTCGCATCCAGCACCTTCAGACGCGTGCATCCTTCGATGACGGCCTCGACGCCGACGCCGGTAACGCGGACGCAGCCGCGAACGCTGAGCAGGGACAGCTCGATGAGGTGCAGGCCGATGGAGCGGAGGGAGGAGTCAGAGACGGCGGAACCACAGAAGGCGAGCTTGAGGGATTGGAGTTGTGGGCAGCCAAGAGAGAGGACCTCGGTGGCGGTGTCGGAAAGAGCACAGCAGAAGGACTGAAAGGTGTTAATATGATGGTTTCATTATGACAAAAAGATTGGTTATAAAGTTGGATGAAAGGGGGAGTTATATTGTGAGGAGACATACCAAATCAAGCTCCTTCAGCCCCTTGGCCGCATTCGTCAAGTACACCACCGCGTTATCAGTCAGGTAAGTGCAATCCGCCAAGATGAGCCTCTCGAGCTTCGCAAAGCGATACATGCTCCAATGCTGGAACCCGCCGTCCGTGATGGTCGTGCAGCGCGTGAGATCGATGCTGCTCAGGCGCGAGTGCGCATGCACTGCCAGATGCGCCATGGAGCGATCAGTGACGTGTTTGCAGTAGCTGAGTGTCAGGCGGCTCAGCTTCGGGCATCCGACGACGGTGCCTACAGGGGGCGAGTTGGTGGTTCTGTTGCGGGAGGCGGCGCGGGCGCTGGCGCCGGGAGGAGGTTCAGAGATAACCCAGCCGACGATGCGGGCGAGGAGGTTGTCTGAGACTTTGCGGCAGTTGCTGAGATCAATTTCTTCGAGGCCTTTGGCGGTGTTGGCCATTTCGAGGACGGCGTTGGCGGTGATGTCCCAGACGGATTTCATTTTCCAGGATTGCATGTTGGCACCACATGTGGCGACGAGGGCGTTGAAGCCTTCATCGGTCATGTGGAAGCAGTTTGAGAGGTCGACGGTGCGGGGGCGGCTACCCACGAACGGGCAGATGACGTCGATAAGCACCTGGTCGTTGACGTAGCGGCTATAGGCCGAGAGGTCGAGATCGCGCGCGAGCTCGTGCGAGAAAGAAAGGAGCTTCTGCCAGTGTAGGGACACCTGACGGAGGCGCAGTAGGTGGTAGATATCGAGATTTTTGAAGACGTTGACTAGAACTTTGTCGGGTAGTACCCCTTGGCTGAACTCGCTTGGTCGTCGATGCACAGTCCGAGGCCTCTTTGATCTTAACTGTGACTCTTGTGGCGGAGTAATTGGGTGTGTAAATGATAGTGGCGATGAGCCTGGCAATCGAGTTATCTGCGGTTCTGCCTCCTCTGATTCGTTCTCAGACGATATAAATTCCGGAGGGATCGGTGCCCACGATGACCGGCGGCTCATTCTTGACCTCATATTATCCATATCAATACTTAGGAATGGGTCTGGGTCCGTGTCTGTTGACTCAACATTGTCTTTCTCCTCCAGCAGGTTGGTCTGGTGCGGTGGACTGAGCGGCTTCGATGGTGTAAATGTAACCCGGGGAAGATCCCGGACCTTAGACTTGGGCGACCGATCAGCAATTTTGAGACCCTTAATAGAGGGCGTTGTACTATCGACGCCCGTCATCAATACGTCCTCATCCTTTGGCCGCCCATATCTAGCCTTAGCAGTTGCCTCAACCTGCTTCCGGATATCAGGCAAACACCTCCTCCAGAGCTCTTCTAAAACATCCCCACCAATCATTAGACATTCCACTACAGTAATCGCGCGCACCGTAGCCGTCCGCCTCGGTGCCAGTGCTAGACTCGCAACTTCTCCAAAATACTGGCCCTGCTTTAGGCGCGGGCGCATGCGGGAGCTCTCGAGCATCTCTGTGATCTCGCCATCTTCCATCGTCATCCGTATTACCTCCGCCTCTCCTCGCACAATAAAATAGATGTCATTTCCGACAGAACCCTGCTGTATTATGTCCGTAAACGGTGGGTATGTCCGCGGCTGAGCGCTCAATCCAAGAAAATGCAGAATCTCCGGCGGTAGCGACGAGAACAGAGGTAGCTCCTTCAATGTCTTCCTAATGCTAACAAACCCGCTGCCCAACGCGCTCAATGTGGGATCGTCAATAACTCCTGGGCTAGGTGACTTTCTCTTCTTATGATTAACAACGCTGCCTTGCTCGATAGATCCCGTGTCGCCTAGCGAAACCTCGCCGGGTGCAGCCTCTCTTGCCGCATTCTTTCCCCCGCGCGATGGCAACGTTGTATAAATCGTCGGTCCAAATCCGCTCTCTTTCCTCTTCTTATTCAAAATGGTCAATCTCTCTTGTGCTTCTTCGCGAATGGCCTTCTCCATCTCCGGGAATTTAGGCAGCTCTGCGCGTAGATCTTCCTTCTTCAGCACGACGAGAAGACATTTTGTTCGCGCGATAATTGTCGCAGTGCGCGGTACATCCATTAGAATGCCAATCTCGCCGAAGAAGGCTCCGGGCTTTAATTCGGCGTAGGTAGCTTCACCATCTCGTGATGTTACGGCAACAACGCCTCGGACGAGCCAGTACATCGCCTTTGCGTCATCGCCCTCTGTCAAGATGTGATCGTGCGACGCGTGGGCCTGAGGTCGCAGATGTTTACCAATTGCTGCGAGGAAGGAGTCGGGCGCCGATAGGAACAGAGGGAAGGAGCGTATACGGTCGACCAAGTCGAGCGGCATATCTGGTATCATTGACACTCCGAGTGGCGAAGGCCGCACCGGCCTGGCGGGGTTCGTGTCGACATTGAAAGACCTGATCAGGGAGAGCGAATCAGGTATGGGTGCGCCGCTGCCTCTAAACGGCGATCCGCTGCCTTTACCCCGTCTCATCCTGATCGTGGTGTCCTGATCGTGGTGTCGAGGTCGTCGTGCTATCCACGGAGACAATGTCCGTTTGCGATCGAGGGCCGTCTGGCCGCCCGTCAGGCGTGCTGTCCGCCAGCTAGGAGCCGGCACAGCAGTCTCTTTGGACGTGAAGCAGACCGTGCAGGAGCTCGACAGGCAATGTTTCCTCGTGAAGGTTCGATGTGTCGGGATCTGGGACCCGCTGTCTCCTGTCCGCACCAAGCGGCGACGACGGCTTCGGGTGTTTTCTGTGTCACGAGAACGCGTCTGTCGTGCTCGTTCGAGAGGTGTAGAAAGGGCAATCGCAGCTCGCAAGCTTCCAATATAGCTTCAACCCTCGCTGCCTGCGGTCGTGGTTTGCTGAGGGTTTGATGTTGAGGCCTGGAGTGGGACGGATGTGGGGTTTGTGGGGTTATCGATAGACCAGCGGCGGGAAGAACGTGGCAGCGACGATGATGGCAATGATGCGTAGGCGTATAAATGGAGAATGAAGAGTGAAGCTATATCAACGCAACAGCACGGGGGAAATAATATAATTGAAGCAGTCGGGTAGTGGTGTAGGCGTGGAGGACGAAGCGCAGTTTCAGTAGAATTGCAGTCTCTGACGAAGCGTAGGACCATAAGTGAGAGGGACTTATTATTAGGCGCTATGACGATATTCGTTGTTTGCTGGCTGAAGACTGAAGACGACGAGTTAGATGTACAGGATAACTAGAATCTACATAAAAGAAGACCTGCGCTTGTACGGAGAACACAAGTACCCTTACACTAGCTGGTACTTCATTAGTTGGCCTTGTGCCTCATAATTGTTAGTTGTTGTCTCCGTATAATTCTTCAAACAGAAAACCGTAAGCAAGCTGTCGGCGCCCTAGCAATATTTGGCACCTCTTCTTCATTAGCTGAGTCCATCCCAGCCGTCCAGGGCTCATCGTCGCTCATCCCTCATCGACGTCTTTGTCCCGAGGGCTACGGCCGGGACTGGAACCTGCTTATCACGTGAATTTACACTACACCCCGCTGATTAATCAACATCACCTGATTCCATACATTATCGCCACCGACGACACATTTATCCCTCCATCATCAACACCACTTCATCTCAGCTGAGTGCCTCACCCCCGAAAGGATACGCGCAGCATGTCTTTCACCATCCGCCAGCCGTTCAGACTTACCGGCACCCTTGCCGCCGTCTCCAAGACGGCCTTCAAATCCGCCGCTCCAGCCCGGGCTTTCCACCACGCCCCCGCCACAAAGGCCATCTTCACCTTCCGCACTGCCTCGTCAATTAAGAACCCCCCCATAATCAAGAACGGCTTCAAGCAGACGCGCGCCTATAATGTGCAGCCAACCACTGTCGCGAATCCGTCGGCGAACGGCAGTCTGATGCAGCGCCTCCTCGTCGGCGGCGCCATGTTCGGTGGCACCCTGTTCGCCATCAACATGGTGTTCAACCGCGAGACACGCGAGGATGGCGGCATGCCACCCTTCGAGCGGTCATACCTCAACGAGACGTTCATGCACACCGGGCTGGGCGTCGGCATCATCGGTGTCGCCGCGCGGGCCATGTACACCTCGGGCTTCGTATACCGCATCATGGCCACGAACCCATGGATCGTGATGATTGGTGGTCTCGCGCTGAGCTTTGGTACCATGATCGGAACGAGGAACACTGACCCGTCGAACTACGTCCAGAAGTACGGATTGTGGACTGCGTTTAACGTTACCCAGGCTGCGTTTATCGCGCCGCTGATGTTCATGGCTCCTCCTGCGATTATGGCCCGCGCTGGTCTCTACACGATTGCCATGATGGGATCTATTGCTTTCGTTGGTGCTACCGCTAAGAACGACAAGTACCTCTATCTCGGTGGACCGCTGCTTGCTGGTGTCGCCATCGTTGCTGTCTCTGGTTTCGCTCCCCTCGTCCTCCCCGCCACCGCCGTCCGCACTCTAGCGTTCACCGAGAACATCTGGTTGTACGGTGGCCTGGCTGTCTTTGGTGGCTTCACCCTGTATGATGTCCAGAAGGTGCTGAACCATGCCCGCCTTGCCGAGCGGGGTTTGATTAAGAGGGATGCTGTCAACGAGAGTATCAGGTATGTTCCACTTACAACATTCATATGTACAAGGCCAGTTGCTAACTATCCCCCAGCCTCGAGCTCGACTTCCTCAACATCTTCATCCGCATGATCCAGATCCTGATGATGCAAAACAACAGGAGGAAGTAGGTTCCCAAACACAATTGTACAAACTTAAAAGCCAGTAGGGCTTGTCGGAGAAAGCTGAAATACAGCTCAGGAAACTTAGAATGGTAAAGGAAAGCATACAAGGTATTTGCTGCTGCCGCTTCTGATTTCAAACTCTCGGAAACGGATTTCGAAGAGTCAGGCCCAAATGGGGTATTGAAACAACAAGAACTAGATATTAACTTGTACCACCCGAAAACTCCTCTCCTTGATGTATATACGAGTCAAAATTAAATGAAAAAAAATCATCTATCTACAAAACCATTCATGTCCATTCATCTTCTCTTGTACTGCCCGTATTCAGTGCCCATATATAGTTGATCCTCAAAAGGTCATACAGTACCTTACCGGCGCGCATAAATTTGGAGTGGTTCCAGGACGGTCCGGGGACTATGAAAGGCGCTCGGACCACCCGTAATGTGGATGGAGCCAGGAGCGGTCCTGGAACGGCGGCCGAAGTAAGACCAATTGGTAAAAAGACCGTTCCTACGGTCGGAATGGAGGGTTGAAAAAGACGGGTTTGTGTCTGTAGATCGTAGAATGAGGCTATCCGTAAACGTTGAAATTGACTGTTCTGATGCATGGCCAGTGAGTGCTGATGAGACTGGGCTACTACTGTAATTTAGCCCCAAGACTGTTCGGCCGGCCATAACTGGCCCATGACAGTGTGCAGAAGGTCCTGAGTAAAAACAGTCACGCCAAGAAGACAGCTCACGAGGCAAAAGACCGGCAATCAAGATGAGACTCTTATTATTACTACATACAGATATCTACCACCCCCTCACCCCCCATTCTGCCCCCGCCCCTTGCCAATGTCGTAATTCCCCGTTTGGCCAGCGGCAACGGACGACTCCAGAACCCCCGCCCCCTTCACATCCCGAATTACCCCAGGCCAAGTTGTATTCCAAGCTCTTTCAAGACCTTCGCTAGGTCTTATCATCTAGTGTATCCTTTGGTGTGTTCCGCTGGCATTTGTGCATCGAGGATTCCAAGTTTCGTTCGAGATATTCGGTGTGTAAAGCTTCGTAAGAGCGTCGAGAAGCTCAGGGTCCGCCCGGCAGTAAGAACATGAGATTCCTGTGGGCAATCATGGCGCTAGCAGCTGTAAACAAGAGAGGGGCGGGGAGGAGCAAGGGACAAACCGTGCAGAGCTGCGAAAAGCCAGCTCTGTTGAGCATTGTTGGTTGATCAACGGAAGTAAAGAAAAGGAGAAAACACAAGATCAAGCGGACTTACCTGAACTGGGCTATCAAGTCTGCTAAAGCGAACTTGATCGAAGGCCGTTTGATTCGCATCAAACGGAAAATGAGGAAAACAGAGAGTGTTGGCAAGAGCGAGAAAAGACAGAACAAAAGCAAGCTTGAAACAGTTAAATAAGACAGAGGAAAAATAGGAATAATACTTGGCCAATAGCTTCAACTCACCTGTGTGTTTGATCTGCCGTAGATGGCCATGACCAGGGACACTGAATTCAGAATAACGAAGAACTAAAAAGTAAACAAATAGAATTGCGCAAAACAGGGAAAACATACCGGTGATAGCATCAAATCCAACGGGCCAGCTATGACTAAGCTATGACAGCTGCCCTAAAACAGCTCCACAAGGCGACCATAGCAAAAGCCCAAAATCAGGGCTAAAAACACCCCTCAGAAATGCTAGAGCCGTTTTTTCGAAAATCCAAAGGCCCCCCTTTGGACCCCCAAAACCTCATATAAACGCGAAAACTGAAGGAGTCGCCAACTACTGCAGTAGACAACGCCAGCAAGGGTGTGCATTTAGCTGCTTTAGGGAGACCCCCAAATCCAATTGGGATCCGAAGAGAATGGTCCTGGATACCTGGGCCAGGATTGTCGCTAGGATGTCCTGTGGATATGACCTACTGAGGGAGCTCCTCTACATGGATTGCAAGTGCAGTGGGATGCCGAGTGTTGGAGGGGAGAAGGCGACACCAACCACGGCTGGAGAGGTACCAGAAGATCTCGTTGTCGCTCATGGCGCTTCGAACTGTGTGCCCACAGCTGGGATCCATTCCGAATGCCGCTGTTGACCTGGGAGGATTTGGCTGGCCCTAGATCTAGGCTGGGAATTCCACTTACAGCCGGCATCCATTTCCTATTGCTGCTGTCGGTATGGGGATGTTTGGTGATGCCTGCATCTAGGCCAGGATCCATTCATCATGGCCGCTGTTGACCTGGGAGGATTTGGCGATGTTAGAGATCCATTCATCGTGGCCGGGATCCATTTCTTGTTGTTGCTGTTGGTGTGGGCTTCTTTCTGCCACCGAGGAAAACGAACGGGGAAGTTTTCGCGTCTGGGGTATTGCCTGGGAGATGTTGCATCATTGATGGGAGGCCATTGATAGATAGATAGGTTCCTGCGGTTGAAGTTAGCCAAGTTTCTTGATTGGGAGGGGAGATTGATGGGAGCTTGGGGGGGGGGGTGTAAGGCGGCCCTCACGTGAGGGCACGTGAGGTGTCACGCTCTTACAGTGGACCTGGCGGGCTCGGTAAATTAGGGCCTACGGGTTCCTGTATATAAGGGGCTGGAGGCTCGGAGTGAGGCCTCCAGTCAATAGTCGCTGTATATACGTAGACCTATTGTTACGCATTGAATCCTACTTCCTACCTACTGATCTGGTTCCCTGAGCTCCCGTGTGACCCTGGGTCCTACGACTTTACAATTCTATTGACTCAACCCATACTCAGCCTACCAGATCAGGATGGCGAGCCAGGAAAAGAGGATTACCCGAGCGACCTCCGGAGGAGCGACTCCAGCGGCAGAAACCATCGAGGCCAGCCCACCGACTCTGGGCCCTGAAGCCAGCAGCTCCGCGACGAGCAAAGCGGACAGGATGCCGTCAAAGCTGGCCGCCCTCAAGAATAGGATCGAAGAAGAGAGGGCCTACTACAATACCATGGAAGAAGCCCTCCAAGTATTCCGACGATCGCACGGCGACGACTATAGCGCCTACCCGGAGGAAGTAAGGGTCTTCGCAGAAAGACAGGTCCGAATACAAGAAGAAGGACGCCGGAAAAGGCGACACCAAGACAGTGAGGAAGAATGGGAGGGGACCCCAAACGAGGAGGAACAAGAGACTGCCTCCGTAGTATCGCGAGAAGCAACCCCGTCGTATAGGCCTTTCGGCAAGGTCAAGGACCCTAAGGTCTACAAAGGCGAGTCGACACGAGAGCTCAACGAGTTTATGGCCTCAATCCGCGCTTCCTTCCGATACCAGCCAAGAATGTTCCCAACCGAGCAATCCAAGGTGGCCTTCGCCGCCCAATACCTTGAGAGCGACCCCATGAAGGAGTGGGACAACCGCTGCGCCTCGCAAGAGGAAGGGCTCGAGGACCCTTTAGATATCGCAGGGTTTGAAGAGTTCCTTCGCGACCTCCATATCGACCCAGCCAACCGGCAACGCATTGCAGCCCTCAAATACAACGGCGCCCACCAGCGTAAGGGGCAGGGTATCCGCAAATTCGTTGCGTACCTCGAGGAATTGGAGCGGGAAATGGAGCCCTACACCGAGTCCCAGAGGACCACCCACCTCCTGACGAAGTTACACCCAGAAATGAGGCAGCGCCTCCTTGAGGGTGGCTACGCCGAGCGTTCCACGACCCACAGGGAGGCTGTTGTCAATATCCTAGCCATGCTGGAAATGAACAACCGGTGGGTAACCGAGAAGAATCCTTCTACGGATAGGCCCAACACAAGGGAGAATAAGGGAACCCTGCAGGGTGGCTTTCCAGCTCGGAAGGGCCACTTCAATAGCCACAAGTCGGGCAATCACCGGGAGCGAACGCCCTTCCAGGATCGCCGTCGATCGGACCAACAACCTGCGCGCAAGCCAGCCGACACCCAAGGCGCAAGGCCTACCCAAGTAGGGAACGCCTGTTACAACTGTGGCAGACCAGGCCACTTTGCAAAGGACTGCCGTAGCCAGCACACTGGGCCGGGAGTCCGGAAGCTGGATACCCAACTCCTCAAGCGGGAGTGACTCCCTACCGAAGCCCTACGCCCTACGCAGGCGAAGAGGATGGAGATCGACATTGAAATCAAAGTAGGGCCTACCTGGCACAAGGCCAAGGCTCTACTCGATTCGGGGTCGGACGCGTCAACTATCCACCCCCTCTTCGCAAAAGATAAGAGCCTAGAGTGCCGAGACAAGGGCCCACCTCGAGCGAGGGCTGTGGACGGCAAGGAGATTGCCATATACGGAGCGGCGACCGTACAGATCAAGGCCTGGGACCACTTTCGAAGGGAGACGACCGTAGACCAGACGTTCCTTTCCATGGATACCCCTGGTGTGGATGTTATCCTTGGAATGGACTGGATCGTACAGGTCAACCCCCAGATCGATTGGCAGACCCAGATATGGCGCTACCCCTTCGATATATCGAAGGCGATGGAGGTGGGTATTGAAGAGCTAGACAAAGGCGATACTGCCTTTGTCCTGGCGTTGACCTCGGAAGGAGCATTGGAACCCCAATGCCCAAGGGAGTACGCTGAATTCGCCGACGTCTTCTCTAAGGAGCGGGCAGAAGACCTACCCGAGCTGGGTAGGAAGACCCACGGTATCGATACCAGCATGCAAGAGCCGCCTTACGGCCCGGTATACAACCTATCTGAGACGGAGTTGGCCACACTCTGGGAATACCTTCAATCAAGCGAAAGGAAGGGTTGGATCCAGAGGAGCATAAGCCCAGCGGGCGCGCCCATACTGTTCGTACAGAAGAAGGACGGCAGTCTACGCCTCTGCGTGGATTATAGGGGTCTGAATAAGATCACCGTAAAGAATAGGCACCCCTTGCCGCTGATCACAGAGACCTTGGATCGGCTCCAAGGAGCAAAGGTCTTCACAAAGCTTGATATTAGGAACGCCTACCACAGGATCCGGATCCGCCCAGGCGACGAGTGGAAGACCGCCTTCCGCACTCGTTACGGCCACTTTGAGTACAAAGTGATGCCCTTTGGCTTGGCCAACGCGCCAGCCACGTTTCAGGCCTATATGAACGAGACCCTCGAAGGGCTCGTTGATACGATATGCGTTGTATACCTCGACGATATCCTTATTTATTCCTCTAAAGAGGAGGAACATACCCACCACGTACAGGAGGTCCTAGGTCGCCTACGAGAGGCGAACCTATATGTAAAGCTCTCAAAGTGCGAGTTCAATACCAAACAGGTAGGCTTCCTTGGATATACCGTCACAACAGAAGGAGTGGCTATGGAAGGCGACCGGGTTGCTGCGATAGCTGAGTGGCCTACACCCAAGACCTACCGAGAGGTCCAGGTGTTTCTCGGCTTCGCCAACTTTTACCGACGCTTCATAGAGCAGTACTCCTCTGTTGTGGCACCCTTGACTGGCCTTATGAAGGGGGCCAAGGCCGGTAAACAGACCGGGCCCTTTGTGTGGGGAGCAATGCAGCAGGGCGCGTTCGATCGCCTCAAGGAGGCCTTCACCACAGCTCCCATGTTAGTCCATTTCGATCCAAGCTGTAAGATTAGACTTGAGACAGACTCCTCCGGCTTCGGGTTGGCAGGGAATCTTTCCCAATATGTAGAAGAAACCCCAGAACGAAGGGGTGGGTGGCACCCAGTCGCCTTCTTCAGCAAAAAGCTGGAGCCAGCAGAGCTGAACTATGAGGTCCACGACCAAGAGCTCTTGGCGATCGTGAGATCTTTCGAACAGTGGAGGCATTACCTAGAGGGTAGCCAACACCCAATCGAGGTCCTGACGGATCACAACAACCTGAAATACTTCATGGAAACCACCGCCCTCACAAGAAGGCAGGCGCGGTGGGCGCAGGCGTTGTCAGCCTACGACTTCCAAATATCCTATCGAGCTGGCAAGACCAACCCCGCAGATGGGCCGTCTAGGAGACCAGACTATGAGGAAGAGAAGGGTAGCCAGAACGTGATGCTTCCTACCCTTCGAAACAAGCTCCAGAAAGCCATACAGGCAGGAGAAGAAGCCCTGCAGATGAGGCGGGTAGTGGCTGACTTACAAGAAGTAGGCACCACACTGGGCGAAGACCAGAGTAAGGACACCAAGAGTCCAGGTCTCGTTGTCCCTCGAGTTATGGTGGCAGCCATGGCTCAGGGAGAGAGCGCCTACAGTGCCACGGCCGAACCCTTAGCGGATCTGATCAAAACCCTTCAAGCGGCTGACGAGCTCGCTGTTCACAGGGCCAGAGAAGCAGGGTCGGCGTGGGCGAAGGGCTCTTCAGGTTGGAGAGTAGACGATGCAGGCATCCTACGCTTCAAGGGAGCGGCCTACGTGCCTCCCAATCAGGCAGTACGTATGGAAATCTTCAAGATTTGCCACGACGACCCTTTGGCTGGGCACTTCGGATATAAGAAGACCCAGGAACTGATCCGACGGAAATACTACTGGCCTGGATTAGACCAGGAAGCCAGGGAGTACGTACGTGGCTGCGATCGGTGCCAGCGGATCAAGCCGGTACGGCATAGACCCTACGGCGAAATGCAAGGCCTCAGAATGCCTACTAAGCCCTTTGAGTCCATAAGTATGGACTTCATCACAGATCTGCCGCCTAGTATAGGAGCAGACCAAGCTAAGGCTTCAGACTCCATTTTGGTAATCGTAGACCGATACACCAAGGTATCCAAATATATACCCTGCCGGAAGACCATTACTGCCACCGAGTTGGGGCGGGTCTTCCTTGAGTATTGGGTTAAGGACTTTGGAATTCCTGCTGAAATAATTACAGACCGTGGCAGCGTATTTACGTGCCACTTCTGGTCGGCCTTCTGTTTCCACCTCAAAGTACGGCGGAACCTATCGACTGCCTTCCACCCTCAATCTGACGGCCAGACGGAAAGGCAGAACCAGAATATTGAGGCCTACCTACGCCTACACTGCAATCAGCACCAGGACAATTGGGTAGAACTTCTTCACTTCGCGGAGCTTACCTACAAAAATGCCTTCCACGATTCCATCCAGATGTCGCCAAATCAGGCTCGATACGGTATCAACATCGACCTGCGGCAAGGGATCGAGGACGACCCCATGAGAAGGGAGGTGCCGGTTGCAAGAGACCGAGTCCAGAAGATCCTCGACCTACGAAAGGAGCTTGAAGAGGCCTGGGCGAGATCGAAGGAAGCCCAAGTCCGAGGATATAACAAGATCCACAAGCCAATGCAGTTCATGGTCGGCGAACGGGTGTGGCTTTCTGCCAAGAATATCAGAACCACCCAGCCAAGTAGGAAGCTAGGTCACCGGTGGCTCGGACTGTATGAGATCACCGGGCGGATAGGTAAACAGGCGTATCGATTGAGGCTTCCCCCACGGTATAAGGCGATTCACGACGTGTTCCACGTCTCCCTACTCGAGAGGTATCGGGAAGGCGTTGAGAAGGCCGATCCTCCACCAGATCCAGAGATCGTGGATGGGGAAGAAGAATACAAGGTCGAGGCAGTCCTAGACCACAGGACTGTGCGGAGGGGTAGAGGAATCCGAGAGGAATACCTGATTAGGTGGGCAGGCTACACTGCAGCTGACGATCAGTGGGTTCCAAAGCTTGACGTAGGACTACCGTTAATCAAGGCATATCACAAGGAACAGACGCAGAAGGCAATGTAGTGTATTGTCCTAAACTAAGGGAAAAAAACAACGCGTCAAGTTCCGAAGGAGAAGGGCTCACAGACCCAGAAGCAGACCCCGACCCAGACCTAGAAGAAATGCGCGCGTCAGACAAGGGGGCGACGACGGGGGCAGGGCGTGGATTGAAGCGCCACTGGTCTGGACGCACAAACAAACGCTCAAAAAGAGCACGATCGTAATCCGCAGGCGTAGGCAGGAGAATAGGTCCTACCGACAAGGGCGCGGAGGGCAGGACAGGCCTCACTCGAGCTACCCACAGGGTCAGCAAAACGTCCAGGAAGGATGGGAATCACAAACCTACGACAAACTTCAGGGCGGCGACGTGGGCGTTGAGGCCAACCTGGTAGGCGTCTAGAGCCGCATCAGTAGCGGCGTGGAACATAGCAGCAGCAGCCTTGAGAGCCTTGGTTTTGGCCTGATCCAGCTCAGCAAGGGTCTCAGCGTGGTGAAGAAGGGCTTGGCGTGGGTCGTTGAGGTTGCGGACGACGGGGCCCCCAGCCTCAGGGAGAGGCGCAACAGGTTCCTCGTGGAAGGACGTAGCAGCTCTCTTACCCTTATTCTTGACCTTCAGGGTGCGAGGCTCCTTGCCCTTATCAGCGGTAGTGAACTCGCGTTGGGCAAAGAGGAGGGAGGCCAGAGCCTCACGGGTGGCGACCGAATTATGTTCCAGCCCAGCGTCCTCGTCGTCAGCGCAACAGTTCAAATAGGCGTCGGACTTGAGCTGCAGGGCAGTGAGGGCATCCTTCTGATCAGGACCGACCTGCCTGGTTGTCAGCATATCCCACTAAGAAGGAAAAGGAGGCCTACCGGAACGCAGTGGTGGTTTCCTTGGAGACAGTCGCCGCACTTGTCCAAGCCAACAGGGACCCAGCAGATCTGTCCAGGATAGTTGTAATAGGTGACTGAACACTTGACGCAGCAGTCGCGGGAGCCTGCGCGAAGGGGACCAACAGACTCTGGAACTGGGCGGCGCGCAGAAAGCTTCCACCCCAGCGCCGTACGCATCTCCTTGGCGGCCAACTGAGCAGCGACCTCCTCCTCCTCCTCTGGAGCATCCTCAACCGAAGGTGATCGGTAGGGACGCACGGTGCGAGGGCGAGAGGTGGACGCAACGGAAGCAGGACCGAAGGGAGTAGGGGTGGCAGGTGACTCCAACTCGGGAGACCCAGACATCTGGGCGGAAGAGCGCTTGAGAGGGGTGGTGACAGGCGCCACTGTCTTCTTGGGCTGCTTGCGCGGAGCCATGATTGACGGAACTAATCCACAGATCAGTCCCTGAAGACGAAGGACGGAAGGGAGGTAAATACCTTGCGAAGAGGGAGTAATCCTTGAAGCAAACCTTGGAAGAGGATCAAAAGGAAGAACCCAAGAACCCAGAAGAGCGGGCACTTGGTGTGAGGTTGTGTGAGGAAAGTAGGAAGTTGGGTAGGAAGTGGGAGTTAAGCGCGATGCCCACAACAACTGGGGGTGGCCGCGGCACAACAACAAGGGGGGTCACGGGACCCCCCTGACAGGCGCGAGTTCGATAACAACAACCCACCCTACAAACAAGCCAAACAAGCCCAAACAAGGGCGCAATCAGCCCTGATCTCTATGCCTGGAATTGGGGGCAATTCCCTAGAAGGGGGAGGTAATTGTAAGGCGGCCCTCACGTGAGGGCACGTGAGGTGTCACGCTCTTACAGTGGACCTGGCGGGCTCGGTAAATTAGGGCCTACGGGTTCCTGTATATAAGGGGCTGGAGGCTCGGAGTGAGGCCTCCAGTCAATAGTCGCTGTATATACGTAGACCTATTGTTACGCATTGAATCCTACTTCCTACCTACTGATCTGGTTCCCTGAGCTCCCGTGTGACCCTGGGTCCTATGACTTTACAGGGGGACATATCTGCAGGGTGATTGAGGGGGCAGCGAGGAGGTCAAGAGGGACTTCAAGGTGAGCAGCCTCTTCTTGAGACTGCAGAGAAAAGCTGACGATAGGTTTGATGATAGTGACCATGAATGAACATGGCTGTTTTGATGAGCTTGTGAGGAGCCAGTGATGAAATTTGGGCATATGTGCCTAGAAGAAGAGGAAAACGCGAGAATTACCGTTATATGCGGCTTCTACAACCTCAAGTGAGGTTGTAGAAGCTTTCAAGCACAATAAAACAAACCTTTTCACCCATTTTGATACCTAGGGTGTGGCGTGGAAGGTTGACATTGGGCTGGAGGTGAAGATGAAGGTATCCGCACACAAACGGAAGGTGCCGAATATCACCACTTCTTTTAGCATCGCTTTCTAAGTGGCATTACCACGGCTCAACTTCACATCAATAGGCATATAGTAAACATAATTAGGATTTATTTTTTCTATCTACGCTTCACTTCTAACCTGTGATACCGCGGTTTTGATTGCTTGTCCCCTTCCCATCCCATTCTCATATCAAGCCAATCTCCCACCAACAGTAGATTGACGTCAGTAGATCTGAAGCACTTGGAGCTGGATGCTCTAAATTATCAGAGGCATTGTGCAATCTGAGCGGCCCCTTGGCAAATGGTGCTAGCGTGTATCTCTGCTTGGGATCAATGTCCACGATATACAATGCCTTGCTCCCGATAGCTGGGAGACCAACGATCATCTGGCTCGAGGTTCTCACCCTCACGAGTGGGAGCATAACCATGGGATCCTCCTTGTTGCACTCTTCTATTATAGTCATAAGTGCGAAGAGGCGCTTCTCGCCATGAAAACTCTCGTGGATGAATCCAATGTCGAACCGGGCCATGGTGTTGTCCCGGACAACAAACGAATTTCCGGCCTCAAATGACACCCGACGCTGAATGGTCCTGTTCTCAACTTGATTAGCTGACATGGGAAAGACAACAGGGGAGGCAGGCAAAAAGACATGAAGGCTTACGGATCTGTGAAGCTAAAGCGGGAAAACCATTGGATGGGGTGGTTCCCTAGGTTAGTGATGTATGGATTATTGTAATCCATTGAATATGCATGTCGCAGCTGCTGTGAACAGTGTTGCTAATAGTTCATCGGCTCATCAGTTCAAATCGGCTCAGTTCAGTTCAGCTCGGCTTTTATAAGTGGGGCGTTCAGTTCAGTTCACAAGTTCTCATATAGTGGGGCTTTCAGTTCAAGTTGTCCGCACTGACTGTTTTGAACTGAACGAACTGACAGTTCTTGGGTGGTTAATAGTGGGCCAAACATAATATATTACCATAGCTTTTAGCGCTCAATTTTTTTTCCCCGGGACTTTTGGATGCTCACGGGCGCAATTTTGTTACATTTGATAAGTTACCAAAATGTCGTCACAGGCTTCAACTGAGCAATCACTACCACCTAGTATACAATCTAAGTTATTAAACCAAGATGTTGCTAGCTCAGGCCTTGATTGTCAATCTTCATCATCACAGCTCGGCTCCATTACTTCAAACCAGAAGCGCTCTCGCACTTCCTTTATCTGGTCGCATATGCCAGGTGATCCAAATACAGTATACTTCAATGGTCAACAAGTGATTGTTTGGCGTTGTGGGATTTGCAAGAAGGAGTATCATGAGGCAGGTGGAACGAGAGGCCCAAAGAAGCACTTGTTAAAGTGTCACTCTATTACGGATCCAAAGGAAGGGACTAAGTTGCTTGCACAAACCATGTCAATTGCAGAGGCTTTTGAACGAGGTCAAGAGGCCTTGCTTTACACGAAGCGTCGTAAGCTTGACACGTCTTTTGATATTGCAACTTTTCAACAGCTCTTTATACGATGGATTGCACGCTGTTCTCTTCCTCTACGAATGTCAGAAAGGCCAGAATTCCGAGAGCTTCTTATGTTTCTAAACCCAGAAGCTGAGAGTGCACTTCCAGCTAACCATGAAACTGTGCGTAACTGGACTATGGAGTCCTTTCGTGTAGAGAAACGTCGAGTACAACAAGCTGTCCATGGGGCTATTTCAAAGGTTCATTTTACAGTTGATTTGTGGACGTCAACAAACTCCCTCGCTCTACTTGGAATAATAGCCCATTACTTTGCAGAAGATGGTCAGCTTCGAGAGTCAGTTCTAGCGCTACGAGAATTAGAAGGTCGGCATACAGGGGCAAACCAATCACAGCTCATTCTAAAAGTGATTGATGAGTTTGGAATTGCAAGTAAAGTTGGGTATTTTATGATGGATAATGCAGAAAACAACGAGACGATGATGCAGAGTCTTTCAGCTAGTTAGTACTCTCTCCTATATTTATACTATTAATATTAACACTAGTATAGCTTTAGAGGAGCGCCATATTCCAATAATGCAAAGCAATACCGTCTTCACTGCAATGGCCACATTATCAATCTTACAGCTCAGGCTTTTCTTTTCTCAACTGAAGATGAAGCTCTTTCAGAGACAAACAACCTAAGTTCTTCGTATATTCCTACACAGCTGGAAATGGAGACTTGGCGTCGAAAAGGCCCTCTTGGAAAGTTACATAACATTGTAGTTTATATTCAAAGGTCTCCACAACGGCGATTAGCCTTTCAGAAACTCAGTCAAGGACGTCGATTACTTCGAGACAATACGACACGGTGGAACTCTTGGTTTTCAATGATAACTTCAGCTCTTCATGAAGACATTAAACCTGCTATCGACCTATATTGCTTTCAAGTAGGAGGTGATTTAGTAGGCGATGTATTGTCTAGTTCTGATTGGGCTAATTTAAGTAACATTCATGGGTTTCTTGAAGACTTTTACAAAAGCTACCGAAGGCCGTAGTGCCACTTTGGAAAGAGTCCTACCATCTATGGATTATATATTAGAGAAGCTTGGAGATGGCAAGACAACCTACGCTTCAGATTCATTTATGATTCCTTGCATTAACTCTGGCTGGGCAAAGCTGGATAAGTACTATAGCCTTACAGATCGAAGCCCTGTATACATTGCAGCAATGATTCTCATTCCAAGTCAAAAATGGAGCTATTTCGAAGACAACTGGGACCCTATCTGGGTAGCGGATGCAAAGAAGACAGTGCAGGACTTTTGGCAATCTCAGTACAAAAGTACAGAAGTTATACTTCCAATAACTCCGCTCACGCCAAAGACTGGGTTTGCAAAGTGGAGAGCTGAGAAGGCAAGACAAGCACCTATAGTTGATGAATATTCACGATATTGCCAAGGGGTTTGTTGTCCCGTTGAGGTGGATTCTATCACTTGGTGGATGGAGCCTACACAGCGTGCAACGTATCCAAATCTATCAGTTATGGCATTTGATATATTGTCAATACCAGCTATGTCAGCAGAGCCAGAACGTCTGTTTTCAGGTGCAGGAATTACAGTTACAGAGAGAAGAAATAGGCTAGGCGCAGAGACCATTGAGGCATTAGAATGTCTAAAGAGCTGGCTTGGAAGCCATTGCACTACTTGGCTTGCAGGTTCCTAGATGACAGCAAAATAGTTTTAATGAACTGGCGTTCGTTCAGTTCAGTTCAGTTCAGTTCACGCATTTTCATATTGTGGGGCGTTCAGTTCAGCCTCAAATTTGAACTGAACTGAACTGTTTGAACTACTAGCAACACTGGCTGTGAAAAGAGGTGGCCCTCAGGAACATCTCGCATCTGGAGAGGGAGGTCTAGCTCATTCTTCACAAATGCCCGGGCAACACAGTGAGTTGCCCTTGGATGGATATGTGTAGCATCTGGCTTAATATCTAGGGCATCATCCTCAGTTGTATCTGCCCACTGGCTGGACGGCAATATATGCTCTGCGAGCATCGGGCATTGGTGGTAAAGTGCTTTTACCTGAGCAGAAATTACTGGATGGCTTTGGTCAAACGCCCCTTGCAATATAAGGCGTAGTGTGACATTGACATTCTCTCGGTGAACCAGCGCTTTTTCAACCCCTCGCCCATTGAGATACTCAGCCCATTTCTTAAACAAGCTGTTATATTATCAGTAGTTAGCAAAGTAGATTTAAATTAACCGCCAAGCAGACACATACCGGTGCTTGTCCTCATAATGGAGGACATTGCAAGTGTAACTATTCCCAAACCTTCTGGTAATGTCGCTCAAGTGTGCTCCTTGATGGACATTTGGGCGATGCTGCCATTTGACAAACTCTTCTGCTCTCTTAGAAGTGGGCTTCAGATCTCTGAACCTCTCCCTATTCTCAAACTCCTGTCCAATAGTACTGAGAGAGCTTGCGAGCTCCTCTACAACAGCGTCAAATTCAGATGAAGCGGTAGATGGCGCTAGGGATGACTGCCCCTCGTTGCGGCGCCCCCCACTGCCTTTGCCTCGGCAGTCCTTCACCCGTGCTGCTAAGTGTGCGCAAGAACAAAGTCGGATAAAGGACCTCCTTCCTTCATAGACTGCATCGTCTATGTCCTGGATTCTGTCAGTTTGAGTTATCGGTGAGCAGGTGGCAGCATTTGACACCGCCATTGCGGCAAATGCGCAGACAATAATATCCTCCAGTTTAAGCTTGAGCTCCTGGCAATCATATCTGAATTCCTCATGGACTGCATCAAGGAAGTTATCCTCAACATCATCTTCCCGGAGAGGCTTGCAGCGAAGGATCAATGGTACTTGCATCGCCACCATCCCAGCCTCAGAGAGTGACCAGGATTTGCTGTGATGGATTGGGGACTGTCTGCGATCCCATCTTGCTGGAGAGGGAAACCGGGCGAACTCTTTTGCATATCTTTGTAGGCCAGACGCAGAGAGGATTGCTTTCATAAGAAGCTCCTGCGCCTGCTTCCCCTGCCCATTATATTCTGAGTGTGCAACGTCAGCTGGTCTTGTCGTAATAATGTTGAGAGCGGGCGACAACTTAAACAGCACTGGATCATCGCTCGTTAATCCCCATTTCTGGAGCCAAGTTCTTCTCTGGACAGGTGGGAGCGTGTTTCCATACTGCCAGAGTTGCATCTGGTGCCAATGATAGCAGCCTAGCTTGATGGTGTCGAAGTTGAGATCCCCACGCTCTTCTGTATTTGCCAAGCAGTTTCGACATCCCTTGCCAGCATTCTGGTTCTTGACTCCGGAGTTGTGGTTTTGCTGAGGCATATCTCCAGCGAAGAAGATCGGGAAAGCCAACACAGCCTTCTCCTCACCATTAATAGTGAGGACCATTCCTCTATCCAGCTTCGACAAGTCAACGATGAATGAGAGCACCTCATCAGTGCTTGCTCCATGTGGCCCTAGCGTGAGAACAAAGACATTTGCACGGTGCATGCGTGCTCGGAGAGTCTGGCTAGCGAGAGAAAAGTAGACTCCTGTCAGGCTCCTGTACATATTGTGATAGAGCCCGAAGGCATCTATGAACATAATCAATGGGGCAGAGATAAAGCAGTTCAGTAAGCCACTGATGGCCGTAGGCGCGGATCTCAAGCTCAGCTATGTGAGGATGAGACTGGATGGCTGGCCTAATATGGGCTCTCTTTTCGTGGAATACTCGGTGGATCTGGGATTTGGGCTTGAACGCGGTCTTCTGGGCTCTAGGGACGCCACTCTCAAACTCGTATGTGATTGTCATGTTAATGCGATTGAGGATATCATCAAAGTCGTCCTCAGCTAGAAGCATTTCAAACTCTGATATAGGGGGATTCAAAGCTGCCCCCTTATCCTGAATATCATCCGGCTGTAACACTGACTTCTAAACGATAGAAGACACAGAGGTTTCTTGCGTAAGGTTGACTTGACAGAGGAGGCAGGGGATTAGACACAAAGGCTTTCCAAGTAACACGTTACAGTATTGTAAAGAATACTATATTGAGTTGAGCATGAAGCTCCTATCTAAGGAAATACTATCTACTTATATAGTGGCGTCGTGCCTCATGGGTAATCTGGATAGTTGGCGGATAGCTAGATATTCAGGATAGTTCGTGGATAGCTCAACTATCCAATATTGTCATACTGACATTCGTTGCACTCAGTTTGCTATCAAACTCAAGAGCAAACTTGGAAATCTCCTCCTCAAACCTACAAGTCACTATACATATTTTGGCTTATCACACCAACAACAAGAGCAATACTACTCAACGATTGCTACAACCATCTATGATTCATTACACGTCATCGCTCCTTAGTTACTGAGCCGATATTACCACATAGCATATCTCTACAACCCTCTATGATTTATTACATGACATCACTCATACTACCCCATGACATATCTCTACCAACTAGAGGCCTAGGAGCATGAACGATAGCTCCAAAAGCCTCTACAACCCTCTATGATTCATTACACGTCATCGCTCTTTAGTTACCCACAAGATTGGTTAAGTTATGACATAATTTGTCTATGACATAATTTGTCTATGACATAATTTGTCTATGACATAATTTGTCTATGACATAATTTGTCTATGACATAATTTGTCTATGACATAATTTGTCTATGACATAATTTGTCTATAGGGGTACTCTGACCTTGGACCTCCTTTTACTTCCTATAGGCTACGAACCTAAGAGATGGTTCTATGGGATTCTCTTACATCGACTACAGTTACCAAGCCTGGTTAGTCATGGAAAGTTTTGGAAAATGAGAGAACTACACTCCTTTAGCATAAATAGGATTGCCCTTTCCTTAAGAAAGGGCAAGCAGACAATACAGTAAATCGACTATCACATACTTCCACGTCTTTTCCAAGCTTCCAAGCATTCATCTTGTTACTCCTTGTTTCTGAAAAGTCAGTGAGGTGTTAACCTCTGACTTACCCCTGAGTTCCCAGACTCAACATTTGTTGCAACTTGTCTGAACCACTTCACTACATCACACACCTGATTGCTGCGTTGTGGAATAGTCTAAGCTACGACCCTTTGGCTCTGTTTCCTAAGATAGTGTGTTGTCTTAGAAAACAGAGCCAAAGGGTCGTAGCTTAGACTATTCCACAACGCAGCAATCAGGTGTGTGATGTAGTGAAGTGGTTCAGACAAGTTGCAACAAATGTTGAGTCTGGGAACTCAGGGGTAAGTCAGAGGTTAACACCTCACTGACTTTTCAGAAACAAGGAGTAACAAGATGAATGCTTGGAAGCTTGGAAAAGACGTGGAAGTATGTGATAGTCGATTTACTGTATTGTCTGCTTGCCCTTTCTTAAGGAAAGGGCAATCCTATTTATGCTAAAGGAGTGTAGTTCTCTCATTTTCCAAAACTTTCCATGACTAACCAGGCTTGGTAACTGTAGTCGATGTAAGAGAATCCCATAGAACCATCTCTTAGGTTCGTAGCCTATAGGAAGTAAAAGGAGGTCCAAGGTCAGAGTACCCCTATAGACAAATTATGTCATAGACAAATTATGTCATAGACAAATTATGTCATAGACAAATTATGTCATAACTTAACCAATCTTGTGGGTAACTAAAGAGCGATGACGTGTAATGAATCATAGAGGGTTGTAGAAGCTTTTGGAGCTATCGTTCATGCTCCTAGGCCTCTAGTTGGTAGAGATATGTCATGGGGTAGTATGAGTGATGTCATGTAATAAATCATAGAGGGTTGTAGAGATATGCTATGTGGTAATATCGGCCCAGTAACTAAGGAGCGATGACGTGTAATGAATCATAGATGGTTGTAGCAATCGTTGAGTAGTATTGCTCTTGTTGTTGGTGTGATAAGCCAAAATATGTATAGTGACTTGTAGGTTTGAGGAGGAGATTTCCAAGTTTGCTCTTGAGTTTGATAGCAAACTGAGTGCAACGAATGTCAGTATGACAATTTGGGTGGGCTAACCGAGTTGGAACCGAGTCGGATGGGTTTCGGGTACTTGAGAAAATCGACTCACGGGGTTCCCCCATCATCTTTTTTGTATCCTTCATAGTAGACCTATAGGATAGCATCCGTTTAGCCTCCGACTCGCACTCTCATATGCTATTACTGTGAGCTGGGCGGTATTGCAGATGATTTCCTGGATGTTGCGCAGAAGGTGGGAGGATTTGCTTTGGCAGGAGGAAGCCAGAGAGAATTTCCACTTTGATAATCTGCTCAGATGATCTGGATACAAGCTGCATTAACATGTGCAGTTTCCGTTGCTTCAATTTTAGGTATATCAGGAAGCGTAGTAGGATATAGATTGAGGAATTGTTTCGGCTATTCATGGGCAGAAGAGGAGGTTGTGAGGGTCATAAGGGCGAGTGCAAGGAGGCACAAGGAGAGGAGACTTGACTTCTGACTCTGAGGAGGCAGCTTCAAGGTGTTTTTCTTGGTGTTGTCACCGGTTTGCGTTCATATTTAGGCAGTGTTGGTGAAATGAGAACAGCGCCCGACTCTATGCGGTATGTTTATCTGAGGTGATGCAGTCTATAAAACAATTAGTATAATTCATACTCTTTATCTTTCCTTCAACTTACCTTTGATTCTTGTCGCTGCCTGTGGTGAGGTTAGTAGTGAGGGTGGTGATAAAGTGGTGATGTGCACACAGGCCGTTAGTCTAGGTCACGTGACTGGAATCTCTGAATAGCTTCAATTCATTGCCAACCTTACCACCTCAGCATCTTCACCATATACTAGTTATCGGCAACGTTGCGGGCATAGGTTCCTTTTCACTTTTGTCTTCAGATTTACTGTCTCTAGTAGCAGTAGACGTTTCATACTCCCATTCTTCCCATTAGTTCAAGTTTCATCGTGGTTACTTTTCTCTAGCTCATTTAATGACAATGGGCTATGAGCCAGGCCGCCGCAATGGCAAGAAGTCACAGAATAAATGAAGGCAAGCTACACTCTATATCTTTTGATTATCTCAGGTAATGACTATCTGCACAGCATCACAAGCAAAAGGAGCCATCCCGCCACCAAGACCTGCTCACAGATGATGAACTCCCCCTCAACTCCGATGGCCAAACGACACCAGTGCATGATGAGCAAGGCCACAACTATCGAGAAGACACTCCTCCTACCAGCAGCCGCCTCACTGGAGATGAAGTCAACAACACTCTTTTTGTCACACCAGTGACAACTAGGCCAATGCTGAGAGAGGCTGCCGAAGCAAATACTGCCCTATCGAAGAAACGCCACCAGAGCCACACTGATGATTCTAGCAAGAACCCTGGCACAACCTACCCTGGATATCATAACCGCCAAGTTGCTGCTGAGATGGAATAGTATGGGAATAGGATCTCAGCCCGCGAAGCAGAGGACAAGTGGACTGAGATATCTGAACAAATTGATCGGGAAGCGCGCTTCCTTCTCCTCCTGCATATGAGGCATGACCTTCTTGATATAAAAGAAGATGTCCTGAAAAAGGTGCTCCCAGAGTATCCAATCGAGTCAACAGTATACGGGAATGTCCGTGTTGTCCTTATGGAAAAGGTCAAACGTTACCGGTATTCACTCATCGAGGATGTTATAGTAAGTAATACATCTCCTATCTCAAATGTAATTTCTAACATCTTTACAGCTTCACGTCAAGACTGCAATGAATGTAACAGATGGATCTGGTATTCGTTACTGCACGACCTTAGATGGCCTTGGAGATATGTTTCGTACTCGGTATACGGCTGCGAATTTTTTTTGAGGCATTTCGATTCATACACCATTATATCGACCTTGAGAAAAGCAGCGACCTCGCCCAGTACTATGTCAAGGAACTTTACATCAATGCTTGTGCCCGGAACGAAATTGATGATGGACTGGAAATCGAAAGGCTGTTAGCCTACACTCCCGAGAAAGCTTTACGGATTTCCTCCAACGCTTCCCCTTGATTGCGGATTGCGATCAGCTCGACAAAGATGAGTTCCACGAGACCTTTAAACGGCGTTCAAATACAAAGGCGCCAAAACCTATCTCGAAGAAACATGCCCTTATTCAAGGACAAGAATATATCTTGAGTAGGGCTTCTCCGCCGCCGCCAAAGCGCCGCAAAGAAACTCTAGTCCCTGGGCGTAGTGCTCGGGTGATAGAGTGAGATGTTTGCCGCCTCTTCTTGCGGTTAATTTACACTTGCTTTGGGGGGCATTCTCTTGTGCGCTGCTGTTGGGCTTGTGGCTTGGGCTGGGAAGTTGGCATTATGTTGCTGACCTCCTCGATGGAACATTTTTGGACTTTGCTGTTCTGGGCTGGGCGTTCTACCTGGATATCTTGGGTTGAGGCATGTTTGCTGTCGGAATAAGAGTGGCTACGGATCACAATGGCATTGTTTGAAGCTGGATCTGGCATGAATACTGGCTATATGATAGAAATAATACGCAATGAAGCTTGATTCCCATGCCTGATTTAACACCTGCTTTCCTGTGCCTGCTGCCTCTCTTCTGTGTTCCTCTGCAGCTTGCGTCGCTGCCGTGATTAAAATGATCATACTCTTGGTGCTCTAGCCCACGCCGTCGCCGATCTATCCGCCGCTGAAGGAAGGCTTCCTGGGCCCCAAGAGCTCTACAGATTCCAATGACAGATATGTGTGTCTATCAAGCTATCTGCCCTTGGAATCTTGGCCTCATTTTTCAATTTCCTCGCTCCTTTCCTCTCCCGGTCTTCTTCACCATTTTCCTTCACCGTTTTCCTTTGCCGTTTCCTTTGCCAGTCTCCTTCGCTGGTCTCCTCATCCGGTCTCCTCATCCGGTCTCCTCATCCGGTCTCCTTCGCCGGTCTCCTTGCCGTTTTCGACCACCGATTCTACCACCGATTCTACCACCGTTCCCTCTGTCGTTTCCATCACCATTCGCCTCTGTCATTTCCTTCGCTGTTTCGTCTGCCATTCTTCAGTTCCTCTTTGCCTTTCTTGCTTGGCTGGCGTGCCTTTCAACTCTTGCGGCTTCCTTGCCGCCGCTCCAACTCCTGGTCCCAGGACCGCCCATCCACGGCCGCGATGGGTTCCATTCGAGGAAACCAGAAACGCCCGCCCTTGGTCTCATCCTGAGGACGGTGATAGTATTGTCCTCACTCCACGCCGACAGTGTCAGGACTGAGGAGTGAGTGCTTCCAGTCAGTATTGGCGGTCGCCGTCATGGACTCATGACGATAGTGTGGCCGGCGACGGCAATATCACATCAACGGCCCCAGGATCACAAACGGTAAGCAAATTTTACTGTCATACTACTGTCAATTTCCTATCTACTGTTCTAAAGCTTCAACCGTATGGGTTGAAGCCTGATCCCGGATTTTGGACGGTCTTTGGACCGGTGCACGGGCCAACTGACCGTGGGATGACCGGCCAAAATGGCTGGTGATCCCCAGACCGTCCTCGGACCCCTCCACGAATACGTGGCGCGCCGGTAAGGTAGTTAGCTCCCGCCCAAAAAAATTCCCCCAATCTAATCTAATCTATCCCCCGCACCCAAAATAACCTCCATCTCCAATCCTCCAATCCCTCCAATCCCATAAACCGCCTCCAATCAACACCCCAAACAACCCACCTCCACACACACCCGCATACACAACAATGCCCCTCGACACCTCCTCCTACCACCTCGCGCTCCTCCGCCTCGACGGCCGACGGTGGAACGAGTTGCGCCGCCTGCACGCCTCGATCTCGGTCCAGCCATCCGCGGATGGATCCTCCTACCTCGAGATGGGGAATACGAAGGTGCTGTGCACGGTTGCGGGGCCGGCGGAGGGGAAGAGGACCGTAGCGGGGGGAGGGAAGGATGGGGAGGCTGTGGTGACGGTTGAGATTGGGGTTGCGGGGTTCAGTGGGACGGATAGGAAGAAGTGGGGGAGGGGGGATAAGTGAGTTTTTTTTCTTGTTGTGTTTTGCTATTGCTGGGTTGGGTTTGTTGGCAAGAAGGGGGGAGGGGGGGGTATGGGAGAGCAGCAGGCTGACGAAAGTAGGCGCCTGGCAGAAATGCAAATGACCATCGCAAACGCCTTCACCACTACGCTCTTCACACACCTATACCCACACTCTACAATTGCCATCTCGATCCAAGTATTCGCGCAAGACGGTGCCCTCCTCGCCGCCTGCCTCAACGCTGCAACGCTCGCCTTAATCGATGCTGGCGTGCCGATGCCCGACTACCTCTGCGCCGTAACGGCCGGGACGACCAGCGCACACGCCGCAGGCGACGAGGCGGTGGACCCGCTGCTGGATCTGTGTTTGATGGAGGAGCAGGAGTTGCCGTTTTTAACGGTTGCGACTGGCGGAGGAGAGAGGGTGAGCGTTTGTGTGTTGGAGAGTCGGGTGCAGGTTTCACGCGTGGAGGGGATGTTGGCGGTCGGGGTGGATGGGTGTAAGCAGGTTCGGGCGATTATGGATGGGGTTGTGAGGAGGCAGGGGAAGAAGATTTTGGGAGCATGAGGGATAAGGTTGCGGTGTGAGATATAGGTTCATACTTGATGTTTGGGGATTGGAAAAGTGTGGGTAGTGGCGTACTGGAGTTTGGCGCGGGAGAGGAGACATGGGAGCATGGGTTTGCGTGGAGCATGGGGGTAAATAAATACTGCTGCATTCACTAAGCTACGCTATTGTACACCGACTCGCCTAAGGAGAGTAATCAAGTTGTTACATTGCCAAACGATTGATGTGTTTGTTCAGAGCTCGTCCTTTACGGAAACAGTCTCCGTAGGTTCCGTAGCCTCAACCTGGATCGTCTTGGTTTGGGCAACTTGCTCGGGAGTCTTGCCAATGAGGATGCCAGGGAGGATTTGCTTATCGCCCTCACCCATCCTGATGGAATCAATCCACATCTCGATTGCCTCATGCGTGTACACGTCTCCAGAGTACTTCCTCATCCAGCCCCTCTTTGCGTTTATGGCGACAACATCAACGTCGTTAGTCAGGCCGAGCGCGGTCTTCAGCCCAGGCATGCCAGTGACCTCCTCAGCGACAGCGTAGAAGGGGAAGATAGCGTGCTTGGAGTTCTGGTACTTGAATGCGACCTCCGCGAGGCTTTCAATGCTCTGTACGGAAACATCGCCACCCTTTGCTGAAGTGAAAGCCAACACGCAGGTCCCGGACTTGGGGGTCAGACATGCGTCTGCGAGTTCCGCTTCGCTCGTGATAACTGGGATGGGTGGGGTCAGAACGACAGGCTTCTCGGCCTCGGGGCTCGGCGACTCAGTGGGCTCCGAGGCTTCTTCTGATGTTTCAGCGGTCGCACTGGCGGAGGCTTCGGATTCCATTTGGGACGAAGACGCTTCCTCGAATTCCTCCTCGGCCTTCTTCGCTGCCTTCTTGTCTGTTTTCTTCTCAGACTTCTTCTCGGCTTTCTTCTCCTTGGAAGCCTTGCCCTTTGCAGGTGCTGGGTCTGGATTTGGCGGGTGGACAGAGGAGAGGAACTTTACGATGTCGTCCTTCTTAAGTTCGCCATCGTAGGTGGTGGCCGACGCGCCATTGCCAGCGGGCAGAAGGACAATAGTAGGGAACTTCTCAATACCAAACATCTCCACTGCTCTTGGCTCCTTGCTCCTGATTTGAGAGACTTTGATTCCACCCAGGAAATCAATGGCAATTGCCTTCAACAGGGAGCTTGTAGATCCTTTCTCAGTGAACAAAATAGCCTTGTGAGTGTCAACGTTCTCAGCCATGAAGGCGTCCAACTCCTTGTCGGTGACCTTGGATACATGGTTTGCGATCTTGGCTGAGACTGCTTCGACGATGGGCTTCGCCTCGCGGGCTCCCTGGTAATCCTCAACAATTGGCTTTCCGAACTTCTTGCCTGGCTTGACAATCTTCAGGGTTGGAAATCCCTGGACACCCATGCTCCCACAGAACTGCTTGTTGATATCCTCGTCGCAGTTGACAGCCGCGACCTTGGCGAGGCCGGCGAGCTTCTTGGCTGCATTCTCATACGCAGGTTGGAGGTTCTTGCAGTGGCCACACCATGGAGCATAGAACTCTACAATCTAAATGAAATCATCAGCGCGTAGTTCGTTGTACATGTGCATGGGGGGCTTACAGAGGTGTAGTTGGACTTTGCGATGAGGCGGTCGTAGTTCTTAGCATCGACTTGGAGAACCATGGAGCTTTTGGGGTAAAGGCCCGCCGCGGTGGCGGGCGACGCCAGCAATAACACCGTAGCGGCCGCGGCCAGAGCTCCGGTATACACCATTGCGTGAGATAATGAGGAGATAGAGAAGATGTTATAGAGTGAGATCGACGTGGCAAGCTATGGTTTATATATCAGATCAGAGTTACAGTTCTTTCATTGCTTATGTGACAAGTGGCCACAGTAGCTAAATCCCCAATCTGGATAAAGAGTCTGGGGAAGCTGCATGATATGATATGTGGCCCGTGCGCTGAGACGCGACGCTAAGCGACGGACTCTACGTCAGGCGGGGGAGCTCCGCTGTTTAACCCTCTGATATTCGATCAAAGACCTCATTTCCTGAATTTGAGTACGGGAAAGCTTATGGAAACAGCAATGTACTCTTAGTAACGACCTCACTTTTCATAGATATCCATAGGAGGCATCTGCGACAGCAACAACAACGCGAGGCGCCATGGCCGCCTCCCTCCCCGCAAAGCTCAAGGCAAATGCAGATATCGCCAGATTCGCCCAGAGAGCTGCTCAGTTAGAGCAAGTAAAGCCGGCGATCGCGTACTGGTGTAAGTTTGGGAGCTGTATTCATGACCGTGCATTGTAACTAACGTTTCCCAGGCGAATACTGGATTGTCAACCAGCTGATTGCCAGAGGACTCCATAACACCGACTCAGAATGCCTTCAATATACGTCAAAGCTGATGGACAAGCTGGAACAGGTACGCTTATGAAGCACGTACAATTAACGAAGGCTGACAAACTATGGCAGACGAAGAGTAAATATGCCGACGACGATGCCATAATAGACGACACCGCCGGTCAGGCATACGTGGAGCAATTCGGCCTCGAAACGTTTGAACGGGCTGATCGAGCCGTCCAAGCCAACAAGATTACAAAGTAAAGAAACCCTCTGCCAATTTACGGCTACTCATTCTAATAAATTACAAGGCAAACCGCAGATACCTTCCTCGCCGCATCTACATTCCTTGAACTCCTGAACATATGGGGCGAGGCAGACCAAGAAATCCAGGCCAAGCTCCGCTATGCGAAATGGAACGCGCTCCGTATCGTTAAAGCCATCAAGGAGGGCAAAGATCCCAACGAATCCAACCCAGCTCCTGAGCCTCAGCCGGAGGAAGCACAAGGCCAAGCCAGCGAGTCCGAGTTGCAACAACTGGGCGACAATCAGTCTCATCCACCACCACCGACGGCAGAAGATGCCCCAGATGAGCAGGATTTAATGTCCCCTCATCTCGCTGCACAATCGCTGCTCAACAAATCCCTCCACCCCTCTCAAGAACCCTCGCGGCAAAACACACCACCAACTGCCTCCCATCCCGGCCCACCACCTCAACTCTTCAACCCGTCCGCCTCCCAAACCCTGTCTCCTATAGCCCCCTCTCCTTCCGCCGCACCGAAGGACCGCTCCGGATCCATAGGCGGCGGATACTTTCCGGAAGTTCCAACAGACACCCGTGATATACCAGCTGTGCCGACAACATTCCCAACTCACCTGTCCCCCACCAAATCCCCGAAACCCAGCGTCATCAGCCCACCCCACGAACAGTCTACCTTCCCCACCTTCCCTACCGTCGACTACACACCTAACACAGGACACACAGACCAAACCATCGATTCCTACTACTCCCAATCGCCGCCTCAGCCACCAGCACCAGCACCACCAGCGCAAGCAGCTTACAACGCGCCTCCCGTCTCCACGATCGCTGCGCCAGTAGGGTCCACACTACCACCACGACCTGTTAGCAGCGCGCCTCGACCGCAGGCAGCTGTGGTGCTGGATGATGTGGCGGTGGCGAAGGCGCAGAAGCACGCGAGGTGGGCGATTAGCGCGTTGAATTTCGAGGACTCGGAGACGGCGATTCGGGAGCTGAGGGCGGCGCTGGAGACGCTGGGTGCGCAGTAGATTGTAGTGTGGGGAGGATGCTTGGCCTATTTTTTAGTGGGGGGATGTGGTGCTGGATGATGTGGAGGTGGCGAAGGCGCAGAAGCACGCGAGGTGGGCAATTTGCGCGTTGAATTTCAAGGACTCGGAGACGGCGATTCGGGAGCTGAGGGATTGTAGATAAAGCGCGAGAGTCGAGAGTCGAGAGGAGGTAAATTCTAGGATGTATACGGTGGAGAAAATAATTTACGAGTCCTACGAGTTGAGATTCGGCGTGCTTATGTATCGTTCCAGTGACATCGACCAACAATCACCCTGCCTGGGTAGCTCAATCGGTAGAGCGTGTGACTCTTAATCTCAAGGTCGCGGGTTCGAGCCCCGCCTCGGGCTCAAATCCCGAGTTTCTCTACAGATTCTCTCATCATCTTTTTGCAATTTTTGTTTTTTTTTGCATGCGACGTGTATGAATGTAATGCGAATAGTATTATCTAATATTTTGTCGTTGTGGTGGTGGGTTGGTGGTATGAGAGGATTGTGTGTTTGTGTAAAAATCGCATGGGAAGTTGGTTGGATGTAATTTTTTAAAGGGCAAAAGTTTTATATACCCGCTAAGTTCATAAATAACTGCAGCTATCATTTAGAGAGTCAATATTCAACTATGCTCAACTATCCTGTTTACTATACCCCCAATGTATCCCAGGACCTTTCCCAAAATACCATGATGATCTATTCCAAGTATCCTCACTATAATTCCAAACCCCTCGTCGCCTGAATGATCCTATCGTCAATAATACGAATCCACATAATCGCCCCCATCTCATCCTCATTATCGATCGCCTCCGCCAAACTAGGAAATACCGCTACACCTCGTTAGCAAACACACACTTTAGTTTAGGCCAGGGGAGGAAAACTCACCACCAGCATACCCAGTCCACAACCCCGGCGCAAAAATCACATGCTTAAACCAGCTCCTCCCCGTCAGGCCCGGCGCATGCAAGAACTTCCGATCGAGGAGCTTCATCGCGAAATTCGCCTTGCGGACACCCAAATACAGTTTCAGGCGGGCGCACCATCTCAGCCATCCGTAGCCGTGCTTGGCGCGCTTGCGCAGCGTGTCGACGTGCTCGTCAAAGACGCGCGCTACCTTGAGGAAGCGGTGGGCTGAACCTTGCATTTTCTCGAGGCGGCGGCGGAGGTACCTGCGGCGGGAGGCGGAGTCGGTTGAGGTTTCTGGGGTTGGTCGGAAGCGGATCGTAGAGGATCGTGCGGGGCCGTCGTCGAGGAGGTCGTCGATCTGCTGGACGTATGAGATGAGTGCTTTGCCGTAGTCGGTGGTGCGGAAGGGGACTAGGGGGGCGTCGACGAGCTTGGCGACGAAGAGGCCGAGGACTTTGGAGATGGTGGTGTGATAGTGCCAGCCTGGGTCGCCGTAGGTTTCCATCCAGTGGTAGCTGTCGTAGTTGGAGTGGTACTGGTAGACTGCGCTTTCGTGGCTTGCGGTGAAGCCGATGTCGATGGAAGAGATACCGGCGAAGTCTTGGAAGGCGGTGAAATCGGAGCCGCTGCCCATGGTCTTGATGTGACCGCCCCATACGTCACGGACGGTTTGTCCCTCCACAGTCTGGTTCGGCGATTGAACCTTGCCGGTCACCTCGTGAATGAGGTTGTTTAGCAGAGGCGAAGCGGCCGCAGTGAATTCTGGCCCGCTGCAGCCAACGTCAATGTTGATATAGGCAACATTGGCTTCGCTCAGCCAAGGAATGTACTCTTCAACCCACTCCGTACTGCCGACCAGGCCATACTCCTCACCATCCCAGCTTGCGAAGACAATAGTACGGAGCGGTTTCCAGCCCTTGGAGAGCGCTTGCCCAAAGCCGCGGATGACCTCCATCATAGCTGCGGAGCCAGAGTTAGGGTCACCAGCACCTCCGACGATCCACGCATCGCGGTGGTTTCCAACAACAACGACTTCATCGGAAAGAGTCCCGTTGATTATACCGATGACGTTCCAGATAGGTGTGATCTTGTAATCCTGCTCGTTTACTAGCTTCAAAACAAGACCTTCTGGGGATGGGCCAGCATTATAGTGAACACCACGCGTCACGAGACCGAGGTTGACATCCCAGTACTTGTTCAAGTCCTTCGGTATTGGGCCATGACCATTGAGCGCCTTGAGAATTGGAATCGCGTCCGTATACGATATGGGAATAGAGGGAATCTGTGGAATATTGTCGTCTATTGGAGATCGAGGTACTCCAGGCTTCGAAGGGTAGCCAGGCGTGGTAGGGTCGCCGGGTCCCATGGACAGGAACTGAGCGCTTCCACGCTGGACACTGGATGGGTTGCGGCCAGGTCCATTTGGGTAATTTTCAGACATATCATGCAGTGGGCCCCCATCATCACCAGGATCCGTAAAAAGAACTGCGCCGACCATGCCCAGCTCTTGAGCACGCTTAATCTTCAGGCCTCTGAAGACATGGCCGTATCTTGCGATGGCAATGTTGCCTTTCAGGATGACGTTGGCCTTGATCAGGTCCTCGAAGTCATGGTATGTGCCGTAGTTGACATATACATATCGCGCAGTGACGTTGCCGTTGGCGGAATAGCCGTGGAATGTTGGGATCCTATTGGAAGCGCCAGTCGTTGGGTCTTCTTCCAGCACATCCTCCTCCAATGAAGCCTCGAACTTGACCTTCCATGTTGCGTCGTCATCTTTCGAATGTCCCTTGCTGGGTTTCTGCAGAAGTGCAAGTCTATGTCCGAGAGGGTAGTTCAGGTAAACCTCATAAGGAACAACACTTGAGTCTTCAATGCCAAACTCCTTCCACTTCTCCTGTGTCCAAACAGCCTGGCTGAGATTGGTCCCAGCCAGATGAGGACCCGAGGTGTAGTATTTGCTCCATTCTGACAGCTTCTCCGTGCTGGGACTGTTCAGAAGGAGATTTTCGAGGTCGGCGTATTGAAACTTGCCACGGGAGGGCACGAGGTCGTCGAGAAGGTGGGGGATAAAGGCCGCTGGAATCAGAACGAAGACGACAAAGGCAATAGCCAATGAGGCTGTAGCTATATAAGCGAATCGACGCCGAACAGCAGCCGGGGACCTTTGTTGTTGAGGCAGTCGAGCTGGTTGAGCTGTCGAAGAAGCTCCGAGGAGAGGTGTGCGGTCATCAGTAGCCATGGTAGGTTGTAGATGACCTTTGAGTGAAGATGAGAGCAGCAGGTGCATACATATATAGGCACAATGCCGGCGATAGCGAAGCCGAAGTGGAATGAAGTGACGATCAGTGAATTCGCAAGAAGTGTAGGTACGAGTAGGAAGCTGGACCTCCTTCCCAAGCTCGTTAGCGTTGGTGGGTAGGTAGGTAGTAGTACATGTAACAGGCAGGATAACAAGGCAGGATAAGAAGTACCGGTGGCTGAAGTGGCTGGAGTGAATGGAGTGGCTGGAGTGTGGGGAGTGGCTCGAGTGTGGGGAGTGGCTGGAGTGTGGGGAGTGGCTAGAGTGTGGGGAGTGGCTGGAGTGTGGGGAGTGGCTAGAGTGTGGGGAGTGGCTCGAGTGTGGGGAGTGGCTGGAGTGTGGGGTAGCACGTTCTGCAAATGTGTGTATTAAATTTACTGAAGGTACAGTACCCGTACTAACGGGACTCTACTGTAGTAGTATGCTACGTATATTTATTTATACCCTAGTCAAGATTAGGATGGTGTCTTGACCGAATACCCACTTAAGCCTTTGACAAGAAGCCATGATTGGTTGAGCACGGATGAACGGCCCAATCACGCCTTATAATTGGTCACAACCGTCACACATGGTTGAAATCACATAGTCACGTGACTACACACCCCACCACCTTCCTGTTGGGAGTAGGGACGTGCGCTATGGAATACGGTGGCCTTTTGGCCGTGAAAATGATCGTTCTGAATACCACCCGATTTTGGGTGTGGATCCCCGGTTCCCATAATCACTTCGAACACTTCCCCTCCAGTCATCATCTCACGTGATCTGATATCTTCTTCTAGCTCCTCGCAGCGCAGCTCCTCCAGCCTTCGTCCTCTTCTTTGATCTTGTCATGTTTTGGTTACTGTGCTGCCTGTTTGCATCTATAAACATATGTCTATAATAATCTTATAGCTAAACTGGCTTTGATCTTGTGCCTAACCATACTGTATCCACTATAAAGAACCATTTTTGCCTTTCATGCACCCCAGAACCGTAGTGGTCACCTGTACGAGACGCCCATAGGGCACTCAAACTTCATCCGCTGCCGTCCCGAGGGGATCTTAGGATGGCCAAGATGCCTCGTCGCCAGCCAAAGCTGCCTGTGTGGCAGCTGATCATACTGGGTAAATCTGCTCTGTTCATTCCTTGATGGGATGCCGATCGCTGATGGCCTCGGTAGCAATATGTAGACTCGCAGAGCCAATCGCGGCAACGAGCGTCTTTCCCTACCTGGTATGAGGAATCTTTCCATCAACCTCTATGCCTCAAATCAGACCGACTTTATATTGCGCACAATGCTAACATGCAAAAGCCTGAAATGATTGAAAGTTTCGGGGTCAAAAAGCAAGGGGTAGCCAAGTGGGCAGGTAAGACACCACCGTCTTCCTGCGTGAAACATATGAAACATGAAACTCACAGGTTTATAGGAATCACAAGTGCTGTATTCAGTTTGAGCCAGAGCATTACGGCCATAATATGGGGTAGAGCGTCCGACATGTTCGGCCGGAAACCAGTGATCCTGGTGGGGCTTACATCGACTATGATCATGAGCATATTATGGGGTTTCTCGACATCCCTTACTTGGGCAATCATTGCGAGAGCTCTCTCCGGCGGAGGAAATGGAAATGGTTAGTTGTGAGCAGCCCCTTTGTTTGAAGTCCACAAGCTAAATAGCGGCAATTGGCATCATTCGAACCATTGTTGCCGAAATGGTGCCTGAAAGGAGCCTTCAACCTCGTGCGTTCTCAGTCATGCCTCTCGTATGGAGCTTTGGTAGTATCCTGGGACCAGCCTTTGGTGGTTTCTTCGCGTCTCCGGCCGTCAATCTTCCTGGACTGTTCAGCAACAACAAGTTGCTCACAAAGTTTCCCTTCGCGCTGCCCAATATGATAGCGTCCATCTTCTTTGCCGTCGGCATTATTGTCGGCTTCCTCTTTCTGAAAGAGACCCTAGAGACTCGCAAGAACAAACCCGATTACGGAATTTATATCGGCCAGAGGCTGGTTCGGTGTGTCACGTCCCGCAAGAAGAGGAGGAACTGTGACTATGACGACGATGAGCTCGGAGCTGCTCTGCTCAACAACACCCACTCCCGCAGTAACTCTCACTCCTCCAGCAAACAATTCGACACGACATGGAAAGCACCCAAGACTCCACAAGCGGCCGGTCCCTCCGTCTGGGAAGTCTTCAACAAGCAATCAAACCTCAACCTCCTCTCATACGCCATCCTCGCCCTCCACAGCATGGCCATGGACCAACTCCTTCCAATCTTCATGCACCACCCTCAACAAGCACCCGACTCCTCCAACACGACACTCCCCTTCAAATTCAGCGGAGGCTTCGGCATCTCCTCCTCCCGCATTGGGACTCTCTTCACCGCCTACGGTATCTGCAGCGGCATCGTGCAGTTCTTCGTATTCCCGGTGGTGGTACGGCGGTTCGGTGTCCTGCGGTGCTACCGCGTGTGCGCAGTCGTTATTCCATCCGTCATGTTCGTCACGCCGTATACGGCGCTTATCCAGAACCCTATACGTCAGCAACTTGCGATGTTTAGCTTGATGATCGTCAAGGCGTTCTGTGGCATCTTCATGTTCCCATGTAGTACGATAATGTTGACGAATTCCGCGGCGAGCCTGAGGCTGCTTGGGACACTGAATGGGGTCGCCACAAGCGTGAGTGCGATTGGGCGAGCAGCTGGGCCGTTCTTCGCTGGCGCGGCGTTCTCTTGGGGGTTGGAGAGGGGGTATGTTATTGTGGCGTGGTGGATGCTGGGTTTCATTGCGATACTTGGCGCGATTCCGATATTTATGTTAGTTGAGATGGAGGGGTTTAATCAGGCCAGCGACGATGAGGACGGGAGTGACGACGAAGAACTCTTGACCCCTAATGATGGTGATGATGATGCGGGCACCATCATCGCGGGGGACGAGGCTCTATATGAGACTTCGGAGGATGAAGAAGCGATTGACATGGTGGAACAGCCGTTGGCGGGTACACAGCAAAGACTTGGTGTACCCAACGTATCTGTACAACGCAGGATGAGCAGTCCGGTTGGTATCCGAGGAAATAGTATTGGGCCAGGCGAACGAGGAAGGAGGCTGAGCACTGGGCTTGGTTACTCCAATTTCGGTCGTGGAACCGGAGGGACAACATTCGGATGATTCAGGCTGGGAATAGAGGGCAACGGGACGGAATGAGATTAATGAATACTGCCATGTTCTTATGGTGTTTGCCCTGTCCTCTATGGCAATTTGTTTGGGCGTTTATGTGTGCGGCAGCCAGCCACAGTTGGTTTTGAGTGCCTCCTTGTTAGCCAGCTCAGTGAGCCTTTTGTTTGAAATTCTATAGCATGATAATGGGTCTGCATATTCCTTTATAATGGTATTAAATCGGCCACGGTCTTTTTGAGTTAGTGTTCTCCCACACCAAGTGTGGGATTGATTCCCTGCCTGCCTTGAACAACCCCCCTCTGGCTACCTATTTATAAGCCAACTTTTCGGCACAGTGAAGTACCACTGTCTGGACAATCTGGCCAGCGGAGGAAATGAAGGTTATGGATTCGAGTGTCGGCGAGGAAAGGAAAGAAAGAGTTTGGAAACGATCAACACAAGTCAACAGGAGATAACATATCAACGACAAAAAGTAAAATCACAAAGATGATTTTCTCCCTCATAACATCTTGAGATCTGATGAGTCTTTTGCTATTTTTACTCACATGCTTGTTTACATTCGTTCCTCACTCGTTGATCTTGTTTACGAGCCACATACTTAGCTCTCACCATCAAGTGAATTCCTATAAACACAACAGCTCCACTTGGGACATTCATTCTCTCCTCTCTCTCCCCATGATACTCATTTTTCTGCATTCGCGGGCAAGTGCGGGCAGAACAAAGAAGCCCATATGCTTTTGAAAGTTCTGCATGCTAATTAATCTGAGTATAAAAACACATGATTTCCTATAATTTCAGAAAATATCTGAGCCGGAAACAGAACCTCAGACTCCCAAACTAAAGTTGAACCTTCGCTGTCAAAGATACACCCCCCAGGGACCGCCAGGACCGCCCTCGGCCCTGCGGCTGTAACTGCTACGGCGATCTCAGGTTCGTTCTTGAGGTCCGAATCAGTACCGGAAGGTGTCCGCTACACGTTTGAGTAGAATAGAATTTTCGTAAATTCTATTCTGAGTTTATTGTTGTAAGCCAACATTTGAGTATTCCGCTTCGCCCACTTCCTCTTGTTTTTTTCTTCCAACAACAACGCCAGCAACCCTCCCACCCGAGACCAGTAAGTGGCCCCTCCCCGTCCGTTTCTTGATGTGATACTGATAGATTGGATAGTATACATCCAATCCACACGAACGAGTAGGTGATGAGAGCACGTTGGCGCGGTGTTGATAACTTGTGCTGGGCTGAGGGAATCGCAGATTCCAAATTTGAAGATGCCAGTTCCCACCCCCTCCGGGGCCCTTACGGTTGCCTTCCGCGTGCTCTGTCTGCGCTGCCTTCAGGCCAAAGCCCGTGGGATCCAGTCCCACGACTGCGTCTGGTCCCCGACCAGTTCGAAGTGTGGGTACTGCACCGCGCAGCACTCGCCTTGCGTCCCGGTAGGGTTTCTTGTGGGGTTTGGTGTTTGGTTTGGTTGGCCGTTGCTAACTTTGGTGAAAGCTGCCCTGGTTCCTTGGGGAAGAGTTTGCGGCCCTCCTGGCCGCCGAAGAGGCCACCCCCCTCATCCCCGCCAACTTCGCCACCGCCGCCACTGAGGCAAATCAGGTGGCCCTCCTGGCTGCCCAGAGCATGCCAAAGTTCCGCTCCGAGGCGGAGCGTGACCTCTACGAGGAAGCATGTGCCACTCGGGCTGCCCTCGAGTCGGGGCTTGCCGTGAGTAGACCCCCTTCCCCTTGCGACTCGGTGTGGTTTCGATACTGACTCTGAGCAGCAAATTCAGTCGTCGCTGTGCCGTCTCCGGACGGAACAGGAGAGCGTCCCTGCTCTCTTGGGGGAGTTGGTGGCTGCTGTGGGTAAACTGCCCACCGCTGCCGCTCCTGCGGTCACTCCGACTCGGGGTGATGGAAGGAGGGAGGGGGAGGATGGGGAAGTTGGGGCGGCCTATGTGGCCTAGGTGGGGGAAGACCCTGTGTCGGAGGGGACTCGGGCCTGGCCCTTCACGTGGGGTCACTTCGACCCTTCGTCTGTCATGGTGGTAGCCGCTTGTTGCGACACCGGTGAGACGTTTGGGAAGGGTGACTCCCGCAAGGGTTCCCGACGCGCCTCCCTCCACGCGATTCGAGTATAAAATTTGCCATATCTTCTACACCAGCAAGCCGGGGTGCAAATCCTCTTGAATCCATATCAAGTATATTCTGAATAACCACCTCCTCTTCTAGTATAGTTAATTTCATCATTGCAGGCCGGCGTTCGTAGACAGTAGTTCGGCCGTTCATTCTGTCGCAGAGTGTAGAATGAGGTACTTCATAGAGCTTAGCAGCCTTCCGACGACTTAGATTTTTTGATGTTCGGATAGCCTCGATAGCTAGAATGATTTTTGCTTCTTGGGTAATCACTGACATAATAAAAGGTGAAAAAAACGCGTTGTGAAGTTAGAGGGTAGGAAATTCGGGAAAAGTGTCCGAGGTACTGATATGTCCGACGTACTGATAAACCACGTTATACGAATTTATATCTATTTTCTATTAACAATGCCGCACCTTACTCGTGATGAGCGGCTTAAATGCCAACTACTACGCTCCCTTAATTGGGAGTATCAAGCCATTGCCACTCGAATGCGTTGCTCAATCCGACAGGCGTCGTACGTGTCATACTGACATTCGTTGCACTCAGTTTGCTATCAAACTCAAGAGCAAACTTAGAAATCTCCTCCTCAAACCTACAAGTCACCATACATATCTTGGCTTATCACACCAACAACAGAAGCAATACTACTCAACGATTGCTGCAAACTCTTCTACTACATCTGTTTATGCTACATACATCACGGCATATCATTTGAACACTCATTGAACAAGTTATTAAGAAAATCTCCTCCTTAAGGGGGTGGGCCAATACTACCACATGGCATATCTCTACCAACTAGAGGCCTAGGAACATGAACGATAGCTCTAGAAGCTTCTACAACCCTCTATGATTCATTACACGTCATCGCTCCTTAGTTACCCACAAGATTGGTTAAGTTATGACATAATTTATCTATAGGTACTCTGACCTTGGACCTCCTTTTCACTTCCTATAGGCTAGGAACCCAAGAGATGGTTCTATGGGATTCTCTTACGTTCACTACATGATTAGCAAGCTAGTTGTGGGTCGCACTTGATTTCTAATACATTTACCAAGCCTGGTTAGTCATGGAAAGTCATGGAAAATGAGAGAACTACACTCCTTTGGCATAAATAGGATTGCCCTTTCCTTAAGAAAGGGCAAGCAGGCAATACAGTAAATCGACTAGCACATACTTCTACGTCTTTTCCAAGCTTCCAAGCATTGATCTTGTTATTCTCTGTTTTTGAAAAGTCAGTGAGGTGCTAACCTCTGACTTACCCCTGAGTTCTCAGACTCAACATTTGTTGCAACTTGTCTAGACCACTTCACCACATCATACACCTGATTGCTGCGTTGTGGAATAGTCTAAGCTACAACCCTTTGGCTCTGTTTCCTAAGACAGTGTGTTGTCTTAGTAAATTCATCCCTTCCTTGGGTGGCTAGATTCTCATATCTGGTGCACCCACCATTACAGTACGCTATTGAGCAAGGCAGGCCCTTCCTAGCTATCTACTGTACTTTTTAAAATATAATTCAATTTGACGCGAGTGGGGGCCCCTGCGCATGATTGGGGAAAATAAAGCGCATTGGTGGTTGCGAATTCACGATCATCAGCCAAACAGGCCAGGCTATAAACTCATTATTCAACTTCGGCCACTACTCGGTGGCACAGCTCAGCTTGCTAGACTCCGGACCTCCGAACGCACAACCACGCCTTCCACCACCTCGTTTTTTTCCCACAACCCACACCACCATGATTTCCCTCTTCTCCACCCTCCCCTCCGAAACCACCCCCTCCTCTTCTATCCCAACCCACGAACACCTAATCGTCGGAACCGACCCTATTGCATAGGGTCGGGGTAAGCAAAGAGCGTTCGCGGAAGCAAACGGCGTTCGCAACCACCAAAATTTGTAGGTACCATTACATAGTAATTTATATGAAGTATCTTTTACTTCAATTGAACAACTACTCGTAATTCTCATATCCATGCCACTCAAATTCGTGCTCGCTCCCACTCCCACTGCCACTCTCACTTTCGCTCTCCGCCTCTGGATCCGGAATTGGGTCTTTGCCAGGCTTTTACCCTCTTCTTCCGGAGTCGTTCTTGCGTCCGGGCTTCAACTCCTGCCCTATAGAGCTACTTGCGGGTGGTTAGTAGCCTGACGGGCTATCCGCGCTTCTTTAGAAGCCTCTTTGTAGAACTTGTAGGTGTTGGTTGCGGTCCGTGATAATAGAATAATATGATAATTATGGGCGTGTCAACCAGGTTCAGAACAGTGATCTGTGAAAGCATGTTTTTATTCAGTGGTGCCCAGTTTTATCTTCTGAGTTGGGTGATACTGGGCTTGGCCCCGGGTTGGCGCTTGGCGGCCTGGGCGGCATCGCTGCCCCTTATCCCGGGCACGGAGTGAGAATTCCACACTCTTTCTCTGCTGCTCGCTCTGCCTTTTTAGCCTGTTGAGCTCGCGCATCCTCTATAGTAAGAGCTCCTCCAATTTGTAGGTGTACGCGGCTACTACGCCCCCTATTTTTATGCTCGTTAACCTGCCGTTGTAGAATTGAGACGTTAAGCTTGAAGTTGTCCGTGAGCTAATACTACTTCTGTGCCAATAACCCAATTGTTATAACGCTGTTGAGAGGGGCTACTAAGTAGGACTAAAAGCATAGCCTTCCAATGCTGTAGTTGCTCCTTAGAATCTTGAAAAGAGGCTGGTATAATAGATGGTAAAGTAGGAGCTGGTTTTGAATATTTCCATAGCTTTGTGAGTACATTCTCATAATTAATAGACCATACTCCTGCTTTTTCAAATGCGCAAACAATAGTAAGCTCTTTAAAAGTCTTCTCTTGTATCGTAGAGAGATCTCTCATAAAGGAGCATATATTATACTCAAGATCAAGGTTCCGTATTACAGAATAGACTGCTTCATGGTGCCAATGCTTATAAGGCTGGAAAATCCCAACATCTAATGGCTGTAGAATATGGGCAAGATGCGAAGGGAAGGCGTAGGTGATCATATTATGCTCTGCTGCATATATTGTGAACTCTGGCATATAGTGACTACTATGAGAGTCTAATAGTAGTAGCTTGACATTAGTAAGTAGGAGTGCTTTGCGTGTGAAAGATGAAGTGATTAAGCCACTCCATAGCAAGTTGGTTGTTTGTATATCCTGATTCTGATAATAGAACCCGTTCCGTTCCAATAAGACTTAGATGGTACCAAAGTCCATGAGGACTTTGCCTAGAATAATGAGTATAGATAGAGTAACTCTTCCACTTGCAGACACAGCTTCGATTACTGTAATTGAAGCTCGATTATCAGGGCTTCCTTGTAACGCTAACTTCTAAATGATAGAAGACACAGAGGTTTCTTACATAAGGTTGACTTGACAGAGGAGGCAGGGGATCACACACAAAGGCTTCTAAGTAACATGTTATAGTATTGTAAAGAATACTATGTTGAGTTGAGCACGAAGCTCCTATCTAAGGGAATACTATCTACTTATATAGTGGCGTCATGCCTCATAGATAGTCTAGATAGTTGATGAATAGTAGATATTAGATAGTTGAGCTATCTAGTGGATAGATAGCTCAACTATCTAATATCTACTAGTTTCTGCAACTATCCACTAGCCTGGTCACGTGACAGCCTAGCCCTGCTAGCCTCGTGACTTCTCAGGTCACGTTACTAGAGCCTAGCCCTACTAGCCCTGTAACTGATGTCATGTTACTGTAGCTGTAACAATGACCTAGGCTGCTAGGGATACTACAACCCTACAAAATGCACGAGATATGCACAGTGCAACCACTATAGCACTTGAGTAGACCTCTATACCAGCCCTACAGGACTCAATTACATAGAGAAAGCAAGATGCGCCAACTGCCACAGGTTTGTCTCTAGGTCGTCCTAGGCACTAAACCTATCTAGGACTTCTGTCTAGGGCGCTTTAGCCTTTGCTATAGTGTGCTTAAAGGTCTAGCCGTTAATCGCTAGTAGGGGTGCTTTTAGGTTGGAGAATAGCTTGTGCTAGCTGATAACTTTATATAGTGCCTTGATCGTCCTTGACCACAACTAGATTCTAATAGTACTATAGTACTGTCAGTTACATCAAAATCAGGGTGTCATAAATGAACTTCATGTATTTGGCAACATGATAGGAATCCTTCAGCAACATACCAACAAAATGGGCACTTAATGTGGCAATGTTCATATTGTACAAAGCAGTATGAAGAATCAGGTGGTACTGCAGCACCAGCGAAACACTTGATGGATTTACACCAGGTGACAGATACTCAGAAACAGTCACAAGTCAAGAACATGCAAATGAGTATCTCTAATGCTCTGCAAAATGGACTTCATAATCCTTATAAACGGCGACGAGATGCTGACTTTGATACTCCTACATTTGAACAACTACTTGTCCGGGTCATTGCTAGGTGCTCATTACCATTTTCGATTGTCCAACGCCCTGAATTCTGAGAGTTAATACATTTTTTAAATGTTAATGCTGAAGAAAGTTTGCCTCGAAGCCATAGTACTATGTGGGACTGGACAATATGAAGATACAATCAAGAGAAGATTAAGATTCAACAAGCAATACAATCATCATGTTACGACGGAACAAGAAGGCTGGCCAACTACAGGACAGGAAGGAGGGAGGTCGCATGAGACCGGCCCTGGTACCTGGAGGGGCAGCGGGGAATAGTAGTTCTGAAAGTATCACGTGACGGACTCGCAGGATGATGAGAAGAGTCCTAAGAGTCCAGGACTCCGAGGACTCGAGTGAGTTCCCAGGAGTCCACTAGGCACGTGACGGACTCGCAGGATGATGAGAAGAATCCTAAGAGTCCAGGACTCTGAGGACTCGAGTGAGTTCCCAAGAGTCCACTAGGCACGACGCCACTATATAAGTAGATAGTATTTCCTTAGATAGGAGCTTCGTGCTCAACTCAATACAGTATTTGTTATATACTAGTAACGTGTTACTTGAAGCCTTTGTGTCCGATCCCCTGCCTCCTCTGATAAGTAAACCTTACGCAAGAGAACCTCTGTGTCTTCTATCGTTTAGAAGTCAGCGTTACACATCACAATCAAAGATTCATTTCACAGTCGACTTATGGACATCTCCAAATACAAAATCGTTAATGGGCTTAATTGCACACTATATCACAGAGAATGGAGGGCTTCAACAGTCAGTACTATCATTACGAGAGCTGAAAGGGAAACATACTGGTGATAGCTACATAATATTGTAGTATTTATACAACAGTCACCTCAACAGCAAGCTACTTTTGAGAAGTATAGTAATGGCAAAAGGCTTGTTCGGGATAACAAGACTCAGTGGAACTCATGGTATTCAATGCTTCATTGTGCTCTTGACAATAAGATCAAGAGCGCTATTGATATGTACTGTCATAAAGAGTATTTTGAGCTTTCTCAAGATGAATTGCTTGAGAGCGACTGGATAGTACTACAGCATATCCACAACTTCCTTTATTTCTTTTATGAAGTGACATTGTTTACAGAAGGTCAGGAAGCCACATTAGAACGGGTATTGTTATCTATGGAGTTCCTTCTTGAGCAATTAGAAAAGGGGAAAGAGATGTTCAAGGATGATTTAATGCTTAGCCCATGTTTTAACTCTGCATGGGAGGTTATGAATAAGTATTATGCACTTACTGAGCGGTAAATAATAGTATCTTCCATTTTAATATAGTACTATAGTACTAACAATCTATAGGTCTTCTGCATATATTGCAGCTGGAGTCCTTATTCCAAGCCAAAAATGGAAGTATTGTGAAGATAACTGGCCTACAGATTGGGTATTAAAGGCAAAAGCAGCCGTTCAATTGCTATGGATGAGCATTATAAGCCAACAATCGAGCCATAAATTATATCAGCTATCCAACCACAAAGTAAGAAGAATATTTTTGAGGAGTGGGTCATGCAAAAACGCCAACAACCCCCATTAGGGTCTACTGTAACCTCATGTAGCAAAAGGATGGATGGAGGGGTTTGTAGGCCGAGTTGTATCTCACGGTCTCGATGCCATTTGTTGGCGGAGCTGTGGCCAGAGATGTACGATCTCACTGTTGCACAGCAGGCCATTGGAATAGCTGCACCAATTGCCGCACTCATGGTCAGCAGCGGATATCAATCCTGCAGAAAACTGTCAACCTCGTGCTCAGTAGTGGTCGAAATTATTCTGCAATACTACACAACAGCCGAAATAATATGAAAGCGGATGTAAGATCCTACTTTCAGACCGAAGTAGGATTGCGGAAGGAGCAACAGCACGCTGAACGCTGACAGCGTCTTTGGCCAACTAGCATCGAAGCAATCAGGCGAATCAGGAAGCTGCCCGGCCATCCGAATATGACGACCGGAACGGAAAGAACGAAGACGCGGCATAGTGTAACCCACTATGAGGGCGCATTCCCAAGCACTCTTCCTCAAAGCTTGTGTGGTGCCGCAGTTGAAGGCCAAGTGTCCAAGTCGTTTCGGATGCCTCATGAACCTCCCTAAGGACTGCACCTACAAGGAAAGTATTTTCGTTTTTATTGAATTCAATTCGGATATGTTTCATTTCAGGGGAAAGACCTCCAAGGCAGCAGCCTGAAAGGAACATATTTCCACCGCCAAGGTCGCTAGGGAAAGCCCAATAACGGGTGGCTAGAAATCGGCTACGTATCCGATACCAACGCGGGAAGTTGTTTATAAACAAACATCCCCCCTTTTCAATTTTCCTGTATCAGCTCAAAAAAGATAATTATTTTCGTTATTTACATCAATCATGGAGGCATTTTTTGAGGAAAACAGAGATTCATACGTTAAGCAGGTGGCTGCCTTCAAACCTGCGCCAAGCCAAGGCGCAAGCGCCAGCACCGAGTCGGGTGGGGATACATGCATAGGAGCACGTATTCGGCCGCTGCTACCAAAAGAGATCGAGGACCACGAAGTTGCTGGCGTCTGCGCACGATCTAAAGAGGGGTATGCAGATGTCCACGAGTTACGACGTAAAGTCAATGGCCAGGCAGCATTAAACGTATGTGCCCGTTTATTCCTAACACAAGGTGCGGGGTGCTGATGGGTCTTTGCAGTCGTCCAGTTTCCGACTTGACAAAGTGTACGGGCCAGACCAGATGTCAGAAGATGTCTATCAGGACCTTGTTGCACCACTGGTTCCATGGGCGTGGGGAGGTGGAATCAGCACCTTGTTTGCCTACGGCCAGACAGGATCCGGGAAGACGCACAGTGTCAGCGAGTTGGAGAAACTGGCCGCTGCCGAACTTATGAATGGCAAGCTTGAAGGAGGCCGTGATATATACATCTGCGCGTTTGAGCTAGTTGGAAAGGAGGCGTTTGGTAAATTCCCAGCCACCGGCTCATTATCGAGTCGTCAGATACCCAGTCAAAAGGATCAGATTCTAACGCCCAGCAGACCTCCTAAATGACCGCCGAAAGATTGTTGTCATGGAAGATGCCTTTGGCGAGTCTCAACTTGTAGGTGCTATTGAGGAAAAGCCGGCCACTGCAGAAGAACTTCTTTCGCATATTGACCGCAGCATGTCTTTCCGAAAGACAGCAGCCACTGTCAAGAACGATAGTTCGTCTCGCTCTCATGCGGTCTGTCGTATTCGTATTGCGAACAAAGATGTCGCCGATGCACCAGATGGCCTGTTATATTGATCTTGCCGGGAGTGAGGTAGATAGAGACGTCAAGGAGCACTCCAAAGACCGGATGAAAGAGACTCGAGATATCAATATGTCCCTGTCAACGCTGAAGGATTGCATCCGGGGTAGAGCAATGTGGAATATGACGGATGGCGTGGCCTTGAACAAGAGGGCGATGAATGTCCACGTTCCGTTCCGGAGTAGCGTCCTTACGAAAGTGCTGAAGCATGTCTTTGACGTGAAGGGCGACCGTTACTGCAAAACTGCTATACTGGCGTGTGTTAAACCCAACGCAGCAGACGCCGGACCCAGTAAGAACACCCTACGATACGCCGAGCTCCTCCGGGTGCCAGCCCCAAAGACCAAGCCTGCACCCTACAATGTCAATATACCAAGCACTTGGTCCCACCAAGCCCTAACAGAATGGATCGAGAAGAACGTAAGCCATCTCATCCTAGACTTAACATTGCCTGTCTAACACAACCCCGTAGTCCGGCACCCCAGCCATCTCTCCCGCCCTCGTCGCCCCCACCGAAACAGGAACCCAACTATGCAAACTCCCCAAAGGCGAGTTTGTTGCCCGCTGTCTCAAATCCCCCGATATCTCCCCCGAGCATGCCCGCGCCTTCTACGACAAGTTGTGGCGTCTGCACATTGACTCGCGCAGCGCCCGTAACGCCGCCTCTGAGACAGCCCCTGCCGTATTGCCAGGGGACGCGCCGGCTACGAAGTCAGATGTGCCGTTTCAGGAGCGTCTGCGGCCGGGGATGATGGTACGAATTAAGCCGGAATTTGGGGGGTATACAAAGTACTACATGATTCTTAGTCCCGATGGCGCATTTGAAAAGGATGCGGAGAGCCGAGAGGAGGTTATGGCTAAACGAATATATATCTGCGCGCCTGTCGTGGACGCTGTGATGTCGGATGCGTATAATCTGGTTATGGAGATGCCAAAGCAGGTTGCTGTGGACGCTATGGAGGCCGAGGTTTTGATGGAATGGGATTCCCCAACTCGGTATTGGTTTATGACGATTTAAGGGGCGAGACGGTGGTGTGATAAAATATGGAAACGATATTAAAACGGGGCAACTACACCTACAAGCCAAGGCACGTTTTTATGTGTAGCAAAGATGGTTCTTATTGACAGATGGCCTATCTGATCACTTTTCCTTTCCTCCATGTCCACATTTCCCCTACTTAAGCATAATATTCTATCTGACATGACCCGCGGTATTCTACGTACTTTCAGCGCACCTATTCATATGGCTTGCAGCACAATTCAAGCATAGCAAACAAACCCTCTCGTGTCAGACCCATATGGCAGTCCCGAGTATGCGGACTGATCGATACCCCCCACCAATGGCCCACTGCAAGCTCCATTGTTGATATCTCTGTACGAGTCGCAGTACAGTCACCGACCACTGCTATTAACCGAATCGCAAAACCACCCGCGAAGCCACCGAAAGTAGATAATTGATTTGCTCGTAACACATGCAATTTTAGAGCGATAGATGTAAAAAGCGATCTATTGTAATTAGAATTGAAAGCTCTACAGTATAAGCCCCTATAGTATATAGTATAAAAATGAGTATTATAGTATTTTGTATGCCACCCGTCTGCTTGAATGCACGCCTCAATTCTACTCGGCATACTCTCATACAATTTATCAAACAATGACTTGTCTAATGTGTCCCATGCTCTTGCAAACATGATTCTAGACGCTATCTTGCATGTTCTGAGTTTGATTTATCCTTTGCAATTTCAGGGTACACCTCAAACACCCGGGTTTTCAAGTGCCACTAAATGTGCTCAATTAGATTGAGGTCGGGTGAGTAGGGGCCCTACTGTAGGGCGGTCACCTATAGAGTGTAGTAATCAGATGCTCCTCAAGAAAGTTTGTAACCTTACCCGTAGTATAGATAGGAGCATTATCTTGCATAAATTAGTAGCTAGAGTTAAGAGACTCAAAAATAGGGAGGAGTTTTGCTTCTAGAACCTCAAGGTATGAGTTTGCAGTATATCCAAACTTCTTTAACTCAACGTCACAGTCTATGACGTATAAATTGCTCCTGCCTTCTGCCTAAAAGACCCCCTAAACCATGATCTTCATGTTCTTCTTTGCACTGTAGGTTTAGATCACCTCCTGCTGCCACTGAAACACCACTCGCTCCTGTTACCCCGCCCCCACTTAACAGAGCATTCATTACTCCACACAACTTAACCCCAATCCTCTGCTGTCCAATTCCTCTGTGCTAAATACCATGCAAGCCGTTTAGCTGTATGTATTAGCAGTAGGAAAGGGCGACGCTTTGCACGCCAATTGCTATGCCTGCTTCTTGTAGTATCCTATTTATAGTTTATATTAAGGAAGCAACATTACAAGCATTCTTCACTTCTTGGTATGTATCCTTTGGGTTTAGGCGTACATGGCGGAGTATAAGGCGTTGCTCTGCTTCTGTGTATGACTTTCCCTGTGGTGTACGTGGTAGTCTAATGGTGGGTGCACCAGATGTGAGAATCTAGCCACCCAAGGAAGGGATGATTTTACTAAGACAACACACTGTCTTAGGAAACAGAGCCAAAGGGTTGTAGCTTAGACTATTCCACAATGCAGCAATCAGCTGTATGATGTAGTGAATGTTACGGCTAAGTGCTAGTGCTATGGCTAGCGCTTACAGCTGCAACCTCATGTGTGTAAGGACACAGGGCACCCAGCTCACAGTAATAGCATATGAGAGTGCGAGTCGGAGGCTAAACGGATGCTATCCTATAGGTCTACTATGAAGGATACAAAAAAGATGATGGGGAACCCCCGTCAGTCGATTTTCTCAAGTATCCGAAACCCATCCGACTCGGTTCCGACTCGGTTAGGCCACCCAAATGATCACACGTGACCCCGCAGCTACACGGAGTCTACTCCCTAGAATGAGAGACGAGAAGGCATCCTTACAACGTGATGGATAACATTGGATATCATGGATATTATGTTATCCATGTTATCCACGGCGATCCACGGAATGTCATGTGATGGATAACATTGGATATCTTGGATATTATGTTATCCATGTTATCCACGGGGATCCACGGAATATCAGGTGATGGATAACATTGGATATCATGGATAGTATGTTATCCATGTTATCCATGGATATCCCTTTGGCACGACGCCATTATATAAGTAGATAGTATTTCCTTAGATAGGAGCTTTGTGCTCAACTCAATATAGTATTCTTTACAATACTGTAATGTGTTACTTGGAAAGCCTTTGTGTTTAATCCCCTGCCTCCTCTGTCAAGTCAACCTTACGCAAGAAACCTCTGTGTCTTCTATTGTTTAGAAGTCAGCGTTACACTTTGAGCACCACTTCTACTAGGTACCAGCTTACACACAAAGCAACATGGCTGGAGACGATACTGGATCAAACGTTGGATTGAAGGGGAAGGTTGCTACTGAACCTACCATCGAATCACCACTGGCTCACCCTTCGGACAAGTTGAATATTACATTCCCAGACACCTTTCATGGGGATCGCAAGAAGCTTAAGAGCTTCTTGATCCAGACGGAGCTATGGATGGCGTTTAATGCCAAACACTTCAACAAAGAAGTGGAACAGATCCTATGGGCTGTGCCACTCTTTCGAGGACCAGCCTCAGAATGGATCTCCAACTACCTCGCTGACTACATGAACCATCGAACACCAGACGAAAAATGCAACACCTCAACTAGCCAAGGAACAAAGGAAATTTTTGTATCCTGGAACAGATTCCTCAAAACGCTCAAGGTAAACTTCAGAGACATCAATGAATGACGAAATGCAGTCCGGGCACTCCAGGCTCTCAAGCAGAGAGGATCAGCAGTTGCATACACCGCTGAGTTTCAACAGCATGCAACACTCACCAACTGAGGAGAAGAGGCTATCTGTGACCAATTCTACGCAGGTCTGAAAGACCATGTGAAGGATGAAATCTCAAGGTCTGACAAACCAGATGACCTTAGAGAGATGATTGAATTGGCTCAGAAGATCGACAATCGTCACTACGAATGGCAACTTGAGAAGAAAGGGGGACAACCTAGTCAACACTGGACTCAGAAGAGAAGAGAAGAGTCATTGGCCCCAACCTATGGAACTCGACACTACTTTCAAGCCTAATGGCAAACCCCACAATCCCAACAAGGAGCGACAGTTCCAAGAACGGCTCTGTTTCAACTGCAATAAGCCTGGACACATAGCGCGAAACTGCTGATTTCTAAACGATAGAAGACACAGAGGTTTCTTGCGTAAGGTTGACTTGACAGAGGAGGCAGGGGATTAGACACAAAGGCTTTCCAAGTAACACATTACAGTATTGTAAAGAATACTATATTGAGTTGAGCACAAAGCTCCTATCTAAGGAAATACTATCTACTTATATAATGGCATCGTGCCTCATGGGTAATCTGGATAGTTGGGAGATAGCTAGATATTCAGGATAGTTTGTGGATAGCTCAACTATCCATTATTCACTAGTTCCTGCAACTATCCATTAGCCCCGTCACATGGCAGCCTACCCAGCTTGCCCCCTGTGACTCACATGTCACGTTACTAGGCCCTGGTCCTGTAACCATGACGTCACGTTACCGTAGCTGTAACACTAGGTCCTCCTACACAGGGCCTAGTCCCTTAGGTCTTGCTGATTAAGGAATCGCTTACTTAAGTAGGGTGATACCCACTTAATTGCCGAGTAGGTTGTGCTGCTTACCATGTCTTCTAGTAGACACATAAAAATCAAGGAACGTCATCTTCTTGCAGACCGTATTGAAAAGAACGGCAACCTAATGTCGCCATGTTCAAGCTGTTGTTGCTGGTAGTCATCGTTGTAGTGAATGTACTGTTGCAATTCCAAATGCAATGCTTGCGCCCCTTCTCCAACTGATTGGGAGAAGCTTCGAAAAGAAGAAGAGCGTCTTGAGGTAGAAGAGGAAGCGGTGGCATCTCAGGAGTGAGAGGCTCACCTCTGCGCTCAAGAAGCATATGCCCGTCGCATGCGTCTTTGCAAACAGCAGAAGGCTCTCAAAACCCGCGGTGTTGAGATGCTGCGTCGTGGTCTGAAATCTTTGGACGAATTGGATGAAGCAGAGGAGAAGGAGTCTAGGGAGGCAGAGGTCAAAGGAACTCTTTTGCACAGCCCTTCTACTGCCGTTTCCGAGGGCGTAGCCTCTGAGCAGGACCTTTTGGCAGTCCTGTCTCCTGACTTCTTTGAACGTTGGGGTGCCGACGGTGAAACGCCTCCAGCAATTCTGGACAGCTAAGGTTTCCTACCGTTTTCCATAAATTGTCCGTAGGTTCATACCCTTTCCATTTGATCAAAAACTCTTCTTTGCATCCTACTAACCTTCTGTCTAGGATCGCTTCGACTTCATATTCAATGATCTCATTTTCTGGTTGTAGTTCTGTATCGGTCGCAATCGTGGTGTTTTCTCTTGCTGGTTCCAATAGTGAGACATGAAATACCGGGTGTAGTCTAGACTTCTTGGGTAGCTGCAGTCTGTAATTAACTGAGCTGACTTTGTTCAATATTTTGAATGGTCCCAATTTCTCGAAGTCCAACTTTGTACTTGGTCGTTTCGTTTTGATGTGTTTCCGGAGTAGATATACTTACCCCCCTCCTTGAAGGCAGGTTCCATACTGCGCTTCTTGTTTGCATACGCAGCAGATCGTTCATTTAAGAATTGGATGTCCATCGCTAGTTGTTCATGGAACGATTTGAGTTGTTCCACAGTGATCATAGCTTGTTCTGCTCTTGATTCATCTGGTCCTGGTTGTCTATATGCCTCTGGCTGATAGCCATAATTGGCAAAGAACGGTGAGACTTTTGTTGCTTCGGTCATCGCGCTGTTATATGCGAACTGTGCGATGGGTAATATCTGAACCAAGGGATATAACAAAATGTTTAGATTGGTTGCCACTAATTGCTGTTTTCGAAGCAGACAAGGAGAGGCCAAGTGAGGTTCCAGAGGTCGAAGGGTTGAACATATCCAAGTTTTGGTCAGTCGAAGCTTGGTGAGTTGTTAACCTTGGTGAGGGACTCAAACAGGGTTCTAGTTTTGCTGAGTCTCTTCGTTTTTCGAAGACCCAAGTTCATAGTCATAGGCATGGGAATCCTCAGTCTGAAGGAATTCTGAAGGGATTGAAGCAGAGACTGAGTTCTTCTGCCTAGCAAGGTTACATTGCTTGACTTGGTGGCCAGCTAGGCCACAATAGAGGCAAAGTTTATTTTCGAACCTATAAGTTCATTCTTCGAGAGTTAGCTTTCCTGAAGCTCTTTGAGAATTCGAAGTTGCTCTATTTGTTGTCCTAGGAGGTTGGTTGCTAGGCTTGTTGAAGGTAGATGTTTTTGAAGACATTGAAGCATCTAAGTCCATAGGTTCAGGAGTAAATCGAGGCCGAGGGGAAATGAAGGGTTGCGAAGCTCGACTGAAGTTGCATTCGCGCCTTCGTTCGAAAAGTCGATTATCAATCTTAATGGATTTCTCAATGAGGTCATTCAAAGTTGAAGGCTTCTCATCTCTGGCAAGTTCATCCTTGAGGTTGTCTTTCAAACCATTATAATAAAAGAAGATTAGGGCCTCTTTGTCCCATTGAAGGTGAGAGACTATCCTTTGAAACTCAGTAGTGTAGAATGAAGCTGAAGTTGTTTGTCGAAGGGCTTTGAGTTGCCTCTCAGCAGTTGCAACTTCATCAATGTCACTGAAGGTAGCTCGAAGCGAAGTGCAAAATTCGAGGTAAGTTGTAACCACATTTCCAGGCAGTTCCTCTAAGGATCCAGAAGCATGTTCTGTGAGAATTCGAAGTTGAGGTTCGAACCAGTGAAAGGCTGAGTCTCGAAAGAAAGAGGCTGCAAAGAAGATTTTATCTCTATCTGAAGAGAATTGCGAAGGTCGAAGTGTATAGTAGATATCCAGTTGGCTCAGGAACGAAGTCACTTTATTTCTAGTGCCAGAAAAGGTGTCAGGTTGATTAACCTTTGGTTCCGAAGGTCGATGTTGTAGGGGTTTCTGAAGAGGTGAAAGTGGTTTGCTGATGGGACTGTATTTCTTGAAGTGTGGCTCCCATAGTTTCCACCATATTCTGAAGCCTCAGAATCTCTTGCTCAGCAGCAGAGTATTGGGGTTGATTCTCTTGGTTCATGTTTCTGAAGGTGGGAGACGTCGAAGTTGAAGAAGATATAGAGTATGTGATTTGAAGCTGGAACTTTGAGCTAGCAAAGTGTAAGGACAGTTTGAACTGAGGCTGACCTTCAAGTCTGCAGAAGTATCCGAAGTATAATCTGAAGACTTTGATACTGAAGCAGTAGGACAAGGTATAGTAGTTCAGGCTCCAAAGCATATACTTTATACCACAGGGGTCAAGTGGTGAGACTAACAGGTTGGCCAAGTGGTTCGACTCGAAGTAAGGGAATGCAAAGTAAGTCGAAGCAGGAGGAATTGCAAGAAGGCCAAGTAGTATATAATTTGCTAGCTAAAGATCAATAAGAGACATGAGCAATAAGTGCTTATATAACAGTAAAAATCCCTAGTGCCAAATAAGTGAAGGCACTAATTAACCGAACCCTAGCTAAGCGAGCCCTAGTGCAGCAAGCCAATAACAAGAGAGCCTAAGCCAGTAGTCAACATTTGGGCTGATCTAGGTCAGCAAGTGAAGCGAAGTGAGCGAAGTGAGCGAAGCAGGTGAAGTGAATGACATAGTGAAATAAGTACTAGAGACTAAAGCGAATCGAAGGGTCGTGACACAAATATCGAAGGAGTGTCATGACACCGAGTAGTATTCAGAGTGGTATTCGGGCAACACTGGTTAGGGAGTAGCCATTGATTAGATTCTTGATTTTAACACCCCTTTAAATGAGATTGTTAACTAAATCTGAATTTTTAGCCATAAGAGCAGTAGTTATTAGTCTAACGTAATAACAAGGGTGGTGTAGTAGAGGATTAGTAATTGTAACAGGGTGTTGCTGTTATAGTACATATGGTATATAAAGCATGTTATGTGTATCCTAGGCAAGCTGGAATACTATAGTCTTTTTGGCTTAGTAGGATGTAGCGCGAGCGTAACTATACATCATTACAAGAGTATTCCAGCTCTCTAGTTAATGGGTTTTGATTAGCTCGCTAGTTAGGTGGGCTAAGTAAGCAATTAGTATAATTCCTTACCTAGCTGACAAGGGGGCATCCTTAGGGGCTTAAGCTATTATATACACACCTTAGCATCCTAAGTAGTAACAGGACTAGAAGTAAGTACGAGATGATAAGCTAGAAGCCTCTACATCCATGCTAGGACGTCACGGACTAAAGGGGGGGTAATTGTAACGGGGTGCCGCTGTTACAGTACATGTAGTATATAAAGCGCGTTACGCGTATTCCGGGCGAGCCGTAATACTGTAGTCTTTTTAGCTCAGTGGGATGTAACGCGAGCGTAACCGTACATCATTATAGTAATCCCATAAGCCTCTATGTTAACTCTCCTTTTATGAAGATGGTCAATGCCAAAGGCCTCTGTATCAGCGCCTCATTTAAGAAGACAGTTGACCACATCACTGTCACCCTGCGCAATTGCAGTTATCAGTGCATCTCCGGATACACCGTGAACTCTGGAGCAAGCTGTAGCATATGCTGCCCTTGGATTTAATATTGCGCCCATGCCCATAAAGCGCTGAAGTACTTTTTTATTTCTCGTCATGATTGCAGCAAACAATGGGGTCTGGCCTTTGGCTCCCATCGTATTGACGTTCGCACCAGCAGATAAAAGTGTTTCAATAACTTCGTCCTGTCTTGTCGGCGCGATGATACCGTGGAGGGTCCTCTTGACTTCACTATTATCCCCCTTGGCAACCTTCGCACGATGGTGCGAACCAACGTGAGCGCTGAGGCCACCTGATCGGAAAAACGACAATGGCATTCCTCCTATTTCGCTCGCTCTGCTTCCTACCTCAGCCTTTCTTGAAGAACCGCAAAACTCATAGCACTGCGTCCATGAAGGGACCAACCGCGGAGGCGCTACTTGAAAATATTTTTCGTTTTGCGATTGAGGATGAAGATATATCAACTGTGAAATACTTGCTTCAAGCGGGAGCAAATCCGAATGGACACAAATGCCAAGACTACGACCACGACGACTTAACTCCGTTACAGTTTGCTCTTTGGCGAGGAAACCGTGAAATGTCCCTCGAACTGATTAATGAGATGAGACAATAAATATAGAACTTCACAGTGTGACCCAATAAAAAAACTATTGCAACTATTCGTATAAATTTGCCCAATCGAAGTTGAGATTCATATCCTACAAATTCCCAAGCACCAAGTGGAGACTTGGATCCTCAAGAACGCTATCCCCCAACAAATCACTTTGATATCCGTCAATTGACCTGTGTACTCCATCGCTCACTCACAACCCTTTCATAGCTCCTTCCCCAGCGCTGTCCACGTCGCCGTAACTGCCGCAGAAGCCATCAGCACTGACCTCCCCAAATTCATCGTCGCCCACTGATCCAGCAGCTGCTTCACCGACGCGGCCTTCGTCTCCACCTTCTCCGCCGCTACTTCTGCCACTGCCTCGTCCAGCAGCACTTTGTTCGTGCCCATCATCACAATCAGCGTGTACGGGATAATTCCCAGCGCCAGCGCCGCGGCAGTCGCATACCCGCGCCAGGCGGGGGAGCCGGCGGCGCGGCTATCGTAGGCTAGATAGAGAAGAGAGGTGACAGCTACGACCGTGCCGGCCGGGACGGTATCGTGACCAGCGGCGAACATGTGTTTGAATTGCTTGAGGAGGAGGGGAGTGGGGGATTCGAGGAGGCGCGGGACGGTGTATATCGAGAAGGAGGCCGAGGCGCCGGCTAGAATGGCGGTTGTTGTTAAGCCGACGGTCTGGAGGACACGGGCGGAGTTGGGGGTAAGAGCAGCCATTGTTTATATCGAGGGAGATTTGGTAGTGAGTGTTTGTCGGGTTGTTGTAATCTTCAGAAGGGAAGGATCGAGGGAAGCGGGGCGGATTTGGGGTACCCGGCACGATGTATGACGCGTTCTCGGGTAGATGTACGGAGGTAATGTTCCATAAGTTTTGTATGTGGATCCGGGCAGGGGCCCCTGTGTAGGCTGGCTTGGCAATTTAGGCCGAAGTACCGATTTATTGCCACGCGTTACACGTTAGGAACAAGAGGATTGAATTCTGTAAAATAAAGAGTAGAGTAAGTACCTAATTAACTATATAAAACTATACTATAAGCCTAGTACTCTGTGTGCATACCATTAGCAGCAATTACAGCTGCCATGCGTACAGGCATACTGTCAAGGAGAGCGTCCAGCTCTTCTTGCCCAACTTTCTCCCACGCTTCTGCAACAGCTGCACGGAGCTGGTCATAGGACATATATTCCGAAACTCCCAATTGAGGGAGCGAAGGACTGCACAGCGAAGCCGCTCATCGCGAGTAAGGTGAGGCATTGTAGTTGCTGAAGGAGTATATATTTCCTACATACAAATTTATATATAGTAAAAATTTTTACGCGTTTAAAAGATACTTGCAAGCCTACACGTACCCATGCTCTTTCCCCTGTACAGTCCCCAATTTTCTCCGGATCCACATTGTCACGAGCAGCCTCACGTGCGGGTTGCGATCACGTGCGCTGCGGTGCCAAGGCGGAGGGTCTTCCCTCCGAACCCCGCACGGAAATGTATATAATCGTTGGTTCTCAAACCACCGCCTGGAGGCGGTTGGCGAAAGCGAACTGGGACGCGAAAGCGATTGTGGGACACTTCGGGACTCGCGACGCGACACGACCGACCATGAACACGACTGACAACGTAACAATGCTGTAAATATATATAAGTTATAGAATTAAATAATTAAAAAAGATTTGGATCAATATTGTCAGGCAGTGATTGATCATCACAGCCACCGTCACTTGCATCGTGAATCATGTCGTAGTCCAAGCCTGCAAAGTTCACGTACCCACTCTCCTCGATGGCTAACAGTCGGTCCGCCTCCTCCTCCTCCTCACGTTTCTTCTGTGTAACGTCCGGGTCAATGATTTCTGTACGTAAGCCAATTGGTGGCTCCGTGTCTGGGTTACTTTTTTGAAATTCATGTAGGTCCTTTTTCCGTGTACGTTCTGCCTTCCGTGCATCGATGCCAGCACGGAGCTGCATCTTACGCTCAACGTTCACCATGCGTGTTCTCTCTCTTTTCTCCCGTGCTTCTTCTAAAAGTTGCTCCTTTACCTTCTTCTCATAAATCCTTTGCCGTGCATGTTCAACTGTAATAGCACCACCTTTTTGAATAGATTTCCGACTTCTAACCTTCCACTGTCGTTGCTCAGTCATAATAGTAGTAATTTGTACAAGCTCTGACTGGAACAGCTCAGCCTCTGTTAACTGAGTTTGGATTTCAGTATAAGAAGACGCCCACTTTTGCCGTGACGGTGAACTAAGGATCTTATCAAATGTTTGACTCCATGTTGAAAGATCATAACTTGCTTGAAATGCGCGTTGTGCTGTTTCTAAAACTTCTGGTTTTGCATATATAGCAACCTTATCTTGAATCTTTTCATAGTTAGGTGGCCAAATACCTGCATCTCTAAAAGACTTGATACAGTTACCCTTTGTAAATGTCTGCTTACGGATAGTAGACAAGTCTCTAAAGAAAGATATAACATTATAATCTGTATCAAAATTCCGGATTGCTTGTTGAATTGCACGTCAGTGCCAATGTTTATATTGTGCAAACACAGTAACATCTAGCGGTTGTAGAATATGCGTAAGATGAGACGGAAACACATGTAAGTGTATATTGTGTTGATGTGCAAGTATTATAAACTCTGGAACTTCATGTGAGACATGAGAGTCCATTATTAACAATTTCGTTCTTATAGACGGTGTATGTTGAATAAAATGCTGTAGATATTCCATTGCAAGCTCAGAGTTTGTATATCCGAAATCGGATACTGCAACTTTCTCATCACCGTGTAGATTGTCATGGTACCAACTTTCCATGTGTAATTTTCCTTGTATAATAAGGAACGGTGGAAGTGCAATGCCAGCAGCTGAAATTGTCTTTATAACTGTAAGACTTTGTCTGTTCTCTGGAGCTTGTATATAAAGCTATAAATATTAGAATAATATAAAGTAAGATAAGTAGAAACAACTTACCTTCTTTACTGCAGATGGTACCAACACATGTTCACCGGTGCTTATTCCTACACGGAATCCAACTTCATCAAAGTTGTAGATATCACCTGCAGTAATATCTAGTTGATTACACACATCTTTAAATTCATAAAACCATTCTTTAATAGCTGATACTTCATGAGATGCAACCCGTGCTGCTTCAATTGGCCGGGTTTTTATTGTATGGAAGTTGTGTTTTAAAAGAGCTTCATTTTTATTTACTTCAACTACCGGCATAGTTGTGGTTGTAGTTGTGCTCGTTGTCAGTCATGTTCATGGTCGGTCATGTCACGTCGTGAGTCCGCTCCCGAAGTGTCCCACAATCGCTTTCGCGTCCCAGTTCGCTTTCGCCAACCGCCTCCAGGTGGTGGTTTGAGAACCAACGATTAGTAGGAACGCGGACCTCCGGAGGAGGGTCAGCGTTCAGTCTTTGCATCAATAGAGAGCTTGACTACGTAACTATCTACAACGTGACTTCCCACTGCCTTGTTCAGCCAAGGCTCTTTTACATTCTGAACGCTCATCCATTCCTACGTTTAGGAAGAACAGCCCAGTAGGGAAGTCCAGAAAGAAGCTGAGAATGCCGCCCCATCAAACCCATCAAGGCTTCGCAGCGAGCATTGAGCGTGAGCGCAGTGAGGCCGCTGCACCGGCCGAAGAAGCAACTCCCGCTTCAGGGGCCACAACCCCATTGTCACCAGTTCGCAGCTCCCCAGGGATTGAGGCCCAGATCGCTGCTGTGTCATACTGACATTCGTTGCACTCAGTTTGCTATCAAACTCAAGAGCAAACTTGGAAATCTCCTCCTCAAACCTACAAGTTACTATACATATTTTGGCTTATCACACCAACAACAAGAGCAATACTACTCAACAATTGCTACAACCATCTATGATTCATTACACGTCATCGCTCCTTAGTTACTGGGCCGATATTACCACATAGCATATCTCTACAACCCTCTATGATTCATTACATGACATCACTCATACTACCACATGACATATCTCTACCAACTAGAGGCCTAGGAGCATGAACGATAGCTCTAAAAGCTCCTACGAACCTCTATGATTCATTACATGTCATCGCTCTTTAGTTACCCACAAGATTGGTTAAGTTATGACATAATTTGTCTATGACATAATTTGTCTATGACATAATTTGTCTATAGGGGTACTCTGACCTTGGACCTCCTTTTACTTCCTATAGGCTACGAACCTAAGAGATGGTTCTATGGGATTCTCTTACGTCGACTACAGTTACCAAGCCTGGTAAGTCATGGAAAGTCTTGGAAAATGAGAGAACTACACTCCTTTAGCATAAATAGGATTGGCCTTTCCTTCAGAAAGGGCAAGCAGACAATACAGTAAATCGACTATCACATACTTCCACGTCTTTTCCAAGCTTCCAAGCATTCATCTTGTTACTCCTTGTTTCTGAAAAGTCAGTGAGGTGTTAACCTCTGACTTACCCCTGAGTTCCCAGACTCAACATTTGTTGCAACTTGTCTGAACCACTTCACTACATCACACACCTGATTGCTGCGTTGTGGAATAGTCTAAGCTACGACCCTTTGGCTCTTTTCCTAAGACAGTGTGTTGTCTTAGTAAATTCATCCCTTCCTTTGGTGGCTAGATTCTCACATCTGGTGCACCCACCATTACACTTTGGCTCTGTTTCCTAAGACAGTGTGTTGTCTTAGTAAATTCATCCCTTCCTTGGGTGGCTAGATTCTCACATCTGGTGCACCCACCATTACATGCAGCACGGGCGAAGACGAGGGCAGCCTGGGATGGCGCCCTCGAAATGATCCGAGCAAAGAAGCTGGAGGCGGCTCTTTACCTCAAGCAGGCTGAGCCTGAGACTTGGGCAGAGGCTTGGTTTCGTGGCCGTCGATTTGGCCACGATACTAGCAACATTGCGGAGAGCCTAAATCAGGTTCTCCGCTCCGACCGGGAGCTCCCAATTGTGGAGCTCCTTGATGCCATCTGGCATCGAGTGATGAAGAAGCGGGGGCAGAGGTTGCTAGCAGCAACCTCTGCCATTACTGAGGGCCGGTTGACGACTCCGTTCGTCGACGCTAGGATTGAGAAGGGGAGAGAATTGGCCCGGAGCAACCGGGTCCAGATCTCTTCCCCAACAACGGGGAGGGTGGTGCAGCCAGACGGCACCATCTACCTCGTTGATACGGCGGCAGGAACATGTTCCTGCCGCCGTTATCAGTGTAATGGCATCCCTTGCGGGCATGCTATGACACTGATCTTTGCTGGAGGGGGGCCATTAGCCCCCTTTCTTCCTGTTACAATGTCAGCTGCCTATGTGTTCCTCTTCCTCCGATTGATATATCGGAGCTGGAGGTTAATGCGCAGGACCCGTGTGATCCTCCGATTACACGGGTCCCGCGCGGGAGGCCTAGGAAGGAGAGGATTCGGCGAGAGGATTGCCGTCGACCTCGACGGCGAGATCCTCTTGTTGTCCGCTCTCGCTGCGGAACCTGCGGCGAGGCAGGGCACAATGCCCGGCGCTGTCGCCAGCCTCATCAATGAGGTTGGCGAGCTCAACTGGCCGTTATGGCTGTTTTTGGTGGGGGGGGGGTTACGGAGGATGGGGGGACTGGAGACTGGGGGGTTACAGGGTATATAGATCTTTTTAAAACATACAGGGTATATCGATCTTTTTACGCGTTGTACGGGGTATATGGATCTTTTGCCCTTGTTTTAAATTTTAAGCAATACACTTTAATTAAGTATAAAAGGCTAAATATCCATTCTTATACAATAAAGCCACGGTATTGCTGAGATATTAGCTTATGAAATTCCAGGTTTTTGGTGAGAAATAGCCGTGGCGCGCTCACTTGGGTTGCGCGCTCGCTTGTGAAGTACGTTACATAGGTATGAATTGGGTTGCTAGAGTGGTTTGCTGGGCTTTGCTTACATAACCGCTTACAACCAGGCGTGTTCGCCATGTCGTTCGCTTAGTATTCCGACACTGGCGTCCGTATACTGAAACTCGTTGTGAGCCATCCCTCACCTCGCGCCAATCCTTCCATCCCGCATTTCAAACCTTCTGAAGCTACATCTCTTCCTGATTTGTCTCATATACACCAATAGAAGAAATGGTTGGAAAGAAGAAGCGCGGGCATCCCGACCTGGAGGAAGCCCTCGGACGACCATGGTGCTATTACTGTAAGATTTCCCCATTCCAAACATTTTCGTTTCCATTCAGTCACTAACCGCGACATAGGTGAGCGCGACTTTGACGATCTTAAGATTCTGATTTCGCATCAGAAGGCTAAGCATTTCAAGTGCGAGCGATGTGGAAGAAGATTGAACACCGCGGGAGGTAAGTGGTTCTGACCGTCGTACTTCTTCGAGTCGCATTTTAACAGTTAACAGGCTTGTCCGTTCACATGAACCAGGTTCATAAGGAAACCCTGGCCAGCGTGGACAATGCGCTCGGCAATCGCGCGTCTCTGGATGTCGAAATCTTCGGAATGGAGGGCATCCCAGAAGAAGTTGTCCAAGCACACAACCAAAGGATGATCACCCAGTTTTATCAAGCCGAGGCGGATCGACGCACCGCAACCGGAAACTATGGTCCGGGTGGGGGAGCTGGAGGACCGTCGAAGAAACCGAAATTTGAGTCGCCTGGCGACCTCAAGAAACGACTGGCCGAACATAAAGCACGATTGGCTGAACAGAATACTGCAGGTGGAAGCAGCGGCGACAATACCCCTGGTGCGGGTATTCCGAATAGCCAGAGCCCAGCACCGGCAGTTCAGAGCAAATCTCCATACGCTGCCCCACAAGCACCATATGCCGCTCCTCCAGGCGCATCGTACGGATCGTTCCCACAAGAACCATATGCACAGCCGGGCCAAGCCTACCCACAGCCGTACGGACAACCTGCATATCCTCCACCCGTCTCCCAATATCCTCCGCAGCAGCCACAATATGCAGCAGCTCCAGCGTATGCAGCACCCCAAAGTTATTCGCCAGGACCATACGAACAACCACCACAGGCTAACTTTAGAGCTGCACCACCTTCCTTCGGGGCTGGCGCACCCCCAGGATTTAATCCCTACCAACCACCACCCCATGCAAGTCCTCAAATCAGTTCATTGCCTGCTCGGCCGGGGAGTTTACCTCAGGCGCCCGGTTTACCTCAGAGGCCGTCCTTTGGCACTTCGCCAACACCACCGTTCTCAATGCAACACCAAGCACCCCCTCCGCCGCAAGGTAGCTGGGGGCCAAACGGATGGAATGGGGCAGATCACCAAAATCCAGCTATGTCTTCAGCATACCCTCCTCACCAAGGCTATAATGATGGTTATGCCGCTAACGGAGTTGTTGGCAATAATGGAGCTTCAGGAGCTGCTAGAGAACCAGATGACATTGACGAGTTAATCAGAATGGCAGAGGCTGGCATCAAACCGCCGAAGAAGGGAGAATCCCCTTCTGCTCCTGTTTCGGTACCAGCACCCAATGCTGCCCAGCCTCAACCAACCGACCGAGCAGCGGCTCCTGGAGCAGCAGCAACACCAGAAGCCGGCGAAAAGAAAACAAGGAAAGATAAGGATAAGGGCTCGAAAATGGTCTATTCAGATAGCGAGGTTAGTCCCGAGGAGAAGATGGCAAAGCTGTCCAGGTACGCATTCGCTCCAGAACCGAAGAATGACACAGCACTTGTCGATGCTACCGAGATTCCTGCGGTTGCTGGCACTGTCGATGAATAGACATGCCACCCCAGCATGCTCAGCATTACAATATAATTCACGACCGTCGGCCATGGATACATGTTTCGACTCGTGCTGTTACAATACCGAAATCATCGCAATACCCACACCACATCAATACCGAACATAAGGCCAAGCCCACAAATCTGCAGCTGAGTACTAATTTGGTTCGTCACCCCACCTGTCGGTTTCCTGGATTTTGGGGTGGGAGTGTACTCGGTTACTTTTTTTGTTCTGGCGCTACTCTAGACTCTAAAATTCGCTTTTTATTCGCTTGGCGTATTCGCGGCGGCGGTCCCGAGGGAGGCGGCGGCAGAGAGAGGTGGGTGTCTCACATGGCGGCATCTGGTGAGTGAGCCTTTTTTGTCACCCGTGTAGATCTGGGAGGGAGTTATTGGGAGGAATTATGCGGAGTTGGTGGGCTGGGAGCTCGCCCTTGAGGGTGTATGACTTGGCAGATTTGTAAGTACTAAAAGGTTGGCGATCTCAATAATATCATGCAATCCGTGTTGTCCTTGCTCCCGTGCTGCGTTGTATGCGTCGTGTAGGAATCCAGTGCCTCACAACGAGGCCAGCCAGAAACAATATTTGCCGGTTAGACCGGTCTAGATCTATTAGTGTGTTATTAGAAAGACGTTGATCATGCCCCGAATGGATGGAGGGGTCGAGCCGTAGGATCATAGAGTAACATGTTGAGACTGAGCGCTTACGCCATCAATCTCTTCCGCTGTAACCTTCTGAGAAGCGCACTCGCACAGTAACGCAAGAGATGTGCCGTTGGATTAATCGTCGGTCCCGCAATTGTCTCGTCGACATGATTTGTGGTATGCAGTAAACTATGGTTCGGTGTCCCATTCATTGTGCCCTACAAGGGACGAGGCCAAGGCTGAAAGCATTTCCCAGTTTTCCTGACTTCAATCAGATGCGTGTCAGCAGAAGCCACACATAGTAAGCACCTGAACACGAATCCCAAGCAATGCAGTCCCAACATCGTACCCAACACATACTGCACCGCACTGCATCTGGAACCACCCACAGCCTCTCGTGGGGTGAAAATTGCACACCCGCATGTCCCGGGCCACGCTACTCGTACTGGTCCCCCCGCCAAGCCGGGGACGCACGCAGGCACAACGGTGTCTCACAAAAAGCAGGCGTGCTTCCGTCGGCGTACCGACACGCGCTGTGCCACCACCCGAGGCGGCAGGGTTCGTCATGTCATGTTTGTGTGAGAAGTTTCGGGTAGGAGGGGGGGAGGTGGTGCCGAATGTGCCTAGGGCGTGGAATATGTGGGTATATGGTGCGTGTCGATGAGATTTTGATGTGCTGTCGTGACATACAGGTCCATTTCGAGTCATAATCAGCGCCAGCTGATTATGTATGCACTATACCGCTCCCTGATCAAATCCCGAGCCTTATCTTGGCTCCTTCTTGCCACGACCCTGGGTGTCTCTGTCGATTGCAAAAACCTACAGTCGAGTCGCGCTAAGTCGATACATGGTAGGCAGCTAAAATATATAGACTTATCAAGAAAACCGAGATATCAAATTTGCCAAGCTATTACATCATCCACTGGTCCAATGTGCCCCTGACCGGCCCCTCAGACCTTAACAGCCGTTCAAATCGCTCAAATGAGCGTAAATATGCTGTATCAACCCCATCTTTAGACTCAGTATACCTAATCAGAACTTGCAGAGTCTGTTGAGCAGCTTCTATAGAGTATATTGGCTGTTCAGGTTGCTCTCCGTCTTCATTGTTACGATATCAAGTGTGCCTTGCAGCTCGAGTGGGGGTTTAGGGGTGTGGGGAGCTTTCCGGGGTTGGAGCGAAGTTCGCTAAAGAGAATTCACTCCACAACAACATAGCTGTATATAGATCGAGCCACTGCTCGAGTGCTCCTCTCCTCTTTCCTTTCTTCTCTAGATTGAGTTTAATTCATAATACCCAACTGGCACCCTATGCCTTGGTGAACCGTGACACAGATTACCTTACAGCCCGTAAAGAGTCTATGACTATTAATACAGTTTGTAATGGATTCACAGCTATAGGTCTAGTTCCATGCGACCCTAAACGGGTGCTATTGAAGCTAAATACTCAGTTATAGACACCAACTCTGCCTGTGATTGTTTCTCATAACGACGACCGTTAGGTACCTAAAACACCTCATAATGCTACACAACTAGAGCTCTAGACTAAGACAGTTAAAGGGCTTTTCTAAGGTCGTACGACTGGGTCTTCTAATCCTACAGAGCAAGCACTTCACCAGCTAGCTAAAGGATGTCAAATGGCTATGCATAACGCTGTTATTGCAACGACTGAAAACAACATTTGAGGAGGCCTCTGAGGCACTGGGATTTTCCGATTTGATCCTGATAGTGTGGTTTCTATACTTGATCTCAGATTTAGAACCCTGACACCACAAAACTCCCGCCCTAGCACCGCTCAACCTTGGGTTTCGCAGACACCAAGTAACCAAACTGAAGCCTTGTCATAGACAGCTTTCATTAAAAATCGTAATTGCGCATCATCAAAATAGCTCACCAACCTCTATTTACAATGCTGTTGACCAATTTGCAAAGGGAGCATCACAAATTATGTATCAATTAGCATTGTTAAAAGCGGAGAATGGAATGCTTCAGCAAGGGATGGAACAACTTAGCAAACGCAGAAGGGCTAAAAAAACATGCCTACAGCAAGGAGTATCACTTACACAACACGAAGCACAAGAGTTACAAGATGAGAGGGACCTTGTGCAACAAGTAAAGCAAGAAACACAGGCAGGGAGTGGTCAGAAGCCAAGGGAAGAAACATGCGCAAGGCGCTGTGGTAACTGTGGTGGCACAAAACACATTGCACGCATCTGTCAGATGGTAATAGAGGTATCTGAGGATGAGTATTCTACATAGCTTTAATTGATTTATAGCATTGTAGTGGAATTATCATAGTATTTGTTAAGTGAGCACATTAGACTGTATCATTTGCTATGTTGTATCATTCGTTATGCATGCATGTTAGTATATATCAATTTCTATTTTATATGCGAGTACTACTCAGGGTATTCGAGTACTGGTATTCAAGTATACTCGAGGATGCCCGAGTGTAAGGACAGTTTGAACTGAGGCTGACCTTCAAGTCTGCAGAAGTATCCGAAGTATAATCTGAAGACTTTGATACTCGAAGCAGTAGGACAAGGTATAGTAGTTCAGGCTCCAAAGCATATACTTTATACCACAGGGGTCAAGTGGTGAGACTAACAGGTTGGCCAAGTGGTTCGACTCGAAGTAAGGGAATGCAAAGTAAGTCGAAGCAGGAGGAATTGCAAGAAGGCCAAGTAGTATATAATTTGCTAGCTAAAGATCAATAAGAGACATGAGCAATAAGTGCTTATATAACAGTAAAAATCCCTAGTGCCAAATAAGTGAAGGCACTAATTAACCGAACCCTAGCTAAGCGAGCCCTAGTGCAGCAAGCCAATAACAAGAGAGCCTAAGCCAGTAGTCAACATTTGGGCTGATCTAGGTCAGCAAGTGAAGCGAAGTGAGCGAAGTGAGCGAAGCAGGTGAAGTGAATGACATAGTGAAATAAGTACTAGAGACTAAAGCGAATCGAAGGGTCGTGACACAAATATCGAAGGAGTGTCATGACACACCACTACTCGCACTCGCGAGCTATTCTCAGTCTGTTGGGTGAAGCACTGCGCTGCCCGGTGGCCTTCCTTTCCGCAGGTAAAGCAAAGATTGTTTTCCTTCTGCCGCTGTTCCTCAGCGTCGGGTAGGCGGGGGTGCTTCTGGAAGGACCTTGTGGCACCCCAGTTCTCATTTGAGCTGCTAGAGGGCCTCTTCCGAGGCCTATCAGGCTGGCTCTGCTGACGGCCTTCCCTTGCGCTACCTTCCCAAACACGAGATGTGTCCGCCTGCTCAAACCGCGCTGTGAGCGCGATGAGTGCAACCCGGGTACGCGGAATCTCGGGATAAGTAAGGACCTTCGTTCTCACATCTGGCCGTAACTTCATGAGGAGGTGTTGCACCCGGTGCTCCTCACTATAGGCTGGCATGTCCGCCTCTAAGATTTCGAGGTAGTGTCATACTGACATTCGTTGCACTCAGTTTGCTATCAAACTCAAGAGCAAACTTAGAAATCTCCTCCTCAAACCTACAAGTCACCATACATATCTTGGCTTATCACACCAACAACAGAAGCAATACTACTCAACGATTGCTGCAAACTCTTCTACTACATCTGTTTATGCTACATACATCACGGCATATCATTTGGACACTCATTGAACAAGTTATTAAGAAAATCTCCTCCTTAAGGGGGTGGGCCAATACTACCACATGGCATATCTCTACCAACTAGAGGCCTAGGAACATGAACGATAGCTCTAGAAGCTTCTACAACCCTCTATGATTCATTACACGTCATCGCTCCTTAGTTACCCACAAGATTGGTTAAGTTATGACATAATTTGTCTATAGGTACTCTGACCTTGGACCTCCTTTTCACTTCCTATAGGCTAGGAACCCAAGAGATGGTTCTATGGGATTCTCTTACGTTCACTACATGATTAGCAAGCTAGTTGTGGGTCGCACTTGATTTCTAATACATTTACCAAGCCTGGTTAGTCATGGAAAGTCATGGAAAATGAGAGAACTACACTCCTTTGGCATAAATAGGATTGCCCTTTCCTTAAGAAAGGGCAAGCAGGCAATACAGTAAATCGACTAGCACATACTTCTACGTCTTTTCCAAGCTTCCAAGCATTGATCTTGTTATTCTCTGTTTTTGAAAAGTCAGTGAGGTGCTAACCTCTGACTTACCCCTGAGTTCTCAGACTCAACATTTGTTGCAACTTGTCTAAACCACTTCACCACATCATACACCTGATTGCTGCGTTGTGGAATAGTCTAAGCTACAACCCTTTGGCTCTGTTTCCTAAGACAGTGTGTTGTCTTAGTAAATTCATCCCTTCCTTGGGTGGCTAGATTCTCATATCTTGTGCACCCACCATTACAGGTAGGTGGCAAACGCCTGCGCTGTCTGGCCGCCTCGCTGCCGCGCCTCCTCGTATTTGATGGCCGTTGAGATCATTCGGTTCACTGGGTCCTGGATGAGGTCGAGGAGAAAGTTCTTAAACTCCTCCCCAGGTCTTCTGGAACCCAGGTTCCCATTCGTGTCGGAGCCACGCGTCGCGGGGTTCTCCTGTGAGCCACGTCATTGCAAAGTCGCAGCGTAGCTCATCCGACTTATTCGCCCCTGGTTCGAGGCGGAAGGCGAGCTCACAGTTCGTAATAAACTCTGAGTGTTCCCGCACTGTCTTCCCTCGGTATTCTGAGACTGCCTTTGCCCTAAGGATTCGCGGAAGGCCATCATGGGATATCGAGCTCGCTGGCGTCCAGCTGCGTTCCGAGGTTGCGAGGGTCTGGGTCGAAGCCTACGCTTCGTCCACGCATTCTAGTTGTTTCTGCAGCTTCCAAATCCGCTCTCCCGTCTCCCGTAACTCAAGCTCCTGCCGCAGCTCAGCTTCGAGTGCTATGGCAGCATGTAATGGTGGGTGCATCAGATGTGAGAATCTAGCCACCCAAGGAAGGGATGAATTTACTAAGACAACACACTGTCTTAGGAAACAGAGCCAAAGGGTTGTAGCTTAGACTATTCCACAACGCAGCAATCAGGTGTGTGATGTAGTGAAGTGGTTCAGACAAGTTGCAACAAATGTTGAGTCTGGGAACTCAGGGGTAAGTCAGAGGTTAACACCTCACTGACTTTTCAGAAACAAGGAGTAACAAGATCAATGCTTGGAAGCTTGGAAAAGACGTGGAAGTATGATAGTCAATTTACTGTATTGTCTGCTTGCCCTTTCTTAAGGAAATGGCAATCCTATTTATGCTAAAGGAGTGTAGTTCTCTCATTTTCCAAGACTTTCCATGACTAACCAAGCTTGGTAACTGTAGTCGACGTAAGAGAATCCCATAGAACCATCTCCTAGGTTCCTAGCCTATAGGAAGTGAAAGGAGGTCCAAGGTCAGAGTACCCCTATAGACAAATTATGTCATAACTTAACCAATCTTGTGGGTAACTAAGGAGCGATGACGTGTAATGAATCATAGACGGTTGTAGAAGCTTTTGGAGCTATCGTTCATGTTCCTAGGCCTCTAGTTGGTAGAGATATGTCATGTGGTAGTATGAGTGATGTCATGTAATGAATCATAGAGGGTTGTAGAGATATGCTATGTGGTCATATCGGCCCAGTAACTAAGGAGCAATGACGTGTAATGAATCATAGAGGGTTGTAGCAATCGTTGAGTAGTATTGCTCTTGTTGTTGGTGTGACAAGCCAAAATATGTATAGTGACTTGTAGGTTTGAGGAGGAGATTTCTAAGTTTGCTCTTGAGTTTGATAGCAAACTGAGTGCAACGAATGTCAGTATGACACTGCAGCCCAGAAAAGGGGCTGTAGCGCCCTTCCAAACTTCTCCGTGAAGTTCTCTTTAAGGTGGTGGCAGCAATGTGCTACTACCACCCTCCCTCCCAAACCCCTCTCTGCCTCCCGAAGCCCCTTGTCTCTATCAGAGACAAGGTTGCTGTAACGCTGACTTCTAAACGATAGAAGACACAGAGGTTTCTTGCGTAAGGTTGACTTGACAGAGGAGGCAGGGGATTAGACACAAAGGCTTTCCAAGTAACACGTTTGTGATAATCATATCACTCGGTGTTCAAGACAGGTAAGCAGCATGGAGTTCAACAGGGAATCATATTCCATTCGTAGGTAGCTATTCAAACTAGCCGCTGGCTTCCTATTGAAGCCAGCTCATTCCTACTTATACTCTCTGTGTGCGCTAGCTGAGCTAGACGAGGGCAGAGACTTGCGGAGTTCTGGTGGACCCCTTGCGGGGCCCTCGGACCCACGTGACACCGAAGGGGGTCGGTCGACTCCTGATCGTGACAATGCCTCCCTCTCTAGGAGCCCTTGTCCTCAAGGCCTAGTGCGTGTGCAGATAATTGCCGCCCCTCATAGTCAGGGCGAGAAGGAACCGGACTTTGTCCGAATTAGCGCCACGGCATGCAGCTGTTACAGGTGTCCCGCAGCCTTCGCAGTGAAGGTTAACATCAGCGCCGGCATTAACCAGAAGCTCTACGATTGGGAGGCTTCCTAGTCGTGCTGCTAAGTGAAGCAAAGATCCAAACTGCGTAGAATCTAGGGATGAAACCCTTCCAACCCAGGACGAGATATTGATGTCCCCCCTTTTAATGATAGTCTGTAGCTCATCAATTTGCACGAAACTAAGATCCTTCGCAATCAGAACGTCGTCCAAGTAAAGATCAAATGGCATCTGTAGAGTAGATTGTTGAAACGAGGCCTCGTGCTTTCGAACACGTGCCAAAATGTATTTCTCTGCAGGAAGGCTAATCAACTGCTCTTCCGCCTCGAGCATGGGGTGGCCATGAGATAAGGTTTGAGGAAGATCTCGCGAGTAGCATTGATGTATTCTATGGCAAATTCCCATGGCCATAGGAAGTTTTAGCGACGCAGCTTCTCGTAAAGATTCGAGCATCTTCTCCTGGTCTGCTTCAACTCCGAATCCATGGAGGTAGCACATGCTCAACTCGAACAGAGATCTCCCGAGAATGGTCGGATCTGTATGGGTAGCGACCATCGATTGCAATCTCGCGAATACTGTTTCTGCAGCAGGAAGGTGACTGTGTTTGCATTTGACTGTCTCCTGTTAGCTAGCCGGGTTGATGGCAGACTAGTTTCATACTTACATCGGCCCTATACAACGACCATCTTTCGAGCGTTGAAAGTTGGGAAGTGCCAAAAGAAGCTATTATTGTCTTCTTCCTGTGAAGCACATCTCGTCAATAAGCGTTTTAAACCTTTGCTACAAATTCTCGCTCCAAGTTGAAAAGCTTCATAACTTCCCCAACGGTTACTCGATCTGCTGCATCATCCCTCAAGGTAGACTCTAACACCTTTTGCAGCAGTGTAATTTTGGCTGCATCAGCTGGTAAAAGTTCTTGTGTAGCCAGCAATGCAAGGCGCAGAAGATCATCTCTGGGCAACCCATTAAGCCAGGTGATAGGATCTTCTCGATGTCGACGATCAACATATCTTTTGCCATCCTGCACAATCTCCCACACCATCAAGCCATAAGAAAATATATCACATTTGTAGTGATCTTCTCTCATCGTCGAAGTTGACTTTCCCTGTCGCACCGCCGGCGGATTAAGATAGTCGTCCCAATATACCTTGACTCATTATCAAGAATCGAGTGTCCAAAATCCGAAAGCTTCGCAACAATCTCACCACTATCAGTTTCACAAACAAGCGTATTCTCCAGCTTCACATCCCCCTGCACTATTCCAGACGCATGCAACGCTGCCAACCCATTCGCAATCCCGCTGAAAAACTTGATCTTCTCCACAACCGACACTTTCTCCCCCGCCTCCCTCTTCTTCCCCAGATACCCCCTCAACGTCCCATACGCTACAAACTCCGCAACAAGATACAGCGATATATGCTCTCCCACAGTCCGCGACCCATACCCGACAAGCTGCACAATATTCTCACACTCCCTAATCGGGTTATGGGACCTCCTACTCTCCACATCATCCACCTTCTTCGACGGATGCTCAGTACTCTTCAGATACTTGATAGCCAAAACCAGAGCATCGCCTTCTCTATTAACCTGTCCCCTATCAACACGATAGCAAGCCCCCTCGCCAATCCCAAAGACCGTTTCCGTAGGCATGAAAGTAGTAGATTTATACCGATCCAAGACCGAACAACAAAGCACAAATTGCCACACATCAGCAATGTCAAGACCCGGCGGAGTAGCTGCCGCGAAACTGCCCGAGGAAGTATCATGCGCAGCTGGGTAGTCGTTGGAGTCGGAAAGCACGGTGCCCGCCGTCGCCTCAGTGAGGTCGTAGATATCCATCTCTATAATCTGAACCAAGTTGGCAGTGTAGCGCCCACGCCTGGAAAAGGTTGATGGTGAGGGGTGCCCATCATTATGAAGGGTGGGAGCTGAGTAGGGTATGAGTGAGTTGTTCGTGCGGCTGAAATATTTATGGCGCGTGGGGGACGGGACGGACCCTGTTAACGTTTAGGCCTGGAGCGGCCCATGGGAGGGTGCGCGGACGCTTTGACCGCTGTCATTCGGCTGTATCCGTGGTTTGGGCTTTGAGCTTCAAATACCGCAAAGCCGCCGAAATATGGGTTTCCAGCCTCAAAATAGCACAATATGCCAAAAGACCAAAAAATAAGATAAATGCAGTGATGCGCTCCTATAATTCTAATATATCGTCCCCGCTGGCTAGATCGCTCGCTACATAATCAATCTATCAATCAGTATACACTCTACCCGCTCCAAAATGAGCGAAACAAATGGGTATTATATCCCCTCTCCCAAAACCAGGCATCCCCCCTTATGACTTTCCTCCTCTACACCCCTCACATGCCCACCCCCTCCCTCCCCATCCCCATCAACCTCTGCACCACACTATTCTTCCTCTCCACCCCCCTCGCCCCCTCCCCATCAAAAAAAAGCGCCGGAACCAACAACCGATACGGCGCCGTAATCCCCGCCGGATCCCTCTGATTCACCTCAACATTCAACGTAATCTCCAGCCCCCCCTCCAGATCAATCGCATCCTCCTCCCTCATCTCCCTCCCCGCCTTCGCCGCCTTCTGACTCAGCCCCGTCGGCGTGCGATGGAACGCCCGCAGCGGCGGAACGCCCGGCAACCCAATCGCTTCCGCAGACTGCACGCGCGAGGAGAGGGAGTTGTTGCGGTGGCTTGGTGGGGGGCGCGAGTGGGCGCGTGTGCGTGGTAGTGGAGCGGCGGTGGTGGAGAAGGGGGGGGATTCATCAAAGCTGAAGGCGTCGTCGCTGCTCTGGTTGCAGACGGGTTGCTTACCCTTGTGTTTAGCGCTGAAGTAGTCTTCGTCCCCGGCACCGCCTCTGATGCGTGGTATTCGCACGTCTTCGCTGCTATATGGCGGCTCAGAGTCCGTCTCGGAGCTGTAGCCGTTGATGCCGCCGCTATCGGTGGTGCGCTTCCCTTGTCGGCCGGATAGGCGGCGGAAGAGCGCTGCGGGACGGAAGTCCCGCGTGAGACTGAGCGTGCGCTGAGGTGGTTCTGGTCTTCCGCCAGGGTATGGCTCCGTCGGACGTCCTCGGCTCGAAGACAGACGGCGTAGCAGACCGCTGCCGCCGCGGGCAACGGGCGGGCGGGACGGTTCATTCCGCATTGGTGCGTCCGCGCGGTACGTCGGGCGTCGAGTTATAGAGAGACGACGCAGAAGACCAGGGCGCTCTGGACTGGGACTACGCTCGTCGGATGGTGTTGATGGGGGTGAGAGCTCGGGGTTGTATGGGCGGATGGAGCACCAGTTGCGGCGGGGGAGGAGGCAGTTGTTGTTGCGCTTCTTGCCGTCGACGTCGTGGGTGAAGATTGGGATCATGCTCTCGTCGGTCTCGTCGTCGAAGTGGTGGACTTTGTTGCGCTTGTTGAGGATGTCTGCCATCATGTCTGGTGGTGGTGTGTTGACGATAGCGGAGGATATGACGTTCGGCATGTACCTGTGATCCTTGTCTTTGGGGATTCCGAGCTTGGGGTTGCTGTAGAACTGTCCGATGGCTGCGAGATGCACGTCTCCGCCGAGAATGGTAATCCGAACTGACTTATCAGCTGCCAGGTCTTGGAGATCTTCGATGAGACACTGTCGCTCCTTTTTGTGACTTTTGGCTGTCCAATGGTCATCAAGATCGTCGAGAATCTCAACACCACCATCAAACTGATTGAGGAGGCTGCTGAATAGACCTGCCCGACCAAGAGCCTTAACAGGATCCATGGCCCTCGAAGTGAGACTATTAATCATTAGTAGGCGCCTTATGCGCTTCGGAGCTGTTGTTGACTTACATATTCTCGAGCCACACGAGTCTAGGGTATGCAATCGGAACACCCATCAACACAATAAGATGCTTAGTTTCACCCAATACAATCTCATCGTGGCATCGGTCCATGATCTTTTGATACGTTTCCTCCGACAGCACATATTCGCGACCGCGCTCCGTCCGACAATCCATTCCAAGGAAGGAGATGCCCGCTCCCATAGACATGAAAACGCTGCGGCTATTCTCCTTGATATATGGTCCAGGGCTTTCACCGATCAACCAGCTAGGTTCCGTATCTTCCCCCTCATCGATACTGCTCTGGTGTTGGAAGAGCATATAGTATTTAAATGCAACGTTGCCCAACCCCGAAAACACTGGCGAGTCCATGAAATGGTGCGGATAAGATCCGAAGCCATCAATGATATCGTGGTCATCAAATATATTCACCATAGGAATCTGAGAGTTGGCGAGGCCAAACAAGCCCTGGGAAAACCACATAGAGTATCTGTTCAGGTAGAATTCTTCCAGTTCGTCCTGCATATCTGCCGTAAATGATGCACTGTGCTTGTGCATAGGGTTTTTCATAGCAAGCCAATCTGCGAAAAGCTCCGTCTGATTCACACAATCATTGTAAATCTGATCTCCGCCTCCAATCATAACATGGAATGGCTGCGTTTGATGTGTGTTCAGCACATCACGCCACATCGGGTCAGGTCCGCTGAACTCGTCCCTGTTAACACTAAGACTAAAGCCGTTGCAGCTGTGGAACATCAGGTTCATAGACTGTCCCACAGCTGGCACCCAGAAACCAGTAGCTGGACCATTGTTGATCTTATATGCAATGCGTTGTTGCTTGTCGGTAACCTCAACTTCAATATTGAAGCGCCAAAATGTAACACCGGGTTCGGCGTGTAGACGGAATCCCTTGACGGTAGCTACCTTTCCAGCCATCTCGCCATCCACTTGCCCAGCAGAGCCATCTGCATGAGCTGACGGGCTGCGTTGGCCCTCAAAGATACCTTCGTCGGACTCATTTCTAGACAGGTCGATCGCTTCTTCCAATTCCTCCACTGGGCGAACATACAACGTCTTCCCATCGCGCCCAACCTTTGTCTGCCCAGCAAGAGGGTCTACGTACTCCGGTGCAACATCAGCGCCGCTCTTAAAGTGACGTGGCGGTGGCAGGAACAGAGATTTTGGCTGGGGAAATAGACGCAGAGTCGGCACCGCTTCATCGTACTTAGAACGTGCATCTTCTGTGACTATCATCACACTGCCTCTCCAGATTTCTTTGGCGGGGGCTGTGGTGCGGCTCCCAGGTCGCTGAGAAGCCATCTCCTTCTTCATACCAGCATAACGGAGTAGAGGTCCACACTTCAAGAATAGGCGTGGGCTGAATCCAGTTGGGCCATCTTTTGTCTCCTTGTGAGTCTCTGCATCTTCAGTCGTTTTGGCAACACTGCGCCTTCGTCTCCCAGTGTTTCCAGCTTCCCACCACGCCTTATCTTTGTCTGCTTCTGTTTGCTTTGGTAGAGGTTCCTTTACATCAAGCAACGTTCCAGTCAGAGATGCCACACCCGCAGTCTTCCACTCAAACAGCCGTTCTGTTGGAGCGTACAGGCCATATCCTGGCTCAAACGGATCTCGCCTATTACGGCCTGCGTGGACTATCTTTGAGATAAAATGATGTCCATCCGGCCCCGTTGCAGCCTGTTCCTGCCCATAATTCCCAGCAGCAGTCACCGCGGGGACGGCGTACCGTGGTCCATTTACAGTCGCTACCTCTGTTGCTCCACTGTCAAGTCCACGCTCAGCATTAGCATTTAACTCTGGGCCCAGCTCCTCCGAGCGATCAAGTCTGTCCGCATAGAGTTGCTGCTGTTGTGGGGATATGGTTCTTGGGATGTCTGTCCCCAGTTTATTTCCCATTAGCTGTTCGATTTTCCGCGTTGAGTTGCCTCGTTTTGGCACGGCGTCTAGACTATCATCATCAGACAGTCCTTCCGTATCCAAATTATTTCTGTCTTGGCGTTTTGAACCACCACTAGCCACGACAGCAGCACCACGGTTTCTGTTTCCAGCGTTGACCTGGGCAGAGTCAAAGGTCACCGCTGAGAATGCTCTCTGCGCCTGATCGTCATGGCCTTTAGCCTTGTTTGCCGCTTCAGTCTTGTTGTTCGCATCAAGGAGTTTATCATACAGGGCATCCCAAGGGGCTTTTGGGTCTTTCTTTTTCAGCCTGTTACTGGTATTTCGCTGCAAAAATGCTCCTGCGCGCTCTCGGAAGCTCCGTCCTCGCTGAACTCCCGGCTGGGGTTGTACGTCGGGTTCTACGTCGGGTTCAGGCACGGCAGTCGCAGTTTCAGGATGTGGCTGGAGTTGAGGCTTCGGCTGATAGCTAACATCTTTTCCGATGGGAACAGGAGGTCGCACAGGTACCGGTTTCATGCTTTCTTGCAGACTCGGAATCTGGCGGTCATCCTGACCAATAATACCCAATCTCCTTGTATCTCTCTCTCTTTGTATCTCTCTTTCCTCTGGCAAAGCCCCCGGCTCGCTTCTCGCATCTGCGGGTTGTCTGGCTCCGAAATGGACGGTGTTTTGACCACTGCGGCCTGCTTTCGCCTCTCTTGCGCGCCGTTCAGCTTCTTCCATGCGGGCCCGCTTCTCTTCCTTGGCGATGAAAGTCTGTTCTAGCCTCTGCAGCGGGGACCTTTTTGACGTATACTGCTGTTGTGCCCCTGGCTCGGTAGCGCTTGATCGCCTTCGGTTTTGCGAATTAGCAACCGCGCTCCGGATTTCCGGCCTCTCTTTTCGCGCTTGTACGCTCCCTCGTCTTATATTTGATCTCTCGGGGTTGTCGTCGCGACTCGCGAGGTTTCCAGTAGTATTTGCTCGACCGAGTTCTGTATCGACATTCAGAGGCCTGCGCCCAGCTCCGCGGTCTTTGTTCAATTGGGAAGCTTCGCGGTAATAATCGGGGTTTTGTCTGGCGCGTTCGACGGGTTCGGGTGGCCTTCGGGACCTGATGCCCTCTGACTCCAAGTATCGGTCGCCATTGGACTGTGGAGGACTATAGCTCGATGGAGGGCCCTGTCGAGGAACATCCGGGGCTGCTGGTGGCGGGCCCGTGCTTTCTTCGAATAGTTGTTGCGCCTTTTCTCCACTGGCGCGTTTGCGCCGTCTCTCCAACGATTCCTTATTGTAGGGGTCTTCGCCGTATTGATATGAAGGGGGTCGAGGCGCAAGGCCTTTTGCGCGGAATGTCGATTCGACTGGCGATGCGAATGGGCTCAGCGTCGATTCCGTGGGCGCTTGGCTATGGATCGAATAGCGGTCGGGCCTGGGCTGGGGCTGGGGCTGGGAGGCTCGCGGATATGGTTCAGTAGGGAGCGCTTTCTGCAGATTCGGGCCCATGGATCCATTGCCTACAGAGCCCTTTCGAAGAGAGCCCTGTCGTTGAGTGACAACGTCTGGCGGTGGGTTGATAGCTCCCCAGTACGGCGCTGGCTTGCCGGACATGTCGATCGAAGCTATCGCCGACAGCTACAAAAGGACCACAACAAGTGAAATCGACGCAATGTGGATAAGCTGATGCGAACAGAGATTGAAGTGTAAACTCGCGGTTGAAGATGCAGGGTGAAGCAGATAACAATACAGTATATCCAAGCAACAGCAACTGTCACCGACACAATCGACGCACGTTCGTCTCATAGGGCAGCAGTCGAGGCCATTAGGCCACTTCAGCATCGTAATTTGAGTGTAACAGCGTAGCAGCTTTAGCCTAGATAGGAAATGATGTAACAATAATCCTTGCGCCCCCCTGTTGCCACTATTTCCTAATGTAGTCTAAAGCTGATACAGTGTAGCAGCTCGGGCCTTGGCAGTCTGGCCTAAATAGGTTAGTATTATAAGTAAAGGGCAAAAACTCGATACAGTAAAGCACGTTATAACGATGCATTTGCTGCCACCTGAATATATCGTTATAATTAGGCTGCGCACTGGGTACTCACGAGTCGAGTAGTAGAATTTTTACTCACCCAGCTGAGTTACTCGCTCATGTCCCGAGTATTGTTGAATGAGGATTACTCACTTGCTGAGTACCTAGTATGGGTCTTGGCAACTCAGTTATATCACGTGTTTGATTAGCCATTACTTATGTTAAAAACGGGGTGCGACTTCATTGATCAAGACGCCATAACTCCAACTCCATTCCCATATTGTTGATGTCCTATTCCACACTATAACCTTTGGCCTTTAGGTACCAGGTTACCAGATGGTTACCAGAACTCATCTGACCTTCATTCCTGGGTGAGAGACATTTCCATCGATTAAGCCCACAGCTTAAACATCATATCCTGCAAACGCCGAACCAATATCATACCCTTTGCCTGAATTGTCACTCTCTTCGCATGAATAGCGAGGAGGTTTGTCACTATAACTGTTAGTATGTCCCTGTCACTATGTTTAAACATCATACTCTCAAATTCTCGAATGAGGAAGCATTCAGCAGCTTCCTAAAGAGCTAGGATAGCAGATTGCTGGAAGCGAAGATTGGACTTGAAGTCTTCTGTGATTTCCCTAACAAGACGCTGGAATGGGAGCTAGTATCAAGTTGCTGTCTTCTGATATCGCGGAGAGCCTTGGTGCCTATATGTTTATTAGAGAGTTCTGGTAACCCTCTGGTAATCCTCTGGTAATCCTCTTACTAGACTTTGTGCAGCGCGTGGCCTTCTGAGCATGATTGTTGCTAGCTTGAGATGAGCAAACTGGAGCTTTTCTTGCTGTGCCCACAGCCTTTTCCTGTCCCTTTCCGCCAAGCCCAGAGCCAGCCCGTAATCCAAGTGGCATCCTTGGTGCTATGCCGCCAGTTGATCTCCTAGCAGTTTGCTTGGTACGAGTCATTTGCTAATATCAAGGTGAGTTAGTAAAGTAAACACAAGATAAAGAAGTAGATCAAAAGATATGTGTACTTACAGTGAGTTTGTAGAAAGAATATTGCAGAAGAAGAGTATAGTAAAGAGGTAGAGGTTGAAAGGTATGTGTTTTATATGAAGGTGCGCATTGTGGTGTTGTTTTTGGAACAGTAATTCTTTGTAGGTGAATATTCCTTCACAAATATTTTTGTTTGCAACTTTAAAATAACCACGACCTTAGAACCACCTTCCTTGGTTACTCTCCGATCTACACATTCTTCTTCCCTTTTGAGCCTTTACCTCTTCACTAGGACTTCAACTAAGTTTATTATCTTGATTCTATAGCCAGAACTTCTGGAGATCTCTGCTAATCACATGTTTAGTTAGTATGGCGAAACTCAAGGCACATGAAGAACTCTCCACTAATGCGAATACTATCAAAGCTCGCAACTGCGTCTCCAACCTTACTGAAGATGAGAAGGCTGTTCACTTAGCACTCAAGGCTGACCATGCTGATCTGAGCTACTACTTAAAGAAGTTATATAAGTCTGCAAAGTGTAAGGATGCCTCCTTACCTAGATACTCGAAGAACCCGCCTCAGAGCTGTTACGGTCACCACAAGCATGAAATCCGACTCGGTGTGGTTTCGGACCAGTAGAGGAGGACATAGCGAGTTACACTATAGTGGGGGACAGTAAGGGTGTAGGGTTCAGGGTCGATGCGGACCTGTTGCGGTGGAAGGTTCAGGGCTAGGGTTGGGATAACCGAGTCGGGCCCGTTTCGGGTACTTAAGGAAACAAACTTAACGGGGTTCCCCCTTCATCTTTTTTGTATCCTTCGTAGTAGACCTATAGGATAGCATCCTTTTAGCCTCCAACTTGCACTCTCATATGCTATTACTGTGAGCTGGGTGCCCTGTGTCATTACACAAAGTATATCGCTGCCTCTACTGAAGACAAGACACGTCTACAGAATGAATTGAAGGTTGAGCGTATTTGTGTTCGGTAAGTTCCTTCTGGTAATCTCTGGTAGCCTCAATCTAACTATAAACAGGACTGAGAAGGGTACCCATGCATCTTGCATTGCGAATCAGAAAGTCAAGAATATTAGCGCCTCTTCTTCTCCACAAGCCCCACCATCTACTCCGCCCAAACAACTTCTGTCTGAGCTTGCTGCATTTGAGGGTATCTCAAGTATTCCAATCGATGACAATCATAACAGCGAATGGGAGGATACTGAGGTTGAAGACGATTTGGAGTTGGAGCTTATGTTACAGCGCGAGATATTTTAAATGACGAGGCTGTTCTACCAGATGAGCTTTCCGATGAAGAGATCACTAGCACCCAGGCTCTCTTAACTCAAGCGCACATTGATGTATGCTACCTCATAATCTGGTAATCTTCTGGTGATACTAATAGTTGATAGGCCCATGAAGAGTCCAATTTCCGCAAGTGGCAACATTTCTGGGATAGCTGTATCCACTCATATACGAGAAAGGCTGGAAAGCTGAGAAAGAAGCCTGAGCGTCTCTTTGAGTATATGCCGTGGATTGATGTAGAGGAAGGGTACGTCTCTGATCATCCTAGCAATCTTCTGGCAATACTAATTGTTTATTATAGCACTTTTCACGAGGTTATCCCACCACATAAATATTTCTGTTTGTACGAGCAGGCAGTTTGGAAAGTGGGCCTAATTACCAGGACCTGTGCAGTGGTACCCAAAGTCTTACAATCTTGTCGACAATGGATGGTTGCAAATATCCACTCATAGTTCTAGCTTCAAAGAGGCGTTCTTACTTGTCTACTCTAAGAAGTTTGATAAGGAAAAGTGGGCTAAGGTATCAGCTGCACAGGATATGTTGTTCCTGGAGCTAGAGTAGAGGAGAACTTGAGTTGCTAAAGTTATAGCGCTGGAGTACCTTTCGCGTTGGAAAACCAGGTATTTAAGTACTTCATCGTAGCCAGACTTCTGGTAACCTTCTGATAATCGAGCAATTTGCCAAATGCCATCTCAATACTCAGAGTTGTTTGATTCTGACAGTATTCTCAGACTCTTTTCCGTCTTCTCAACGACTATCCTCATTAAATCAAGTTTGTAAGGACACAGGGCACCCAGCTCACAGTAATAGCATATGAGAGTGCGAGTCAGAGGCTAAACGGATGCTATCCTATAGGTCTACTACGAAGGATACAAAAAAGATGAAGAGAGGAACCCCCGTTGGGTCAATCTCCTTAAGTACCCGAAACGGGTCCGACTCAGCTAACCTGCCTTAACTCTTATCATGTGACCGTAACCTGCCCGACTCAGATCCTTTCCATCACTGAGGGACAGGCATCCTTACAAAGTCCCTGCAGGCCTTGAATATATTGGCAAGTTAAACCAATTCGTCAAATGGACTAAGGACACACACGATATATTCATTGAGTGGTGGAAGCTATCACGATGGTATGAACAACACTCAGATCATACTACAAAACTCCTTATGAAGATTGCATGGGATTCAACCAACTGGAGTTCTCAATACTGGAGAAGTTATCACCAAGGAGCAGACCGGCTTTCTGGAGAACCATGTGTTATTTGTACTTATTGTTCGAAGGCCCTTACGCATCCTGCAATCAAGTCTGCTGGCCCAAAGTCTATGGCAACACATCTTGCATCAGACATTTGCAAAAAGAAGTCACAGATGGGAAGGATAGTCTCTATCAAATGCGAATCAATCAAATGCAACCTCAACAAGTAAGGATTACCAGATTATTACCAGAATTATGTAGGTTAATACCTATAATAAGATCATATTCTCACACAAGAGACATTTTATGAACAAGTTCTATACACAGTTATCTTGACTCATAGCTCGTTCCGCTCAGTCGAGGATCCTCATCAAGACCCTATAAATACTTTAGGTATTAGTAGGTCTGGCCGGCCTCATCAAGCAAGGTGGAGGGATGTTCTTAAGCATATATAATAGATAATAGCGTTCTAATAATCTTCTGATAATCATGGTACTTAGATAGAGGAATATACATGATTCGTTCTCACAGCTTACTAGAGATGGCGAGAGTGATGCTAATAGATGTAATACTTTAACTTAACCATAAAACAGTATTAATCGTATGAGGGACTGTTCACATGATGCATAAATCTTACACGTGATAGCCGAGTACTCACCGGGTTTTTACAGAGTAACTGAGTATTGACCTCACTCACCGAGTCGAGTAAAAGGTTCAGCTACTCACCCAGCTGAGTAACCCACTGAGCGAGTGAGCCGAGTATTGAGCGAGTAGTGCGCAGCCTAGTTATAATGATAATATCGCTATATTGATTATTATGTAATCCAACTATCTAACGTACTTTGCACCCGTGACCCTTGATCCAGTGCGAATTCTAAACGCTCGAGGCCTTGTAAATACTCTGATTGAAGAGCCTCTTGTTCTTCAGTAAACTCAATCAGTACTTGGAGTGCTTGACGAGCGCTCTTCACAGAATGTAAAGAGCGCTCTGATTCTAAACTCTTCTTCGTCATCTTCTTGAGTCTGCTGAAGACCTAGATGCTCATCAATAACCTCTTGTAGAACCTCGTCCTCGCTTGGTGTCCCATTTTGTATATCCTCTTCTTCGTCGCTTGGGTTTAGAAAGTTAGAAATTGCCATAACGTCACGTATAACTTGTTCATAGAGTTCGTTGATACCTGGAGGAGTAATTGGAATCGGAAGAGCAATCAGTGTTGCCCGAGTAGTACTCGCCGTGAGTACTCGCCGAGTACCCGAGTACTACTGTACTCGGGTGATATTTTTGAGTACTCGGTGAGTCCCCGAGTACTACTCCGAGTACTCCGAGTACTGCCAAGCCCTTGGCAAAGAGGGGTAATATAGATCGTAGAATAGAATAGATAATTGAAGCTTTCTTCCACTTGAGCGTTCTGTATTGCTTCCTACAATGAGTGACTCTTCGCTATCGCCGGTGCCGGCTGAGTATCAGTCTGATGCTTTAGAGCTGCCGCCCCTTATTCCGATGCTGATGCCGCATATGCCTCTAAGACTTCAATTACCTGAGTCTACGTCAATCCTCTTTTTAAAAGGGCTATTCTACCGTACTTTATTAGATACAATACCTGCTAGAGTCCAATACCAATGCCTTCAAACCGATTGTAACTATATGCCGAGCCAGCCACTAAAGAGCCAGACAACGAGTAATCTTTGAAGCATCTTAAAAAGATGCACCCATCTGTGTATACAGAATACGAGAAGCTATCCTCCTCAATTAGAAGCTCGTCAACGCCGTCTACTTCTGCTTCTGCTTCTGCTTCTACTTCTACTTCTGCTTTTTTCCAGCCCCGCCAAGCACCTAATAACGCACCAAGCTCGTCGAAATATAGAGAGCTTATACTCTCTTTTGTGGTATCAAATAACCTACCGCTACGCCTTGTGGAAAGCCACTCATTCCGGCAATTAGTTCATCATCTAAACCCTACTGTTTTAACAGTAGGTAGAACTACAATCGGACGGGATCTATATCGTCTATTCTGCTATCATAAAGCACGGCTTCAAGTAGAGCTACAGCAGCATGTTATAAATGGTGGACGACTATCCATAACAACTGATACTTGGTCTGCTCGGAACTACTCTGAATACGCAGCAGTTACTGTACACTGGATAAATGACAATTGGTAAATGAGAACTACGATACTTGACGTTATACACCTTCAAGAGCCGATCCACTCTGGTGAATACCTTGCTGAACAGATGATGAGTGTAACAGATGATGAGTGTAACAGATGATTATAATATCACGCCTGCTATCTTCACAGTTACAAGAGATAATGCGTCATCGAATACAACAATGCTATTAGAGTATGAGAGACTGGCATCGATAGCCCCTACTTCCTTGAAACAACCATGGGCTTTTACAGCAAAAGCAGAGACGTACGCTGTATTGGGCATATTATCAACATTGCTGTTCAAGCTGCTTTAGCTTCCTTAAAGGCAACGCCTGACGAAAGGGTAGAGGCATACCGGCTTGAGGTTGGGGCTGCACGAATACCAACTGGAATATCAACTGCTGCTGAATACGAAATTATAACTGTTCTTGCAAAGCTACGGCGTCATATATATGTGTTTCGGAACTGCCGTGGGTGGAAAGATGCCTTGAAGAGTCAGTGTAAAGCTATAGGTATTCAAGTCCGTCAGTTAACACTTGATATGCCAGTCCGCTGGAGCTCAACTTATCAAATGATCGATATAGCTTTAAAGCTTCAGGCTCCGATTACAGCTTTATGTGCATCACAGCAACTTGATATTAGTATGAGGAATATTGCTTTAACAGCAATAGATTGGGCTACGTTACATGACTTATTGAAGCTATTCCATATCTTCGTCCGCCCAACCGAGAAGCTACAGGGCTCTTCTTACCCAACTCTCAACTACGCTGTTCCGCAGTATATGAGAATGATTAAGAAGCTTGAAGATATAAGAAGTGAGCTACCAGAACAGAGCCCAATTGCTACTGATTCTTTAATTGCATTAAAGAAGCTTAATGATTACTATACTCTAGCTACAAATCAGCAACAGAGTCACTCTACAATTGCTACAATTTGTGGTCCTCGGTATAACTTCAACGTCTTCAATATTATATGGAAAGACAGCACGCACTCAACTAGGAAGAATAGGGCAAAAGCACAGTGGCAGGACTGCTTCTATCGATATTCAGGCCGCGAGTCTGATATTCAAGCGGAAGGCAGGAAAGAAGTCATCCTTTGTAATATGAGAAATATGAGCCTGCATCATATCTTCAATTTGCCGACCATAGGCCTGCTTTAACGGGCCGAAACAGCCAACATCAAGTGGCTGGAGTAGATGAGAAGAGTGAGCAGGCATACAAAGCGTAATAATGTTGTGTTCCTTGCAGTACTCCTCAAACTCATCTGAGTGGTGGCTCTCATGACCATCAAGGACTAACAAGCGATAACCACCAACACTCCGGGCCTTTGTATGCTTCTCAAAGTGCTGAATCCAATCCATGCCTCTCTCGTTTGTAGTCCAGCCATTTTCAGTAACAGAAATCACCCAATCGCTTGAAAATCCACTATTCTCATACCAAGATGTAAGGTGGTTTTTGCCTGCAACAATGATAAATGGTGGTACTGCCCAACCTTGAGAACTAACGCCTTGGATTACTGTAACCCATTCCCGATTACCAGGCTGTACCTTCTTTGCTTTTGCCCGCCCGTCTGAGCTTGTTACAACCATAGCAGTTGAGATAACGCCCATCATAAACCCAGTCTCATCAAAGTTGTAGATATCTGCTTCATCGATACCATATTTCGCAATTGTGTTACGCACAAGCTCAAACCAGCCATTAATAACTTCTGGATCTTCGCACTTAGCCCTCTGGTAGTCGTATTTGCGCTGAAAGCGTGTCTGGAGCTCTACACGCCGCTTAACAAAGTTTGAAGCCCAACGCGACCCAACGCGTGACGCGTCGCATGTTGCAAGTAGTCGACTTGCCATATCTTCAACAACAGACAGCCGAGGAGGAAACCCTTTGGCAGCTAGGTCGAGTATATACTGAACAAGGACGGACTCCTCTAGGTTAGTTAATTTCCATGAGTTGGCTTGGATATCGCGTCGTGAAGGTACACCTTCTAGACGACGACCTAGCTTGCGGTGGTCCACAGAATAGATCCTAGCAGCAACTCGAAGGCGTAACTTTGGGTCGCTTTGCATAGCCTGGATAGCTAGCACTAATTGGCTTTCATCGTTTTTATGGGGCATGTTTTGTTGTTGAGGAATTTAACATTTAGTTGGGGGGTTTGGTCACTGCATCATTTTGGCGCTTTCGCTTGTTTGGCGCTTTCGCTATACATGTACGTTATAGCCTAGTATTTAAGTTTATATTTAGAGCTGTAGAATATTCTCTCTTACTTGAATCTATTAATCGTCGTGACCAAACTTTTCGCTTCGCTCAAGGTTGGAGTAAGCAATATGCGGCTGCCCAACCTGAGAGGAAGCAATATGCAGCTCGTCGGAACGTGCGTCTGTTCACTGCCACTCCTCAACAAAACCTCCACCATAGTTGGCCATAGTATTTAGATAGTAATTATATGCAATTCATTTAATGGAAGGGACTCCTCTATCAAATGCTCATGAGTGGCTCCTAGAGAACCCCTCTGAAACAGCAACTACTGCCAGTCGGATTTTCAAAGTGCCTAAATCAACGATACAGTCAAGCATCAGCTGACTAGCCCAGCAGCTCCCACACCGAGGCGGCCAGAATAAGCTACTCTCTACTGCGCAGACAGAGGTCATAAAGAAATGGATCCTTGAGCAGTATTACCTAGGGCTTGGAGCAACTAGGAATATGATATTTGCTGCTGTCTGTAAGCTGCGGAGCCCACAGCTGCCCCCATCACAAAGCTGGCTTACAAAATTTATACGGAATGAGCTTAAGGAATATCACTTTATTACTATGAAGCCAATTGCGCAGCAGCGTACAAAGACTCAAGATGAGCCTACAGTTCTAAAGTGGTTTCAAGAGTACGGCTGGTTTATACTAGAGCGTGGTATAAAACCAGAGTCAATCTGGAATATGGATGAAACTGGCTTTCGGGTTGGGATTCCAGGTGGAGAGCGTGTGATTGTGCCACAAGCCGCAAAGGAGCTCTACACCCCAAGCCCTGAAAATCATATGTCTATTACTATACTTGAGGCTGTGTCTGCAACTGGAAAACTCATACCACCTGTACTTATCATTCCGGGCAAAATACACATGGATTCTTGGTACCACGCCAGCCTTCAAGGCACAGAGCTCATCATGCTCTCTGACACTGGATTTTCAAACAGCCAGCTTGCCTTACGGTGGCTAGAGCACTTTGCAGAGCATACTCTCTCTGAGGAAATGAAGGTTCTACTACTTGACTCTCATGTGAGCCATACAAGTGATAATTTCATCATTATGGCAGAAAAACACAATATTATCATATACACATTCCCATCCCATCTTACTCATATTTTACAGCCACTAGATGTGGGGATCTTCCAGCCATATAAGCACTGGCACAGAGAGGCTGTGCTTGCTGCCATACATGATATGGATGTTACATATGACCTACAGTCCTTTATGAGGGATCTTACCAAAATGCGGCTACAGACTTTTAAGGAGTCTACAATTATATCAGCTTTCCAGAAAGCAGGAATTTGGCCAGTAAGCCACATTATAGCTCTCACAAAGCTACGTACGTACTCACAGCCTGCTCCTATGCCTATACCTATGCCTCTACCTATACGGGTTTCTACACCAAAACCCTTGACTTTTAGGTGGGTTGAAGAGGGGCTACAGTACTGGAAACAACAGGTTCCAGAAGGTTTTAGTAGCCCCTCGAGGGAGAGCTACAAGAATTGGCTCACAGGAACGGAAGAGGTTGTAGTAGGAGGCCAGCTTCAAGAGCTTGACCTACTGGCTTTTCGACGCCAGGTTAAGGAGTTGAAGAAGCGGTCGAGCCGAAGCCGGGCTCGCCTTCAGTTTGGAGGTGAGCTTACAGCAGCTCACGCTCATGAGCTTTGGGCCCAGAAAGCTGAGCTAGCAGCTCAGAAGCTTGAGGCCAAGCGGGTTCGAGTAGCCCGCCAGGCTGCCAACCGGGCCCAAAAGCAGCTTC